AGGCAATCTAACAGTATGCATCAAATTCATGATCAATATATCAATCGACACATCCACACATCAATATCAAACAACTTACTGTGTTAATGGCCAGAGCACTCGATAACCGTTTGAAATAGTAGGATATTTGCTAGTCGCGACTTCGCATCCACATCCAGCACCAAACCCAATGCGTTTATGTGCTCGATCAAATGTCAATCCAAGTTGGGCCATAAATGGAATACCAAGAACTGCATTGTCATTTGGACCAGCTTTTATAGCAAACACAACTATAATCCAACATGTACATTAGTCAGGTTAATCAAACAACACATTGCATACAATTGTCAAATACTTGCAATTTTCAGAATCAACTCTCTGTATATAATCTTTGGGGCCCAATTTGATTGTTACAACAGAATTGCGATTGGCATCAGTTACGGGGGTTTGAACAAACATTGTAATTGAAAGCGTTGGCAGCTTGCCCCAATCGATATCAAAACCGGATTCAAGCATTGCGTAGTTTTGCGAAAATATTTTTTTAACCATTACTTTTCCGAGTTTGTCACTAAATATATTAATGTTGACAGTGATTGCACCACTATCAAGAATAGCATCAACAAACGCTGCCACGACTGCTTCAGGAAAACGCATATGTAAAAAGCATGTTTCCACACTCGAGTACAAAGTACGTCCATTTTCCATTATTGTTTTTTGGAATTCCTCGGGCAGCTCCACTTGTTCGTCATTAACTAGTATACTCTTGATGTTGACAGTAAACTGATCGTCTGATGGTGAGTCTACCCATGCAACACTCCTTCCATCCGTTCCGCATTTTGCAGTTACGTCCGTGTTTCCTATATTGATGAAACTTTCTGGATGCATGTCATACGGACATAGTTGAAGACCAATCTCGTTATTAGGAATGACATCACTGGTGTACAAAATATCCATTGCAGTGGTTTGTGGATGATGCTTTGACAACGAGGAATAGGCAAACCCAAATACTCCATCAAACTCTGGATTGATACCAACTAGATCTGGTGATTGTTTTTGAACTGATATTACTGGTAAATTGATGTCAGTTATACTAGTACCCGGAATCGTCACAGCTGCATTGGAACTAAACCCATTATACTCATCGCCTTTGTAATCTATAGTAACGGGTTCCCCACTTGGAGTGTGTTGCGGAGTCAAACCTACATCTCTGCTTGAACTAGGAAGTGGTACGATTGTATCAGACATTGTTGAATCGACTTGTAAATTCAACTATTTTAAACAAGTGTGAGATTGATTCAACGTGGTGCAAATTGATATCAAACTACAATCCATGACATGATACATACATCAACTCCATGAACATTGACTTTAATTGTGTAACATTTTGTGATATCACCACCCAATTCAACGGGTGATCGTTTTGACAGTCTATTGTTTGATTGACTGGCACTTTCAAAAGGTGATTCTAATGCAAGTCGAACTGCAGAAACCGCTTGCAACGCAAGTATAACGCATTCTAGAGTAATCAACATTGTATCGAGTAGTGTGATGAAAACCTCAAGTCTGGTACATGACTGCCGTTTTATAACAACGGCAGTTTCAAGGGTGACAATCGACACTTTCCAAATGGGTATTTAGAAAACGCCAAATACACCCTGTAGGGTCAACAAAGCCGAAAACACACCGTAGGTCGAATCAATATACAAGAATTGTTGTTGGTGTATAATCAACCTCACTAGTATGCTGTGTCGATCTCTTCGATTGCGGCCATGTATCCAGTGATCAGATAGTGTCAGATCATTACCCTGATTATGGATAGTTATCATCACATATACAATCCATCACTACAGCATATACTGTCACTGTATACCAAATATTTGACTGATTGTTTGATTTGTCCGAGTGATTCAAACCATATGGAAATGGTTGTTGAAATATAAATATATATCATCCAAAGTTGATTCAGATTGTCGCTAGCTGTAATCTGTTGATCTGCCAATGTGTGACCATGTGTCAATGCACACAGTAAACTTGAAACCAACTTGCATAATTGTCAATGTTCAAATCAAAGCCACAAATTCACATTCTATTTATCATCGTTCATTGTTCATGGCTCATGGATAGCTGATCAATAAATCACATTCGACATGATTGACATGATTGTTTTGTTGGACATATTTCAGTAGATTTGTTTAGTTACGATTTCAATCAACTCAACAGCTTTGGAAATAACAGTGGTAGCGTAGTAAATGGTTTTAATAGCAACAATTCATATCGATTTTGCAAGATTCATATTTTTGATGTAAAAAATCATGGTTTGTAACAACTATTTGTTGTGTATACATCATAAACTATCAACCATTTGGTCATGCATCAACACCAATGTACAGTGTGACATGGTATGTTGAATAGATTCAATGTTGATTCAATATTCCCAATATTCCCAATACTATAAACAACATATGGACACCAAATAATACCAGTTTTTCAACCGATATTCACAACTAAATTAGTCAGACTATTTATCCAAGATGTGCAACCCAGACCAAACATCATGTGTACAATGGTGGGTGGTTTGCATGTTTGAATAATGGACAACGTTCAGTTCTAGACTAATACCCAATGTAAATCATCAAGTGATGACAGGGTTTTCAACAAATAGTTTCGATTACATTTTGACCAATAGCAAGTGTTGATCGGAGGTGATCATCAATCAACAATCATGGACAAAACTCGTTCAACTATATAGTGGATGAATGTAACATTGCATGATTGTCTACTTATCAGCAATATGTATATTAATGACATGAACAAACAAATGGATGATATCATTAGTACAGGTTTTGATCAAGGTTTTGAAAACCAACTTCAAGTCTTTGCGCCAGGTTGTCATAATCTTGAATGACTGATGACTGTCAGTGCAATATTCCTACTCAATACGTTCATGGACACGGTAGTTTCAGTAAATCATTGCATGATTGGTTACTTTGACATGTTGGATTTACATGGTACTCAATGGTATGATTGATAGGTCAATTGGCAATTGTTTCGTGTTTTTAGTCATTTATTTGTCTGCAATAAAAGCGGCATGATCTCATATACCAGGAGTTTGACAAAAATACAAGACTCATTGTCATGACACTATTTCAAGAGTAGTCATTGCACATTGGTGTTCACCAGACAAACAAACCATCGAGTATAGCGTATTTTTCAATTTTCAGTTTTTGGCATTCAGGTTTGGGTTTTGATCAATCGTTGAACCAAGACTAAATCATCATTGGTCGTTACAGCTGGCCAAACAAGCTTACTCGATAAATATTACAAATCATATAACCCAAATCATCAAAATCACTCCAAACTGCTGACAAGTCATTGACAAGTCACTGCCAAGTTGGTTGTTGCTAATTCATCAGTGTTGGCAGCTACAATAATCAATCAATATATGTTTTGAAAATCGATTCGCACAATCTGCACAGGTTTTGGACGAGTCATGATCCAAGATACTATCGCTGTTGGTTTTGATGTTATAACCAATTCAATGCCACATCCAAATATTGTCAAAATCATCCAAAAACTATTGTGTTGACAAGCATGTATATTGGCATCAATTCCATTGTAAAAATAGTCGTATAGTTTAGAGTGATTGCTCGCGAGGTCAACAATATCACCACATTCACGAAACGGAACTTTTACAAAACTACAAATCATATACTGCATGCATGTCGTTGGAATCGAGTCTGTGATTGTTGAACAGTGTTATGGTCTTGATTGTAGTCAGTCCACCAAATCCAAAATGTGTTGGGTTTGAAAATACTATATATTTTCAAAATCATTGATCTGACAATTAGGTCGCATCTTGTTGAATCCCAGCCTGAATATTTGACACCAGCTGTTGCAATTGCATCCAATAAACCAGTATTGATGTTTGTATCATGAATACCCTGAATATCAGTCATGGCATTATCCATACATATACATAGTATGTTTGGTGGCAATTTGTCTCCAAATGCAATTTTGGATTTGACATTGTCATGCAGTCAAACCATGTTTTTTGCAAAACATCGGTAAGGGATTGGTAAACATGCGGATCTCAACCACAAATCGTTCAAAAGTTACAAATACAAGTCATCAAAAAACGTATATCGTTGTCATCAGACAACTTACCATCACACTGCACGACACTTGTACAAAGTTTGTTGGACAAAACTTGGTTGATATCTAGGATACGGTTGAAACTGACAAGCATGTGTGTTCATATTGTCACCAGTGTTGTATTTGATATTCAATCAGTGTGTATTACACTGTCTGACCAATACTAACCACACTACACTAAATAATCAAATGCCAAACAATCTGTAAACAGAGCAAGACACCACTCTAATTCATTATTTGCCACAAACTACCGACTGATCAAATGTCGTTGAGATATATAACACACTATCAAGACGTGTAATATGTCGAGTTGCAACAACACTAAATACATAATAAATGCATAAATGTCCATTTTTAATGGTCTTGGTTGTTGTATAGTGGCCTGAGCAACTTTTTAAACAGCGAAATTGATGTTCAACATTGTTGCGCAAGCCATTTCAACACAAACACATTCCAAGCCAACCCATATTAATAACTATATCAGTTGTATCAGCTGTAAACCATACTGTAAAATGATGCTATGTTTGGCATGTATTTGACATGTACATGTTGTACATTTTCGATTGCCATTTCATGTATTGAATCATCAGCATAATAAGCGCAGTATTTCAGTCATTCAGATTCCTTGTTTTGGGAATGATTATTTCTGTATCATTTTCACTGAAATGATAATCAGTGTGTCACTGTGTATTACTGTTTGAACCAAAGTCAGTACTGCAAGCACTCGAGTGCTACTCCAATCAATTGAGTTGAACTGACATTGATATTGGTATCAGCAAGAAATCCAATTGATTTCCAAATTGAACGAGTTGACTCCAAAATATTGTTATCCACAAACATAAATGTCAATTGCAACACTTTTATCAAATCTATTGGATATCAAATCCAGTAACCCATTGTAGCAAGCCTCGAATTATGTCTCGGAACAATGCAGCCATGATAAAATACAACACTTTACCAGGTTTGCTGTATACAACAACATATATTTGGAGCAGAGTTTGAACATATAGTTGCATGGTTATTTGAAGTTTGTGTGTTTCTAGTATCATAACCAAAATGTGTGTTATTCCATCATCAATACTTTGCTCACAATACACTCAAACTATTACTACACAATCAGTTGTCAATGACCATGAGTAGTATATGTAGTGCACTGGATGATACCACTTGTTTTAAGCAAGACTGCTAAAATATTCAAAAGTTGACGACATACTTTGATACATTCGTCCATGATGATTGTGATTGATATTGAACGCATTTGGGTTGTGGTTACAATGTGAATTCTGGTTTTAGAACTAATCAGAATCGGATTGTCTGGAATTGTCTGGAATTGTTGTTGTGCTAGATTGGTGTTTTCACCTATAATCACTGCTAAATTTGATTCAAAGTTGTCAGGTGTGATATCCTGACAAATGCCGACATTATCAAAATGCTTACCGTATACAAGTTGATTAAAGTTGCAAGTTGTCTGCCAAACTCATACTTGATGCTTCAATCGGACACGATTGGATGGTACAAGGATGTGTCAACAGAGCCATTATTTGTCAAAAAGCGTATGTTACAATAGTAAACTTGAATTTGGACTTTCCATGCTAAATGCATATCAATCCCTTGAATGGACACAATTGTATGATGCCAGTTGTATTAACAACATTGAGTTATCAAATAATTGGAATGGTTGGAATGGTTGAAAATATGCCATATCAGTTGTAAAATACAACTATCACTTTCCATCCTTCAAATATGGTTGTATTAGTGGGAGTTGTATAACGTATTGCTTCAATCCATGAATGGGTTGTACCTGCTCTATGCCATCAATTGGGTTGAAACTCTGCTTTTTGAACCCTTTAAACTGGTGAGGTGGAACCACAAAATAAAGTTTGGGTTCATCATACAAATTGCACAGTTTTGTAAGAATATCAACTTCGCGAATTAGATGTTCAGCAACTGTAAATTGAAACATTCCCTGTTGACTGAGTGAATCAATTGCCACAAAATTATCGTCATCTGTCGGTTCGTAATAGTTGCCATCAAGTGCTGCTGCAGTAGGGATAGTATTTATTCCAAATGTAATTCGTTGGCCATTGAGTGCATCCAAAGTAATCTTTGTCACTGTACCATCTTTCAGGCATCTGCATTTGAGAGTTTGTCCACCAGTACAAAAAACCACATGTCCGTATATTTCAAACAAATGTCTTGAAATCTCGGTTGGAATACCATCAAACATTTGCTGCATATTGGTAATCATTTGAGCAGAATGACGTTTTCAGAGTTGTTCTCCAACATATCTTGAAGCAATATCAACATGCAGGAATGTGTACTGTCCGTCGTCTGACACAATGGTATGAAGCAATGTATGAGTATTTGCAGATATTTTGATTGTGAATCCAATGTTGTGTACCCCTTTGACTGCATCAACATCAGCCAAAGCTTTCTCCATTGGATTTGATACAATATCAAAGACAGAACGAGCTACACCACCATACATGCGATATCTCTCATTGATAGTCTCAATGGGTACATCCGGATAGCAATGACGTCGACAAGTCTGTAACTCGTCCAAAGTCCAAACAGGAAAATACCATTCCCTTGCCATCTTTTGTTTGACGAATTCCTTGTATCCTTCAGACCGAGGAGATGACATGAACAATACAATGCAACATGATGATCTTGGAGTCGTGTGTCCATCAACAATATACAATGTGTCTTGTTTTCAAACCAATCCCTCCGCATCAAGTCCAAGCTCTGTGACGAGTTGTTGCTGCAAGTCAAAGCATTTGAAACAAGATCCCACTTGATAAACAATCCGGTTTGGCTTCAAGGACAGAGTTTTCGTGGTAAAGTCATCCATCAAGCAATGCAATATGTAGACAAAAAACAGTGACTTTCCGATGCCTGATGTTCCAGATATTGCAAATGATTCGATGCCACGATCAATTTGATCCAAAAGCAAGCCAAACACATCATGATAGCACTCTCTAACATATAGTTTTTGTATTTTGTCTTGGGTGTATGGGAAAAGGACATGATCTGTCGACTGTATGCATTCATCGATCAGCTGGGCGTTTGCAAACGACTTGAATTGGGTTGTCAAATCATTGGGTTCGGTACGTTGTCGTTTAGGAGAAAAGTCTTGATGGTTTGCTGTTGATAAAGAAGTAGAACCTGCATCAAAAATGATACTTTTGCTTGGTTCCCTGGTAGGTAGAGGTAAACAACCAATAACAACACAATAACCATCTTGAGTAAAGTATTATTGAGAAAGGGAGTCGAGTAAAGCCCAGGTGTTGATTAGTTGGCTCTTGTTACTGTTGGTGTAGAGTTGCAGTTGAGGAGCATCAATGTCAGCCATAGCAGGATCATACTCTGCCTTGATAGCATCATGAACGTCACTCAGGTCTTCAAAGTCAGTCACATCGATTTCAGCAGTAAGTGTGCCGTATTCAACATTGAGGTATCGTTTTGGCATTTTATGAAAAGAAAAAGAGTAAAAAAGCAATTTATTTGTCAAATTGTAAAACAAAAATCGACTTTTTAATCGAGTCAAAATAACAAAATTTTGGGATATTTCAAGACAATTCACACGATTTAAATATTTGAAAATTAGTCAAATTTACACCAGAATTAATGTCTCATTAATGTGAGACATTACTAGTGTGAGAGTGTTGACTTGCATTGTGTGAGACATTAGTAGTGTGTGAATGTGAGACATTTCTGAATAGTTTAACAATCAAAAACCATCAACAATGACGTTTGAACTGGAATTCACATGACTTTCTTGGTTTCTTCCATTTTATAAACACACTCACTTTCTTGTTAATAAACAACACAATCGAATATTGATTCATTCCTTCACATCCTTGATCAACTGTAACACACTTGACAATAATGACAACCATCAATATGCCATCATATGTCCACGATCCTCACAAGTAATATGAACTCAATTGGAAACGCTGTTATTAGCGCATTTGGTCAGTTGCAGAGCCAAACCAATGACATTGTTGTCATGATGACCAAACACGACAATGTCATTCGATCATTACTGGGACAGATCTTGATCAAACTGGACTCTGGTTGCTCACCAACACATGCAGTTGTTATGCCAGTTGTGGTATTCGAAACCATTTCCACGACTGTGAACACCACCGTAACAGTGACTGTGTTTTGTCCACAAAGTCAATCCAAGTTGTTCATATGCGACAACAGCACGTTGCACACACACGCATACTGTCGATACGGAATGCCAAGAAACAATCGACTTATTCCGTAATCGTGCAATTGTTGACATAAATGCCATTGCGGTCAATGCTGTATCGACTGGTGTCGAACCTTGAATGAATGCTGCAACTCGCATTTGTTTATTGCGTTTTGCATCGAATGCAATGTGCACACTCAATAAACTTTGTGGTATTCTGGTCACATTCCGTATCAATCTGCAACGGATTACCAACATCCATACAATCAACAACACGATCAGATTATTAGTGGATCAATCTATTGCTGTCAAACTTGTAGTCATGACCCAACTCGGTACAAATCAGGTCAAATTTGATCCAGAAACTCCAACAAAAACCATCAATCCGACCACTGAACTGTCTGCTCGTTGACGGTTTGCTGGTTATGTGGGTTTATTGTTGATGGGTAAGCGTGTAAACTGTCGTACATGCAATTTATACTGCGAGTTGATGGTCAAGTCTGACAATCTGCATTCGTGAACTTGTGTGCAAGCAGTGTTTTGTTGGATCTCAAACATCCTGCAACTCGCACAGTTGTTTGCACAGTTGCTCGTCTATCAATCCAACTGGATCTGCAACTCTGTCAAGCAAATCCGTAGTGCAACCTGCTGATGTTGATGTGACTACAATAAACACGAAACTCACCGAAATAACACTTGCTGATCTGACAGGTCAATGAGTGACACTCTAACCATTAATACCAAACAAACAACGTTTTGAATCAACAATCAACTGTCATGACAATTGGTAACATTCGTGGTCATTTGGCATCCATCTCAAACCATCACATCAAACACATTTCCAAAATCGATTGCTGGACAACTCAACTCGGTGCACGAGTCCGCATTACTGTGTCAGAGTCATATTCCGCACACACTATCCATCAACTCTGCCACCAATCATCCGTACAACAACTGACACATACACAAAAACTGTCAACGCAGGCATCCAACGACATCCTCACTGTGTGTTTCACTTCTTAATTGTTGTCAAATATTGTCAGTCAATGTGTCAAACATTGCCAGCAAACACTCACTACTTTGACATATATTCAGCCAAACCGACTATGTGGATTATCCGAGACTTGCATTACAACGGACAGTTTCAAACACACAGTGTGTGGTTTCAATGTATTGCAACACTCGGCAACTGTTCCCGAACATCGAGACACCATTCGGTATTGACAAATGGTTTGTATTTGCAAAATGACTGTTTATGGCACCATAATTGTCGCAAACATTCCAAACTTTACACCTGACTGTGTTTGGACTGTTGGCTGTGTACATTGGACACTCGGCTGCATGCGACTATCAAACGCGAAATGTCTTGTCTGCCATTCAACATGTCCTGTCAGCAGTTATTCCGTTTGACGATCACTCATCAGTGCTACTGTTTGCAAACTGGAACACTGAATATGTGCCATTACAACGCATCATACACGCATGAATACTGCGTTTGACTGTCATGCAGTATGTTGGCACTATGCAGACAGTAACATCACTCGAGTGAGCAGGACTGCATGTCATTGACACTCTATCAATCACTTTGTGTGTGACGAGACTGAACAAACACTTGTAGAATCTGCTCGTGTAGACATGAACATTGCGGTTGTTGACAATGTGTCATTTACACTTGCATCCGCACTAATACACATGCACCAACTCATTCAGTCCATTCCACTCATCCAACTAACATATCACAACTCTGCATATATGCCTATGATCGGATTGCGATGTTCACGATTGGTGGAATATATGCAGCGTTTGATGGATCATACACGGACACACACGAGCTATGCATTCAGTTATTGGATGCTGCCAATGCAACAGTGAATGACTGTCAACTGCACGCACATGCACATACTGCTCGAGAACATAAACGTCGACTGTATCGCTCAACCAAACGGATGATTTGACATGGTAACACTGGAATATCGATGTACATTACAGCAAGTATCCGCGATAATCACAATGAACTCTGTCGCAGTCAACTAGGTGCATTCTGGGACAAACACAATGCAACAATCCAGCGACTTGAATGCGCCAATGAATATATGAACTGGATCAAGTTTGCTGACACACTTGACCGGACAGTATTGATGATCGTTTTGATATGACATTTACAGCAGCTCGAATCATGCCTGGTGGTGCAACACACACAACAACCATCACTCCATTCCATTCCACTATACGATGTGATGTGATGCTAATCGTATCATTCAGTACAGCAGTGATATTATTTTTGACATACCGAATAATCACCACTTGTGTCTTGCTACAGACGATAGTGGACATTTACTTGACTTGCAGTAATGTCAGTACTTGCATATACGTGATTCACTTCCACCATACAAACTGTTTCCGATTCGTGACGATGCAACTGATCTCGACTCGGATATATCTTGAAATCGACTAGCTGATGCAATACAGCAGCTGGTTCACACCAGACACCCGGAAAACAACAGGATATTGGTCACATTCTACCGAGTCGCATTATATACACCAAATGCTACTCCTGATGAACCACCCAATCCATTTGCTCGTGTCCTGCTACACACAGTTCAGTCAATATGTTGACGGTCATTATGCGATCTTCTGGTAGTCTGCATACACTGTACCGATTGTGCTGATTGCATATATCGACAACAATAACGGTGATCACATTGATACAAATGACAAACACGGTATTACACTGATTGATGTGTGTCATAAACTGGTATGTAAGGTCTTGCAAACACACATTGATGGATCGTGGTGCTCAACAAACTCGTCACCACCGAACATGGTCGATTTCAAATCAAACAAGTGTGTTGTGTAAGTTGGTTCACTAGTCGATATTGTTCAACGACAGCAGTGCGTGCAGCTCAATACTATTGTTGTGTTGATTGACATTTAAAATGCATTCGACACTGTCATGGTTGGTGCCTTGATATGATAACTGCAGCATATGTGATTGATACCACGCACACTGGTCTTGCTGACAGCGCTACACACATGCTCATCAGCTTGTGCTCAGACTGGATCATTGGTTTCTGATCCATTTCCATTTGAGCATGGAGTCCAGTGGTGATGTCCACTGTCGGATTGTTGTTCAACGTGTTCATCAACAACATACACGATGATATCAACCGATTGTCATTGCATGAGTATCGTGTAAATCACCATCAATGTGAGGGTTCATGTATGCCGACAATATCGTGATATTTGCCGATTCTGATCAGTCACTCCAATTGGCATCTGGTGTACTTGCACGATGAATGGAACAATGTCAAACAAGTTTTGGTGTAGTCAAATGCAACATACTCAGTTTCCGTGGTCACAGCACTTTGATTCCGAATTACCAATTGATATGATGCTACACGAACAACAGATTCGTCGTGTTCAGCACTACAAATATCTGGGTGTTGTATTGCACGAACCACTGTATCACACCATGCGACTGAACTATATTCAGATTGCTGTATCCAATAGCATGTTGGTTGTGTCCAGTTCTTGCAAACCATCAACTCACAATCAACTTTTGGACACGAATATTCTTGGCAGTCAGTCTATTAATGATCATGTATGCACTGGATCTGATTGGTGGTTGGTGATGACTTGACCTGAATACACAGTCAACAGTCAACAACGGTGTGCTACACCTATTGAATGCATGCAAATCCATGACTGTCAACTCCTTGTTGTTGAAATGGGTTCAGATCACCATCAGTTTGCTCACTCGTTGCACCAATGTGATTGCATGATCAACCTGACACCAACCAAACCACACTCGAATATATATGTTCCAGTCATGTGCATGGTGTATCGATTGTCAACTCACAATGTCAACTCCAACACATTCCACCATGATTATGGTCACATCACACCATGCTGATGTATGTTGATCGGTATCACATTGCAACAGACTGTCATCCAATGACTGCAATGCAATACCGTGCATGTATTGTGACTGATACGCTGTGCACCATCAGCAAGTGTGCAACTGTCACTCGATATATCGAGTCTGATATGCAACAACATGCTGTGTTTACCATGATCAGGTTTTTGATCAATCTTGGACTCATGATACATGATTTGTCATGTTGGATCGTGTGGATGTGTCATGGACTGCAATTTAGTTGCATACACACATATGTTTGGCATTGACCGATGCATACTGTGAAATGACTGATCAGTGCGGGTGTGATTGCACACTTGGTGGTATTGTGCATTATGATTGTTTGACAATGGATGAATGCTGGATTAGTCGGTTATATGCAACCTGTTTGAATCGACATATTTGGACCATCACTCGATGTAACTGACAACAATGTGTATACATGGCTGTTGGATCAATCGAGTTTTTGATGGTAGCGTACCATTGGTAACAAACACAACCCTGACACCATCATCACAGAAACAATCATACAACAGTTGACCAATACACTTGTAACACCACCAGCATATGCTCGTATGGATATGGCATGTTCACATGAGTTCATTTCATGTCTTGGCATTCGTTTAAATAAAACTTGTTCAAAAGTAAATCATGATCATAACAGGATTACGATTGTAATAGTACACCAAAGTCGTATCCTGCAGCCATTAACAATGTATTACAATCAAACGTTGCATAGAAACCTCCACTTTGATCATGGTTTGGAACTGTAAACTGCCTGTTTGGTTTATGTTAATGTACAGATTCTACAAATGGTATGCCAAAAATCATGCCAAAATCAAAATCACCAAACAGTATCGTTAGATCAGCCGAGTGATGTCATGTATTCAATCGAGATGGATTGCAGTTCAACAAACTGGTTGCAGTGTACAAGACACGAACAATAAATGATTCTGTCATCCAAATCAGCACTAAACAATCTACCGATACTTTGAATAAACATCAATAAAAACATACTCTTGTGTGGTTGAATGAAATGCACACATCAAATACTTGATCCACATTGATGGTGACAATTACGCATTTTTTTGACTTTATTCTCACTTGGTCCCTATTGTTTGTATTGTTCCTACTATCCCTATGTCGCTAGCCGTAAGGGTTTTGAAAGACACAATGTTGCCCTTTAGACTTGGTGGAAACTGGCATCAGTCATACTATGAGACTGATTGCTTGTTGTGTACTTGAACTCCCTTATCTGGTGTTCCATCTTACACGAGTACAGTTGTAAAAATAGCCTTTAGCTTTGGCCCTTTAATCAATCCATGTTGTATAAATATCAAAACAAACTGCCAAAACTACCCAGTATTTCGACACTATCTGAATAAATTGCTGCTCGTCTGTATTGTTCATCTGGATAGTTTACAATGAAACAGGCTGTGATTTTTGTGATTTCGCTGCTGGCAGCCATGTCGTCGGCTATAGTCGTATCGACTTCTGAAAGTCCAGCTCCCACATTCGAACCATCACCATCACCATCGACATCAGGCTCAACATCAGGTTCACATCCACCTTCAGCTCCAGCACTATTATTTCGACCCCATAGTGATACTCGTGTCGCTAGTCTGTTTTCACGCTATGATATATTTTTGAAACAATACAATTCGAAAGTTGCTGAATGCAAAGTTTTAAAACGGGATTGTGAAAACCTCGACAGCATCGTACCTATACAAACGCTTATACATACGCAGACTCTAGATAAATGCAACCGTGATAGAGACTCATCAAAAAAAATGCGATTAAAGGCCACCTCCAACTGTATGAAAGAAAATTCTAAAAAGGCCAGGGATTTGTACCTTCAATCCCTTGCAAAAAAAATCCATATATGTGGTGAAGTCAATCGACTCAAAGCAAGAATGAACGAGGTCGAGGCTAAAGTTCAAAGCTTGCTATTCAATAATCAACAATAGCTTGATTAAATATCAAACTGCTATCAATATGCATAAAATTGAAACAATAAAGTTTGGAATCATGATATATGCATATTGTTTGTAGATGCACATTGTACAACAGTGAATGCAATGGATTGTCATTGGCTGTTGTTTTGAACCATTTTGTCAACAAATGCAACTGCTTATGACATGCAATAGATTTGGATAATGTACCAACAAAAAATCAACATAAACTGGTTTACCGAGTATGTTGTATACAACAATTGCTTTTATACATGTTTGATATGGATCATTCAGCTGGGACCATTGCATTGTTAATAATCGACTACAGACTCATGGACGTGTATTAAGCTAGTTTATATCATAATTATGACAGGATGTGTGATGAGATGATGCAGTGGACATATATACAACGTGTATTACAGTAAAAACATGGACTGATTGTTTGGACATGTATGGAGCAGAGCTGTTGTAACATCCAAACAACTATACTAAACATGTTGAAAAGCATCAAATGGCAGTAGGTTGATCACCAAGAAACAATGCTACAAGTCTGAAGTGCAGCATGATGACTATTTATCAATGTAATATTGATTGTCTGGTATTTACACTGTAAATCAATATCAAGTGGGTTCCAATTGCGATTTTACTGAGCATGATGGATAATGGTGGAAAATGTTTGGCAAGTCAAAGATATGGACATGTGGATGTGGATGCTAATCACCATTGAATCAAACCACTGCATGTTTTGTTGCACAGTAAATACTATACTGAACAAGTTCAAGTACAAATCCAAGTGTTTGTAATGCTACTGAGGCTGGTGATGAGTTACACTTGTGATTGAAACCTGATTGGTATTGCATGTCATGTGTCAATACGACATGACAAGCAATGTCATATTGGCACAATACACACATGCATGTCAGCATCATCAATGTGTACAACTATGCAATATACAATCAACTGTATTGTATTGGAAATACAAGTGTCAATGTACAATATGATACCATGTCAACCAAGACTGTGAAATGATCAGATATAATGCATGCAAATCCAAATTTATTGCAAGTTGAGTTGGAGTGATAATTGAATCAATTGGAACCAACAGATTAATGTTCAATCAATGGTTCGCGATCTTCATCTCCGGGTCGCTGAAACAATGATCCAGCATTACCCACAAGCCTGGAAAACACATTTCGTCTATTGGAAGGAACTCTCTGTCCAAGGGATCCAGATGGTCTACTTGATGATGGTTGCGGATCTTGACGCTGTTGATCACTAGGTTTTTTGCGTTGTTGTTGACCACCAGGATTCTGACCAAGAGATTTATTGCGTCCTAATGATTTTCCTTTACCACGTAATCCGTTAAAGTAACCTCTAGCGGAAGGATGTTTGCCGATAAGAGTAATTTTTTGATTAAATGATCTAGGATCCCAAATTCCAAAAACGGACTCCACAAGCTTTATTTCGACGCGATTCATTCCAAATTTAATATTATTTTTTTCGAACACGCACTCACTATAGCGGCTTCCAAGATCCTCAAGTTTGGCTTTTTGGGCTTCAAGATCAATCTTAGTCTTCTGAATTTTACCATTATATTCTGGACCGTCACCGCTTGTTTGAGATTTTTCTTCCAAATCTTGAATCTTTGTTTCCAAGTCCGTTACCAGCATAGTCTGGCTGTCATATTCAGATTTTAACGAGTCGCATATTTTTTCTTGCTCTTCAAAACCATACTGTATCTCTGCGTATTCTTTGAGAAATTCCTTGATGATGTCTGGAAGTGGATTAAGACCACCTAAGCCTATACCGTTTGGATTAGGAGTTGGCGAGGTGCTAGACTTGGTGCTTGTAGTTTCACTGGGAAGAATTGGATTGGCAATAGTGACCGAGCATGCAAGCAAGATCGATGACAATACAGCAATTAAAAGTTTCATTCTACTGGTTTGGTTGAGCAAGTTGTAATGTCATTCAACGAGCCAGTTTTGGATTGTATTTATGTCGGTTATCGAGTGGTGATAGTAAAAGCATATCCCTTGAATGACCGTTTTAAGGGTTAGTGTTACTGTCAGGGTTGTTGATTTGTTATCAACGTCAAACTTTGAAGGGATCTCCCTTTATATGGTGATCCACAATTTTGGTTGAGCCGCTATTTGACCATACATTCGAATATCATGTGGTTGATTATAAAGCTTCACCCTAAAAATGGCTATGGTCAAGGGTTAGGGTCAAGAAATGAGCATAAACCAAAACTGCAATGAGCTTGACACTCGACTATTAGTTGGTCATCAATATTGTTGTGATATTCCATGCTTGTTAAACTAGCAAGTGATTGGCATGATTCAACGTACAAGTAGTGTATAATGAGCATCGAATGATACCGTTTTACTTGAACAAGAGTGCTAAATCCGTTGGAATAAATGTAATTTAGTCGTCTATTTCTGTACTACATTTTACATCCTCATTGTTACACAACATCAAATGTCTGCAAAAAACAGCTGGAAATGGAATGCGTTTGTGGAAATAGGAAACACCATACACAAGATGACAGCAGTATTGCGTACATACAAATCAAAGTATGCTCTCATGATTGTCAACGGATTGATTGAAAACAACTTTATATCCAACTTGCCCATCAACAACCAACAACTCTGCAAGATCCTTTTTGCCAATATCACAGTATCTGGATGGAAATACGGAACCGATTCAAACTGCTGTCAATCAATACTGTCATTCAACACTACAAGGCTGACATTGAAAAGTTGTTTGACATCTCATTATCTCCAAAGAAAAACGGAATCCAGACCAGATTCGCTTGGAATGTCAACAACAACTGACTGTTTGTTGCTACATCAAGACTCGTCAGTACAGACCCACACAATACAATGTAAGAGATATCAGGCAACCAGATACAAATGAACTGTTTGTCTGCAATATGCTGCATCATATTGGAATGGGTTCTGAAACTCGTTGTATCATTGCATCTCACAGCACCAAAACAGTCTACATTGCTATCAAGTATTGCCATGTGGTGCTATTGTCCGAGTTGACAAGGATACAGCAAACAATACCCAACTTTGATTGGATTTGATATTTCGTATCCTGTGTATATGCGATTGTGCTGTCAACTCATCAAACTGCGGTCAAGTCGATGATAAAGCAATGATTGTCGACTTTTGTATCCAAAAACAGTCAAAAGATTACATTAAAACAGACATTATGGACAGATTCTACAAAGGAAATGGTAAATTCCATTATTCTGGGTTGATGCAAATCGCAGTCAAAACAACAAACGCTGTAAACATGGATACGATGAACAAGTCGCTGTAGGAATGGAATGCAAGCTGCTGGAGAGTATTGAGCGAGCCGAATCGGAGATTGATGGATTGGTTTAAAATGGGGTAACAGACTGATATTTGAAACGATTTACAACGATATGTCCATGATCTTGAAGCAACAGTTGCAGTTCTAATGGAATATTTTGTTGGTAGCATTCATCTTTAAATGTAGGCATATTGGTATCCAGCAACAATGGAAAATGTGTAATATTACAACTGTAATGTCTGGACAACTGACTGTCTGAATAACAGTAACTATTTCCAGTGATGCTGATTTGTAAAAACTCGAATTATTCAACAACACTCTATCAATGCATTTGAAAAAGTGATTGTACAGAATATTCGTGTTGGTTTAGCATCTTTTTACGAATGGCAAACTTCAAATTATACCAAAAGGTTGGATCAATCCAGAGATATGGCCAAGTTATTGGATACAATGGAGGCAGATAAAGACTGGGCAATTTTTAGAGCAAGCAACTGTGATCGATTTATTGACCAAGACAATGTGCCCTTGGTTGATCCTGCAAACATCATCTATGACGGATGTGACGATCTTGCCATTCGCGTTGTTCGACAAGGATCGTTACTGCGCAAAGAAGGTGTGTTTAAACGATCCTATCGGCCCGTCAATGCTGTCCTGTCCACTTCTGGATATCTTCATACTCTGCCACCACTTTCATCAACACCCATAGGAGCTACGCATTCTGACACTTCATCTGCAGGCGGTCCATTTTCTCCTACTGGCAGCAAACCGGATTTTTCGGCTGATTTCATACTTGAAATGCCTGAGCTGACGCTTGATTTGGCAGAATACACCTTGCTTTCACTTAATCTTGGCGACAAAGATCACAAAGACATTGTTTTTGTTGGGAAAAACTCGGGTATGTTTGGACGAGATATCAAACACAAATTCAAGGGGAAAACCATGGTTGAAAGTGCGGATTGGTGGACTGCAATCAATGAACATATGAAACAGATGGGAACACGGACTTTGGTTGGAACACCCACTACACAGCACTCAAAACCAGCTTTTGCTGGTACTGCTCCTTTACCAAAAGAAAGTGCAGATGGATCGACTGGACTTTCTCAACGCGCTGCTGCATCTGTAGCTACTGCGAATGCTCCGTCAATGTCTCTTCAAGCTCGATTGGGAGCCGTTGTAAGTCATAGCAAATCCGATACGATTCATGCTACTTCTGGTACACGACCAGTGAGTATGCCTGCACCACCTCTACCTGGTCGACCCAAAAGTACTATTGTACCTACATTGAGACCCAAATCTGGATCGCTTATTGACGAATCATTTGATGATTTGCCTAGTAGGAGAGATTCGTTATCACCTCCGATTTCTTTTACAACTACTTCAAATGATCAAATTCCTACACCTGCTCATGTAGCTGATTTTGCTTCATTTCCACCTCCCGACACGAGTGACAAGACCGAGGTGGGCAATGTATCTGCTTTATCATTAAGTGAACAAATGGAAATGAAATTAAGCCATGCTACAAGTGGTGGTCATTCTCATGATGATCCTGTTGAACTGGACACGCCATCACCCAAAGCAAAACTAGCCAGTCTATCTACCGGAACTAACAATCCATGGGACACATTTCAAGACGAATCGGGTGGTTGGTAATGTCGTATATGGAACTCGTTCAATTCTCTACAAGGCTTATTGTGGCATCTGCCATGTTTATTCAACTATTAAAACCTTATTTACCAAGATAATTTGTTTTTTAAACTTGAAAGCTATCCAATGGAAATTAGAGGTAGAACATACAATAGCTCAATTATTTTATTGATTTGGAAAAAATAGCAATGATTGTTGTATTCGGTAGTATAGCAATACTCTCCAAAAAGTAGCAACATAAAATACGGAATAGCAATATCAAAACAGGTGGTGAATATAAAAATGGTAGGGTACGGGAAACACTATTTTCGAGGAGGCAATGGAGGCTGTTGGCTAGATGTGCCAGTGGAAGTATTGGGCATGGAACTGGCAGCAGCAGCAATACCAACGGTTTCATAAACCTGACCCAAGATCCGCAAAGCATCAGCACGTCGTTTACGTAACTCGGTCGACACACCAGGTGCATCTCCGAGAGCATCGTCGCATACATCGCGTAGCACAGATTCAACTTCTAATTTGGATCCTCTCCACAAAGCTTCTAGTCCCTTTGTTGCCGCTTCATATTCCAGTTGCGTGCGGAGTTCTTGCTCCTGGGGTGTCAGTTCGACTTTGACATCCTCATCAACAGTCTTTTCACCTCCTTCACCTGTTTTTTTTTGTTTTTTTATCCATTTCTTGAAGTTTGGTGAATTTGCTTTGCAGATCTAGAGCCGTACGAAACGTCCCGACCGTCTCGTTTAAAATGTGAGTTTTTTCTTTGATAGCTCCGCTTACTCGAGACCCAAGTCCCCATACTCGATGCCATAGCACAGCACCCCCATCCTCTGCAGCAATTTTGGCAATCCACTGATCAGCTTTTAAAACATAGGTGAATCCAATCGCTCTCAACAATTCGGGTTCATAGCTTTCCAAAGCAAGTTGTTGAGCTTCGATAGTAGACAAAGCACGAAACGTGTCGAGTGATTCGTTTGCCAAGCTATTCAAAGAGATCCCCAAAGGTGGAGAAGAAGTAGGATCAGGAAATGGAAACGCATCAGTGTAAAGCGAAAGCTTGGCAACAAGATTATGCGACAGTTTCTGAATACGTTCTTTACGAATCAAACGACGTTGTTTGTACATCAATGCTGAGTCTTGTTTGGCTTGAGTGGTAGCATCTGTAGATGGCACTTCTGTTCCCGAGTTGATGGTAGAAGAGTTGGAGTCAGTGGTCAAGTCATTAGATTTGGATGGATCTTTTGCAGCCATGACGTCTTTAAAATCCCGAGCAATGGATATTTCACCAATGATATCAACAAACATATCACCACCAAACTGTTGTCTAAAGAATTGTTCTGGATCGACAAACACGGATCCTTCAGAACCCACTGCAGCAGCCTTTCCATGAATATTATAAAATGAACGACGCTGTGGATCCGACAAGACTAAAATTTAAACATTAGTATAGTTTTTCTGGATACACATGAACCATCAAGTCTGTACCTTGATAAGCTTCAGATATTTGTTTAAACATTTCTTCAGCCAATGGATTGTCCAAGTTTTTATCAGGATGACACTTTATAGCCTTGAGATAATACGCCTTTTTGATGACAGCACTAGACACCGTAGCAGGAATCTCCAACAAATCATAATATTCCATATCGATTGGATGGTCATCTAAATCAATCATGAAATTAGAAGACAAGAATCATCCTTTTTCAAAGGTTTTACAATTACCTGAGCCGGTTTTTCCAAGAGTAGTTTTTGGTCTGCGACTGGAAGCATTGTTGGTAGATTGGTCCGAGGCATTTGTAGTTTTTTTAGCAGAAACAGATGGAGTCTGTTGAACAGCAGAAGTTGGAATAGAACAAGTCTCTACAAGAAAATCAAACCACTCTATAAACAGAAAAGGCATAAGCTGGAGTAGCAGGAAGATAGAATTCAATGACTACAGAACAGTTTGGACACTTTGCAGTGACAGAAGGTTTTGGTCTCCTCGATTCAATAACAGGAATATGAGTTGAATCGCTCATGTTATCAACAACCAAATCTCAGCAAATGCAAAATGGAACACTTGTGTTGCGATTTCCTTGATTTTGTTGGAATTGCAGGCTTACAAACTCATTTTTATTAGAATGTCAGCAAGAGTTGTTGCACAATACAAAACTGCATTTCGCGATATTATTGTTGAACGGTTTAAACCAGATTCAATAGTAAATGTGTCGTTTTGTTGATTCAAAAATGTATATTTCGTAAATGAAACTCATCTTCAATTGTCTGATTTACAAGTTGGTTTTGGAATACTTGAAATAGTACCGCAGTATGTATTGAACAGTGGAAAATGTAAAAAACAATAGTAGTATAGATAGGGCACTGAATGATACCACTTTTCTTGGTAGATGCTCTCTGCTAAAAGTTGTTCAAAGTGTCTGGAGTTGATCTCGCCTGTGACAGGTGATTTATGCTAAAATGCCATGGACAATCAATGTCAAATATAATGGTCAAGACTCGGTGCTTTATTCATACAAATAATTGTCTAATTCATTCCAACCCAAATGTACTATCTCAAGTATTTTCAACCAGACTAAGGAGCAAGTTTGTTTCTTCCATTCGAGCAACAGGGGAGCAATTTCGTGTAGAGAAGCCAAAGTCAATGATATATGGATTCCCAGATTCATCAATCAAGATATTCTCCTTTTTGATATCGTTATGTAGAATACCGGCCTCGTGAATGCTTTCGAGTGTTTCCAACAACTTCTGCTTTTGCTGTTCAGTGAATCCATTGGCCACCGTACCACAGATAGAAACACCTACACAGTACAGAATGTCCTCCACAAACCCATGACAAACGAATCTAGGTATGCCATTCCCTTGTAGCCCCGATAGCTGTTCATACACAGAAACCTCATTCAGCAATTCTGGAAGCATTTCTCCGTGCTTGGCAATATCAGCAACCTTGAGAGCAATACGGCTAGATCCATAGTAATCCAAATACACTTTGCTTCTTCCTTCACCAAGAACTGTATCAAATTTGAAATCATCAACATCAAAGTCTTGGGGTTGCTCGTTGATTTGAATTCCAGACGACAAAGAACTGCATCCTCTGGAGAGACTAGCACGCGGAGATACTCTAGTACTACTTGGTCGAGAGATTTGGGTAGCAGAACTAGCTCTAGACGGACGCTTTGATGCGGGGGGAGAATCCATATGATTGTGATTGACGATGCTGTTGAAATACGATAAGCATTGTTGAACAGTGGGAGTTTGAGCAGTAAAGGAGATTCCCTCGGAAACATACAAAGTTTCATGAACTTGAGGTTCTTCACAAACGGCACATTCTTGATTTCGATAAACAAACCAGGTGTTTTCGTATGACGACAGAATCCCATATTGTCTGTGGTTCAATCGCATATAGTGGTAGAGTTGGTCAAGAGCAGACGCACGTGTCCTTTCTGTGTCGTATGAATTGACAATATCACTGATAGGCAAGGTCCAATTGCCCTTTTCTTCAACAATGGCGACAATCTCTCCATTTCTAGTCATTAAATGATCTGGCTCTCCTACGCAGCTTGTGATTTGACGTCGTGCCTTGAATTCAGAAGGAGGAATGAAACACTTGGCAGAGATATTGAGCAAATTGTCGAGAATGAAGGGTTGAAGACTTTGAACTTCTTCGGTGATAACTCTGGGAACAAACACAGGTTTTTGTACTCTTTGAGAATGCAGATGATGATTAGCACCAATCCAATCAACAACGCTTTGCTTAAAATCAGACCACAGGAAAACATGTGTCGGCTTCTTCCAAATTCTGCCAGAAATGTTGGGTCTTGACACAGGATTGTCATACACCGGTTTAGGAAGAGAACAAACCATATGCTCGTCCATAGTGATAGTATCGCTTAGAGAGCGAATAATCAGTGGATGGTCGTAGGAACCAGTAGGTTGCTGAATATCAATCAAGAGAGTATTCCCAGGAATAGCAGGTCCATCAGGCAAGTGGAGAGTGAGCTCGTCAACAAAGGTAGAAGCAAGAGGAGAGTTGGGAAGTGCTTGGAAAGCAACAACCAGGCCACCAATGTCAGTCAGTGGTCTTCTTCTTTCTAGTTCTCCATTGAAGTGAGTTTCAATTTTCACTGGCTGGTAGTCCAGATATTTGATGTAGAATGCTTTGTTTTCCATTGGAGTTTACTGGAGAGAATTGAATGGAATGAAATAGAATAAGAATGGAATGAAATGAAAAAAAGAAAAGAAAAAATTGGACTTTAAATCCAAAACTCGATATCATGTGAATAATGTGAGACAAATTCACACACTTTGAATAGTGTTTAAGCATTTTTGTGTTTATTTGTATTGTTCAATCGAGTGTCAATTCAACTCAATTGATTACGTCATTCATATAATGACTCGAGTCTTTTATTCAACATTTTAATATTCAATTATTGTTAATCAGTCAATTGTTGGATTAGTAAATGTGTTACAAAACATTCATTTACATGCTGAATCTGACAAGTGGATAATGATTGTTCCAATCAACACATGGATTGGATTGACTGCAATATTGTCATTGATTGCAGTCACTGTTGACCAATACATTGTAATACATTGACAGTCTCGACATCAACATTGTCATTCATGTCAAGTTGTGTGTAGTTGCTAATATTACACCACAACAATAATGACAACTTTCGAGTCCTGTGATGCGCCATTTCAACTATGACCGGATCGAGGTTGATCACTTGTCAATACACGGGTCAGTTGTATAATCGTATGACTGTTGGTTAACCAATGTTTGACTGTCAATATTTGAATCATGAATATTGTCCAACATAATCGTCACTAACATTGTCGTTTGATTGCCTTGTTTTGTGAATAATCATTGTAATGTCATTTGTTCAGTTGTTGTTGGTTTATTGAAACCATGTCACAATTCTTGATATATTGCACGTAATCTTGTAATTGTTGGTGTTGTCTGTAGTAATTCTGTCAATGTATACGAATGGCACTTGTTGCTAATTGGTAGTTGTTTATGATTAATACACAACCGATCAGGTTTGGTGACCATTCTATGCACATATATATTTGACATTATATCGGACTGTTATGTTGTTTGATCCAATAGTAGTATATGTCAGTCATACTATAATACTACAGGTTTGTTGCAATCTCCATACAACCTATATCCAAAACTGCACAAACACTGTCATTCAAGATTGATGAGTATGCAATCACAAATGAATCCAACGCATTTTTGCTGTATATAGTTGTATCGGCTGTCGTGTTTGTTGGCTTGCCTGTTGACTTGACTATATCTGATATTACACGGGCTATTCAACAATTGTATTGAATTCCGGTTAGTATCGAGTCATTTGAGTCGTTCGAGTAGTCAAGTTGCTTGGTTTGCAATGTGTTGTGTCCAGGAATCACTTGCAATCAAACCATCACCAAACCACAAGTTAACAACACCAAATGATATATGACTGGTTTTATTAACACATTGCAAACACTCGACGAATTAGCCATGAATCAGGTTCAATCATCAACCGCCAATATTGGAAAAGCGTGTATTCCTGGTTTAGTTGATGATGATCCGAGTATGCGGTATTCGTCACAGTTTGATTTGGTCCAAACAGGTTTTGTAATGGTTTCAACAATGTCTGATGAATGACATGCTACAATCGCAGTATATTGATATTACCGCATGATACAACTGTTTGGTTGACCAACCGACTCGAATGTTGATGGATTATTATGCCAATCGACTGTTTTGACTCGATATCACACTTGACATGCCAACACATGCGACATATGATGGAGTGTATAATTGCAGTTTGATTGATTCAATGTTGTGTTACGACATGTGTTACAACATCAGTCACCATGTGTAATATAGTTTGTATATCCAACAACACATTGGAGTGATTGATTGTCGTTCCGATCGATCGAATGTCAATATGTTTGTACAACAGTTTGGTACAACTGACTGTCTGTGGATTATTATCACACGAGTCAATGCTGACCTGATTTGCGATATTCAGTGTTGTTGGAATATCAACACAACATCAACACCAAACATCAGATCGACACTGCACGTTGATGTTGATGAATGCAACATGAATATTGAAACAATGCATCATAATGCGTACAAGTCGCAGATTGCAGTTCAAACTCAATGTAAAGTGCACATTGTTACAGTTTGGTCATGAACAAAGCGATACGCACAATGTGCAGTTCATGTCTACGACTTGACTGATTGTTAGACAACGACCATTTGCATTGTTGAACAGTAAACTGAACAGTAAATGACCATCAAATGCATGGCTTGGTATTGACATTCAAGCAATCACCATGATTGTAATATTTGCAAGTTGTCCACAAGTTGTTTACAAACGACCATCAATTGACAATGGCATGCATGTGCATGGTTGACTATACAATACACTACATGAACCAATATTACTGGCTGAATACAGGTCACAACTGCGAGTATCCATGTGGTAATGGACTGACATTGGTGTTGATACCCAATTGATTGGCTAATCGATCATCATCAATTGCATCAGTGATTGGTATATTCAACTGATATACACCATGTCCGAGTCTAATACATGTTGATATATGCGTGTCAATCAGCAATACAGATTTGTGGCCATTACAGTCGAATGTGAGTCGAGTCGATCACTAAATCAACGAATCAATGATTGCATTCTAATTGACCAATATCGAAGCGGTTGATGGCACAATCTACATCCGACTTTGAGCAACTGTATTACTCCGTTTGTTGTACAATACACGACATGATCAGTTGGTGGTATCATGCAACTGACAAGTGATTGCAAGTATGACTGATAGTCACAATCAACACTGGTTGTTATCATGTCATTGATGTATATGAAACAAACCATGTCAATGTATCAATCAACAATCCAGTAACTGTTGATGTAATACTCAACACAATATACAATCAATGATATGGTTGTTGGCCCATTCACAATACTCGATAAATACCAACATATCAGAAAGCTTAAATTTATTCAAAATCAAATTCATCGACACATCATCAATCTGAATCTGATTTCGGTTCTTCGAATCTCAACTCATGCTTTTTCATAAACCTTTTCAATTGTTTTCTAACACTGTGTACTCTTATTTTTGCCTTTTCATACTCTTGTTTCAATTGAATTTCATCCTCTGGGTTATACTTGGATCCATGTATATCTTTGCCCATTTCTAGCACTGACCATTGTTTGAATCCAAGAGTCATAGATTCATAATATTCTTTACGTTTTTTCTCTCGTATCTCTTTAGATGCTTCAAGTCTTTTCTTTATACGATCAAAGGTTCTCTGATATCTTTCGCTTAATCCAGCTATTTGATTCGACCCAGTATTAGCAGGCTCATCTTCGTCCATTGGTTGTTGTTGGTTTTGATTGGAAATACTTGGACTGATTTCATCAATTGGCCGTTTCCGACCTCGTTTGGAAGTACTTGGATCAACTACATCAATTGATTGCTGTTGGTCTTGATTGGAATTTTTTGAACTGACTGCATCAATTATTTCTTGCCAGTCTTCAGGAGTGCTTACACTGATTTCATTCATTATGAATTTCCAATATTTATCAGAAGTGTTTAAATCGGATTGATCCATTGAATGCTGTTGGTCTTGACTGAAAGTACTTGGATCAGCTATATCAAACAGTTTATGCCATTCTTCAAAAGTATCCGAATCGACTTTATCTGTTGAGTATTGCTGGTTTTTGTCGGGAATTCCTGTATTGTGTTCATCAGTTGATTGTCTCCGACTTTGTTTGGAAATGCTTGAACCGTGTTCATCAATCGGCCGTTTTCGACCTCGTTTGGAAGTGCTCGGACTGGGTTGATCAATTGGTTGATGCTGGTCTTGGTCGGAAGTATTTGAATCGGGTTTATCAATTGGGTCAGAAACTTGGCTGGAAGTACTTGAACTGGGTTGATCTACTGTATTTTGCCAATCTTGGTCTGAATCAATCGGATCAAATATGCTTTGCCAGTCTTTGTCAAGAATGCTTGAATTAATTTCATCCATTACTTTTTGCCAGTCTTGGTTGGAAGTATTTGGATTAGGTTCATCAGTCGGACCAGACATTTGGCTTGAAGTGCCTGATGCTTGGGGTGAGTCATCGTTATCAGTCGGGATCAGTATTGCATTAGTGGTTGCTGCCGCAGTCAGCACGAATACAATATCAACCAATTTCATTAGATTGGTCAATGGGTTTAAACGATTAATACAAAAGTAGTGTCGATTATAGGAATGAACATACTCGATTGTATTTGTATTTTTGTATAGTAAACCAACCCTTTTAGGTTAACCAACGACACAGGGTTACTTGATTGCTTGTAGTGAGCCAATATCAAACTAGGCAGTATGATGCTCCCTAATCACAATATCATATTGATCAATTTGATGATCATATCGATTGAATTATGCTTTTACGACCCTTTTATCAGGTATATTGAAAAGCACCCTTCATGAGTGTTGTGTAATCGCAAATGCTCCTTTTTACAACCATATTCATGTCAAATGGATCACTTTAATATTCATCCAACAATGTCTGTATTCTGCATTGCAATATACAATGATTACTACACATTGACTGCATTGCGTGTTCGATATACAACAACCATCATATGACACACAATCAAACCATAATGTTGAATCTATACTTTGTGCACTCTTAGTAATCATACATTGTACGATCACCAAGTTTGAACCCATATCCATATATTGTGTTTGACTGTCAATATTGTCAATACAACTCTGTACACTCATTTGTTGTATTCTGAATCACAGATACAATCACAATCTAGTTCAACAACAATCATGACACATGTCAGTAATGCAACTGTTTATTACACACCAACACTGTTATTTGGTGGTCCATTTACATCAATATGGCTGAAAGTTGTTGTTATATCACGTATTCTGGACATGATTTTGATATTACACATCCAGTTCCATCACATTGTTGCTGACCCATCATTGTAATGCTGTATGTATCAAACACTGGCATGTCACCACAACCATAACCAGTAAAACGACACTCGAGTTGTTTACTGTGGTCAGTATATGCAGCCTAGTTCAACTACACATACTAGATCCAGTCTGTTGGTTGTTTCAGTTGACCATGACTCACTTTTGATGTTTTGTCCGTGATCGACAATACAAATGTGTCGAACTGAACCCAAACTACACGACTCGACTGTTTGTGTCAATTGGATCGTGACTGAGATATGCGATCATGATGTGTATTCAATCCATACCATGTATTACCAATGCAATAGTATGCGTGACCATCGTGTATCAAACAATTACGATACACACTGGACTGATCCAATACATGCACGGCTTGAACATATCACACAATCAAACATGAACACACCACATTAAATATGCATATAGTATCACTTTGTCACTAATGAATTGTATTCAGTCGAGTTTATTGAGAGTCTGTTTGCGACTCTTGACAGCGTGGTGAGTGTCTTCAGGTACAGCTACTTGATGATTATCACCAAGAGTTCCGATGTACATCATATCAACTGTAAAATAGTCATGGTCATCATCCATGCAACAAATAACCAGTTTATTACTATATCTGTTTAGCCATCAAATTTCTTGTAATTAGGCTTTGAATGCTTACTACCACGGAGAGTACTACCAAGTCGCGACAATGATCTCCTAAGAGTAGATGTGCCATCTGAACTTGAACCACTTGGTTGTTCAGGCAATCTAACAGTATTCATCAAATTCATGATCAATATCAATTGACACATCCACACACCAATATCAAACAACTTACTGTGATGGTGACCAGAGCACTTCATGACCGTTTGAAATAATAGGATATCCATCAGTCGAGACTTCGCATCCACATCCAGGACCAAATCCAATGCGTGTATTTTGTAAATCAAATGTCAATCCAAGTCGAATCATAAATTGTATACCAAGAGTTGCGTAATCACTTGAACAAATTTTTACAGCAAATCTAACTATAATCCAACATATATATTAGTCAGGTTAATCAAACAACACACATTACATACAATTGTCAAATATTTACCATATTTAGAGTCAATTCTCTGCATATAGTCTTTGGGACCTAGTTTGATTGTTACAACGGAATCGCGATTGTCATCAGTTACAGGGGTTTGAGCAAACATTGTAATTGAAAGCGACGGCATCTTGTTCCAATCGATATTATAATTGGGCTCAAACATTAAATAGTTTTTCCGCAATCTCTTTTTAATCCTTCTTTTGCCGAGGTGATTGTTACTAAACATAGTATTCTTGACAGTGATCGCATCACTATCAAGAATAGCATCAATCAACGTTGTCACGACTATTTCAGGGAGACATATATATGTAAAGCATGTATGTATAACCGAATACAAAGTACGTCCATATTCCACCTTTTTTTGGAATCCAGCAGGCAGATCCACTTGTTTGTCATTGACTAGTATACTCTTGATGTCGACAGTAAATTCATCGGTTGTTGGTGATTGTACCCATGCAACACTTTTTCCATCCGTTCTGCATTTTGGAGTTATGTCCGTGTTTCCTATATTGATGAAGCTTTCCTGCAACATCTCATATGGACATAGTTGAATACTAACCTCGTTACTGGGAATGACATTATTGCTGTACAAAGCATCCATCGCAGTGGTTTGTGAATGATGATTTGACAACAAGGGATAGGCAAACCCAAATACTCCTTGTTTGAGTTTTCCACCAATGCCAATTAGATCTGGCGACTTTTTTTCAACCAAGATTGCTGGTAAATTGATGCCAGTTATTTCGGTACCCGGAATCGTCACAGCGGCTGTGGAACTAAATCCACTATACTCTTCGCCTTTGTAATTTATAGTAACGGTCTTTCCACTTGTAATACTTTGTATAGCCAAACCTATATCGCTGCTTGAACTAGAAAGTGGTACGATCGTATCAGCCATTGATGAATCGACTTGTAAATTCAACTATTTTAAACAAGTATGAGATTGATTAAACGTGATGCAAATTGATATCAAACTACAATGCATGACATGATACATACATCGACTCCATTAACATTGGATCTAATTGTGAAGCATTTGTTAATACCACCACTCAATTCAACGGGTGATCGTTTTGATAGCCTATTGTTTGATTGACCAGTAATTTCAATTGGTGATTCTAATACAAGTCGAACTGCAGAAACCGCCTGTAACGCAAGTAGAACGCATTCTAGAGTAATCAGCATTGTATCGAGTAATGTGATGAAAGTGTTGTGAATCTGGTACATGATTGCCGTTTTATAATGACGGCAGCTTCAAGGGTGACAATCGACACTTTCCAAATGGGTATTTAGAAAACGCCAAAAACACCATGCAGGGTGGATCAATATACAAACATTGATGTTAGTGGAAAATTAACCTCAGTAATATGCTGTGTCGATATTCCAAATTGCGGTCATGTATCCAGTGATCAGATAGCGTCAGATCATTACCCTGATCATGGATAATTATCATCACACATACAATCCATTACTACAACACATACTGACACTGTATACCAAATACTTGACTGATTGTCCAATTGGTCATGTTTTGGATCACTCGGACACAACAGCATCAAACAGCCTGTTGTTTCAGTATTTCAAAACCATGACTTTTCCATTGATATGACTGCACAGTCATTTTAGGTCAATGTAGACTGTACACATCAAACACTGCTGATTGTGTCACAACATGATCACCATCAAACTCGGCAATCTGTCGCTGCTACACTGAATGAGTGACATTGTACTATAATTGAATTGGAGATTGGCAGGTCGTTCAACAAACTGGCCGTGTCAACAGGTCAGATTGTCATCGTGTACATGAACCACAATGGATGATCATGTCATTCAAATCGGCACACAATCTACTGATATATGCAAAACAACACCACCAATACAATACAAATCAAACCCAATCACAAACGTGGTGTTGAATCCAATGCATGCGAGTACTTTTAAACACATGATACACACTGATGGTGATGGTTGCTGACAGTCACATTGCAGTGTACATGTCCACCAGTGTCCACTGTCATGTCGATTGTTGCTATCCGTGACATCCAACTAGATCACAATCAATGTCTAACAAATACAACACAGTAAACTAGCCACGAGTATCCAAGAGTATATCAATTGATGTGATCCAACAAAACAGCATAGTATTGACTGTTTTGTTAAAGTGCATTCAATCAAGACACTCCAGTATCTCGAGTAGAAATATCAGATCTGTTCACCTTTGTACTGAATCCGCAACAACTCGCACAGATTAGAAACAAAGTTTGGACAAGTCGAAATAGCTCAAATTTACAGCTGAAACCAAAATGGTATACAATCGCATTCATGTAGAGTTGAACACTATCTTGCAGTGATTGACTGTTGGTTTGGAATAAACAATGCTGAATATTGGTTGTAGTTTTGTACTTGACATTGACTGTTGACTCAATATACATTATGAATTATTATAAACAGTGTCGATGATATGATGCACACAAACTATGATTTGAACTGAAATAGTCTTGAACCGGCGTTTGTTGTTTCTGTTGTATTTTGAATCACGGATACGATTGCAATCTAGTTCAACAACAATCATGGCACATGCCAGTAATGCAACTGTTGTTTGTATGCCAACCATGACATGACACTGGCTGTTTATTACACACCAAAACTGCCACTTAGTGGTCCATTTGCGTCAATACGACACCACCAATACCACATCACATATATTACATTACAAACTGACACAACACTGATTGACCAATATCAAACCAGTTGATGGCATAATCTACATCCAACTTTGAACAAGTGTATTGCTCCGTTTGTTGTACAATGCACGATATGGTCAGTTGGTGGTATCATGCAAGTGCGATTGGTAGTTACAATCAACACTGGTTGTTATCATGTCATTGATGTATATGTAATAAACCGTGTCAATGTATCAATCAACAACCCAGTAACTATTGATGTAATACCCAACACAGTATACAATCAATGATATGGTTGTTGACTCATTCACAATACTCGATAAATATCAACATATCAGAAAGTTTAAATTTATTCAAAATCATCAATCCAACTCCGGCTCTTCAAAATCTAAACCATGCTTTTTCATAAAACCTCTCAGGTCTCGTCTTAAATTGTATACTTTTCTGCTTGCCTTTTCATACTCTTTTTTCAACTGCTTTTCAGTGTCTGGGTTGTACGTTGAGTTGGGTATCTCTCTGCCCATTAATAGCGCTGATTGCTGCTCCAATCCAATTGCTTGATGGTCATAATATTCTTTGCGTTTTTTCTTTTGTATTATTCTAGACGCTTCAAGTTTTTGATTTATACCATCAAGAACCTTCTGATATCTTCGACTTAATCCAGTCACTTGATTCGATCCAGTATTGCCCGACCTGTCATGAATCATTGGTTGTTGTTGGTCTTGGCTGGGAATATTTAGACTAATTATATTCATTAGGCTTTGCCAGTATTTGTCAGAAGTGCTTGGACCAGCTATATCAGTTGGCTGTTTTCGGACTTGTTTGGAAGTGCTCGGACCAGCTATATCAGCTGGCCGTTTTCGTCCTCGTTTGGAAGTGCTTGGACCAGCTATATCAATTGGTTGTTGTTGGTCCTGATTGTGAATATTTGAATTGACTTCATCAATCAAGTCTCGCCAATCTTCTGGAATGCCTGGATCGGGTCCATCTATTATGATTTTCCAATCTTGTTCAGAAATACTTGGACCCAATTCATCAATTGGTTGTTCTTGAGCTAATTTGGAAGTACTTGGATCAACTACATCTATCGATTGTTGCTGGTCTTTGTCGAAAATGCTTGAATTAATTATATCCATTAGGCTTTGCCAGTATTCGGAAGTGCCTGGATTAGGTTCATTGGTTGGACCAGATACTTGACTCGAAGTGCCTGATGCTTGGGGTGAGTCATCGTTATTAGCCGGTATCAGTATTGCATTAGTGGTTGCTGCCGCAGTCAGCACGAATACAATATCAACCAATTTCATTAGATTGGTCAATGGGTTTAAACGATTAATACAAAAGTAGTGTCGATTATAGGAATGAACATACTCGATTGTATTTGTATTTTTGTATAGTAAACCAACCCTTTTAGGTTAACCAACGACACAGGGTTACTTGATTGCTTGTAGTGAGCAACCATCAAACCATAGTATGCTGATCCCTGTTCATAATATCATATTGATCAATTTGATGATCATATCGATTGAATTATGCTTTTACGACCCTTTTATCAGGTATATTGAAAAGCACCCTTCATGAGTGTTGTTTAGCCACAAACGCTCCTTTTTACAACTGTATTCATGTCAAATGGATCACTTTAGTATTCATCATGCAGTGATTACTACACATTGACTGCATTACTTGTTTGATATACAACAACCATCATCATGACACATAATCAGACTATAGTGTTGAATCTACACATTGTACACTCTTAGTAATCATACATTGTACGATCACCAAGTTTGAACCCATATTCATGTATTGTGTTTGACTGTCAATGTTGTCCATACAACTCTGTACACACATTTGTTGTATTCTGAATCACGGATATGATTGCAATCTAGTTCAACAACAATCATGGCACATGTCAGTAATGCAACTGTTTATTACACACCAACACTGTTATTTGGTGGTCCATTTACATCAATACGGCTGCAAGTTGTTGTTATATCACATATTCTGGACATGGTTTTGATATTACGCATCCAGTTCCATCATATTGTTTCTGACCCATTATTGTAATGCTGTATGTCACCATAATCATGGACATGAACATGAACATGTGGTTTCACGTATAATATTACAACCACGCATGTCGTTGGTTGAATCATCACTACTAGTGTATACTACAATACACTACACTACATGTATGTTGACATGTGTTGTACCAATTTGGTTGCATTGCTACAATGTGGCATGCTCCAACCTGTTTGAATGACTGTTGTGCAACATATTGGTATTGTACACATGTGATACTGGTCACCAACAAAGTGATCAGCGGTATTCTATCGTATCATTCAATCACTGACTGCCAATACTTCAATTATGAATATTATCCACCATTTCATGACACCATCTGATACATTCAGTGCACAGTAGCTGATTGGTGCAATATGATCAATTCAAGCATACTATTACATTGGAAATGGTGGTGACAATGCAAGGTGTTTATTGGAAAAACATGACTGAATGCTTACATGACGAATGCAAATTGACAGTATAAATCATATATACACACTGCAGTACAACATATTCTAAACGAGGTTGTTAATAGCGTGATTTCAGTTTTACAATGAAATTGAATTACCAAGCAGTCTAGTGTTCAAGCATTGATTTACTATACACTTTTAGTTCTGGTGGTTTGCGTAGAAATGTTCAAGTAGACTTTTTATATCCAATGAGTTCTAGCATTTGTCGTTTGAGTCTATCAAACCTTGATTCTGGTGGAGGAAATTGAAGATCATATTCTTGAGTTGCGCTAGATTCACTTAGATATCTAAGAATTCTAGTCTCAGGGTTAAAGTGTATTTTAGCTTCCCTTGAACCAGCATCGTGACTTGATTTCTGATGATGTTTTTTAGAATGATCGTGTTTTGAGCCGTGGGGTTTAAAAGTAGATCCGGGTTTCAAGATGGATTTTAATTCTGGAGTAGGTTCAGATACAACGCTTATCGATGCTTCTTCGAGAGGTTCAAGAGCCAACTTGCAACACACCCATAATCTTCCTAGTGCACATTTCTCCAATTTTTTTTGATCAGATGAGCTCATTCTACGCCTACGCCCTGATTGTTTAGCCGTTAGTACTCTTTCTTTTGCCTTGGCGCTCATCTTGTGTGGATATCCGTCTCCAACATTTTCTGGAATTTTCATACCCATATCCCTCATGCGTTCCTCGACTTCATCGAGTTTTTGCTGAAGTGTGAGAATAGGTCGCTCGTTCTCTGGGATATAGTTTTTAGGAAGATGGCAGGCGTCGTCGTATGATGCACCATCAAATATATCATCATCAAACCCAAATAACTCGAATAACTCAAATAATTCATCGGGCTCGTTGGACTCTTCAACAGAGCTGTCTGAATCATCGGAATCTACAGTTGATTGAGCTACATCATGATTGGTTCCAGTTGATTGTTGTTCTGTTCCAGTTGAAGCGCAAATACCAGTGTGTTGCTGCATGTGTGTTGAGCATTCTTTTACAGGTTCTGATTCGATGGCAGACGGACGATCGATGACTACCGCACTGACTGTCACCGACAATAGCAACAACACAATAGTCGATATGAATTTCATCCTGTTGACGAGAATGAATGTGATAAAGTTTGTCAACTAGTAGGACAATTCTTGGTAATGAATGGGTCGGTTGTGGATATGCACTATGCTTTCATGACGGTTAAAAATATATAATCAAGACATAAGGGTTATATAAGCTTATGCAGGGACGACTTGACACTGTTCAGGTATATGTAGCACAGATACTCACATGCAAGTTTTTTATGCACAACTCTTCAGCCATTGAATGAAGCAGGACTCAGTCAAGGACTGCTAACCCTGACGCATTTACTAAAAAAAATATTGAAATGAGTTGCATGATCAGTCAGTTTCAAGTTACGGTCAGTATAGGGTAACAGTTTATCCACACAACAGCTGGTCAAATATTAGTGGTAAAATCCTTCAAACGGCTCTGCCTCAACACTTGATCTAGTGATATGACACTGTTGCAGTCCTGTTCAATGCAGTATGGATTGATGGTCATATCAGCAATATCAATACTTTATGTCAACTGTAATATTTTCAATACGCAAACTCAAAGTATTGCCAATGATTAGAAAAGCTTCAACAGAACTCTTGAACTGTCAATTGTCATGCTATCAATAGTATGAACATCCGACTCAATACTGTACATGACTGGTTGTCAATAGTCTTGCAGCGTTTACTTGACAAACTTGATTCCTGTTTCGATTATACAAACATGACATCAAACACATGTCTACTTTGGAACAAGACGTTGAGTTGAATGTCCAGCAATATACAAAAATATACAAAAACAGCACGAATTGAATGTCAAAACTCGATTACTAACAATTTCAAATCTACAGAAACGAATACGACAACTTGCAGTCTAGTCATGTAAACGGAATACTAACAGTGTTGGTGTGTAATAAACAGTCAGTGTCATGGACTGGTTGACAATACAGTGGTGTTGTTGGTGGTGATTGGCATGCAAACAACAGTTGCATTACTGACATGTGCCATGATTGTTGTTGAACTAGATTGCAATCGTATCCGTGATTCAGAATACAACAAATGAGTGTACAGAGTTGTATTGACAATATTGACAGTCAAACACAGTACATGAATGTGGGTTCAAACTTGGTGATCGTACAATGTATGACTACCAAATGTGCACAAAGTGTAGATCTAACATTATAGTCTGATTGTGTGTCATATGATGGTTGTTGTATATCGAACACGCAATGCAGTCAATGTGTAGTAATCATTGTATGTTGCAATGCATAATACAGTCATTGCAGGATGAATACATAAAAATGTTTCATTTTATGTGAATACAACTATAATGAAAGACCGTTATTTAGGCTTGGAATCACTTCTTTCCTGTCATCTTTGCTATAAATTTCATAAACCCATTTTTCTTTTCTTTTATAGGTAAAACATTGACTACTTTTTTTTCTTTTATAGGTAAAGCCTTGATTACTTTTTTTTCGTTTTTTGGTTTCAATTCGCCTTTTCTTTCTTTTATGAGTCTTTCCTTGATTCCTTGAACTCGTTGCCTCCTCTGTTTTGCAAGTTCTATTTTTTGTCTTTTCTGATTCAAAATGTCTAAATGTTTCTTTAGCCCATTTTCTTTTTGTTGTCTAAGATTAAGCCTGTGATTATTTAGTTCTTTGTACGCCTGTTTATAATTTGCTATAGCATCCTGTCGCTGTTGTATTTTTGATACTGGTGGTATAGGTGAGCGAGCAAACATGTGCACATCTTGTTCTGGTAATTCCAATTCCAATGCACGACGCTGCAAGTTGGGGTTATCTTCTGGACTATCAGAAGGAACAGCTGCAAGAGCCATGCTAGAAACCCCAAGAACAATACTCCATTGAACAAGTTTCATTATGCTATACTGTTTGAAATGTGTTAATCGGCGCCAATGTATCAATTTCAGTGCCTGTATAGTTTTCAAAATGGGACTGCTTGCATGTTTTATACTCGACAAGGAGTAACAGTGGAGTTTGTTGTCAAAGCATTGTCCATATGGATAAACTATTTTAGTAATTACACGAAAGCTTTGTGGGTCACAAGCTATATGAAAGGTTACAACACGCCTCACAATTGAACCGGACTGTGTCGTCCCATCTATTTATCCCAAATTTAGTAATCGAGTCTACACAGACTTGTATTTGACCAAAGGGCGGCTACCATTTACTGACTCCTGTACACTAACGGCCAACTCCAAGACCTGACTAATATACCATTCTTAGTCAACATATGCTTTTTGTGTCTTGAAACATTGACATTCGACAACCAGAGCATATGGGATAAACTGATTGATTTTGGTGTGATGTTGTAAAGGGATTTTCCCCCCTAAACTCAAGATTGGCTGCTTGCTACTAAACCACATCAGATCACAGGGATTGCTGAAAATAACATGGTCAGGATTAGGGTTGAATGAGTATGTCCTGATGTGATCCTATTGGTCATATAGGACATCACTCGAGCTTCGACAAGTAAAGTTGCATCAGATTGAATTGCATATTCGCCATGCATGATTTTATAGTTATACAAAGTCATTGTCTTGCCAATCAGTTTGCTTTGCATGTGCCAAACTTGGTGTGGTAGGTATGCTACTATATAGTACTAGTATCAAAATCAATTGATAAGCATAATGGAGCAGGTTGGTTCAGGAAACGGTGTCTGATGGCTGTAGACTGGCAATGCTATCCAGAATCCATTTTCAACAGACTCCAAAACAATGTTTCGACTTTACAGCATCAATGAAACAATGGAATGCCAAATGGAGTATCAAATGGAGACCAAATGGAGACCAAAATAGATGAACTAGCCCAACAATCGGAATGAGATATGATGTAATACATGCAATAAATATACACATGGCTTGTAGCACAGGATCAGTGACTGATATACCGATAATTGCATTCATTTCACATGTATTGAGCAAGTGGGGTAAAACAAATATGAATGGAGTGTATGAATCGTTCAAAACACATTTGGTTTATAAGTGCACCTGCAATCGCAATCAAGCATTTGGAGTCAAAAGTATTCAAAACAATATGCTAGATACTGCAGTTCAATTACCAGCAGTGTTCACTTTACAAATCCAACTCTATAATATATCATCAGACAACAGCCAGTAATATTTGCTACGTCATCAACTCGATACATGTCGAGTATCCTGATTTAATCTTGTCACAGGATTAGCATACATGTCTTGGATTCACTACACTTGAACAAACCATTTCAATATTATCCAACACACTAGACTATTGACTGTCATTCAAAAAACCATATAAATCCTTGTATTTTTGTTTATTAAGATTTGTAAAGGATGAACTTGAATTACCATCAAGATAGCATCTATTTAAGCAACACACAATATGCATTTGAAAGAGTTGAACCAATCATGTCAAACTGTTTTAGCAATGGATCAGGGCTCAAATAAAGCATTTGAATCTCGGATTTTGGGGAAACGACCTTCAACAGCTGGCGTGATGGTTCCACGACGCTCAATGCACATTGCCAATGAATCTGCAATCAACTCGTCAGACTTGTAAGCAATAGGCGGTATCATGTTATCACCTCCGTCTGCAATATAATCCAGAGTGTAGAAATTGTACAAGGTCTCCATCTCCAAAGGTTTACCGCCTACAAGAACTTTGGTGATTTTGCTACCAATAGGTTTCTTGGAGTCAAAATCAAACGTCAAGCCAGAATACTGAGGGACAGTAATAAAACTTTTTTTCAAAGTGGGATTGTACATGGCTGCAGAGTTTTCAAGAAGTTCCATGATTTGCTTGCCCGAGTATTTAAAATTTACGACAGCATTATCAAACGGTGCAATGGTCATGATATCGGCATGGGACACTGGTCCCTTGAGAATAGATGCTCGGATTGTACCAGAGTTCACCATGGCGATTTGAGCACCTTCCTCTTTATGATTTTCAATCATACAATCAGTCACTAGATTTCCAAATGCACACTCACCAGTAATGCAGTCTTCAACAAGGAAATCTCCCAAAGATTTGCCAAGAGTTTTTTCAGAAAGACTCGAAAAAGATTCACGAAGCTTATCTACTTTGGCTTGGTATTCGGGATTGGGCGTAAACTGTTGATCAAGAAGTATGGGATCGCCTTTAGGTGGTTTCATGTTGTCAAACAAATCCCATTCAAGTTCGAGATATCCAAGATAGTCGCCAAAACGGTGAGCCTGGACCACATAGGTATCCTTTCCTTCAAGATTCTTTACCACAGTTGGATACAGACCCTCGACATTAGGAAGCGATGTGTCTTTTAAAAGAAGAGAGTGCGAGTGTCCACCAACAATGAGCTGGACTCCCTTGGTATTTTGGGCAAGATACTGGTCCTGGTGATATCCATTGTGAGAAACACAAATGATACGCTTAATGCCCTGGCTGTGCAGTTCGTCGACATATTTCTGGACTGGCGCAACAGGATCGTAAAACTTGACATCCCTTCCTCCAGTGGTAATCTCTGCAGTTGTCTTGGTAATGTATCCAATAATGGCAAGAGAGTACTTTTCCAAGTAGATATACGGTACGACACCAGCATCTTTAAGCCTTGGCGCTGTCGTAAACTCAATATTGGATGAAAGAGCTGGGAAATTGAGTGATTTGATAAAGTCGGCTAGATAACCGACACCACGATCAAACTCGTGGTTTCCTAAAGACATGGCATCATATTTCAGATCATTCATGAATTCAGCAGATGGCTTTCCACCAAATGTATTGAAAAACATGGTGCCTTGGAATTGATCGCCTGCATCCAGCATCAAAACGTCCTTGGTATTTTTTCGAATCTGGTCAACAGCTGTTTTGATACGAGCTATACCACCATAGCAAGTGTTTGCGTCAATTTCTGCCTGAGAGCAGTCCACACCGCCAACATTAAACTGGTCAAAATGAGCGTGTATATCTAAAACAGTGGCATGATAAAATCAGTACAGGATTTCGTGAATTGTCATCAATAGCTTAATATTCAAATCATATTGTCTACAAACTATGGCTTGATGAAACGTAGTTTAGCAATCCATTTATTTCAACTCACCATTTGTATGAACAAGTGTAATTTTGTTGGGTGCGAATCCGTTTGGACGAATTGAAGTTCCAGCCTTTGTTGGGACAGCAACAGTATAGCTAACAGCAAGAGCAAATATGACTGAGAATAGTGGAGACTTCATGATTGTGATTTAGATGATGGTCGTTCGATATTATGAAATTTGCCAATTATATAGGAAATTCAGCGCATGCTTTCGCAAGTAAACACATGGGTTTTCCAGCCCTGATTTCAAAACTGTAGCTAAAAGTGGATGATCAGCAGACTTTTTGTATGAAATGCTGTGCCAAATACATACATGACTGCTAAACTCCCTTTTTATCCCCATTGCCACTAGCTGTAACTAAATTTAGGGAGTATCTGGATAGAATCTATAATTAGAAAAGCTGTCTTGCTCGAGCCACTAAAGTCATATTTATGTAAAGTGTATCATCTTTCTGTATTTCGCAGTGATTGGCTCTATTTTGCCACGAAATAGGCATTAGTTGCATACTCGTTTCATTCTCCTGATAAAAATTGAGTGTGTTGCTTCTCAACTCTTATCCAAAACTCACCGTCCATCATATGATGCACACAATCAAATTATAGTTTTAAACCTCCCTTTTGTCTCTTTTAACATAGTCATGCATTGTACAATTACCAAGCTTAAACGCAGATTCATGCATTACAATCCAGATTTATCCATTGCAATACAAGTCCTGTGTTTGATTACTCTCAGTGTCCTGCACACACTCATTGTTGTATTCTGAATTTCAGATACGTTTGGATTCGAGTTCAGTAATGATTGTAAGTTTGGTTTGTAAGAAAGAAGGATTGGAGATTGAACAAGTGGGATTGACTGAAGCTGTGATGTGAGCATTTGTTGAGTTGCTCCACATAGAAATGAGTACAATGGAAACCAGTAAACTCTAGTGAGTTCAAAGGCAGTGCTGTTTAGCACATTTAGTGGAATTTGAAACGAGTATACCATGAGACTGATTGTTTACTATGTACCGACTCCTTATTCAATGCTCCAGTCGACATGAATATGGCTGTAAGCCTGAATTACAGCTGAAAACAAGAGATGAAATGCTTGGATGACCGTATAAGGGTGATTTGTAAATGGAATTAAATCTCGACAAGTCTCGCATTTACTGCTACTATTAGCATAACCTCAAGCATACTATTGGCTAGCGTATATACCTTGATGCCAAAAAAGTGAACCAATTGCTGTTATGAAAATGCAGCCAATACAAATGCTTATTCCTGAATAATTATTGGTCATTTATTCGTGTAGCTACTAAAGGGCCACTATTGCAAGCAAAAATGCACCTGCTGCTGTTGGGCTCTCAATCAGGGCTGCAACACGCCTTCATCTCCAGCAACCTGTGTTAGATCTACACGAATTTCTAAAACCCAATGTTTCGGCCGACTTCAATTTCAAATGCATACCAATAATATGGCTAAACTACTCATCAACTAGTCCATTACTGTCAAGTCTATAGCTGTCATGTTATGGCTTGACGTAAACATGCAGTTCTGGGTTCCTAAAACCTCGTAACAGCACAAAACCGATCACGAAACCTGCATAAGATATTTACTAGACATGATCACTTTTCAAACTCAAGCATGCCAATCACCAGTTGGCTTCAAGATTGAATGCTTTCAGTTTTGCGTGCATAGTATTTTTAAAGATTAAAGATGTGTTTGCTCAAACTTGAGCTGTCGTTTCAAATGTGGAAAGATGTACCAAAACCCCAAAACAATTTACTCCTGGTGCTCAGATAGATCAAATGTGAATTTCTCAGTGATATCATTCTATTAACCCAATTGACCAATAAATAGTGCATTTCATTTCAAACCCACGATATCGCCATCAATCTCATTTAATGTCATATGACAATCTTATTTCCATTTCAACATCCATGACCTTGTACCATACCAAAATGAAAGGATGGCATACTCGATGTTTCAAACCACCGATTTTAAAATGCTGAATTCAAAACCTGGTGTGCCCATTACTTGCTTGACAATGATATCAGGACTAAGCATAGATCTGAACAAACTGTGGATGTCTCGTTCTGGACTGCGGTGTTTCCTATGAATTGAATTTGCTGAGTCGGTTTGATGTGTGTGGTGTAAGTAGTATGTATAAACTCGTTGATATCATGAACTATAACCAATATACATCACATGTATACAGTGGTAAACACCAACGTATGGTGTATGCAGTGATCGTATACTGGTCGATTGGTGCAATATGATCACACATGCTAATGGAATGTGATAATCATGGTATTTGCAGCAGTATACCATATTCCATCTGTTGATATCGCGCATCCAGTGTCGATACAATATATCAACTCATTCGATATGTTGGTATCGATCGTTGCAGTCGTCGAGTGCCGTCATTGGCCATGCATTACCAGTTGTGTGTGTTTGACATTGACCATCATGACATGTATTCAAATGCAACATATCAACATACACCGTGACATGTGTAATTGATTATAACTGGTGTAGATTACAATCAATTGTGCACGATAGTTTGATATCGATCGCAGTTGTTGATCGATACTCGGACTACCCGAGTTTGTATTCCTGGTTGTATTCACGACTGGATGTTTGATTGGATACTTGACATGACTGGTCATATATGGTTTGCACAACAGTCTGGATTGTACAATGATCACTGTCCAGATGCACATGTCAAGTGCGTGTATAACCAGATTGACGATATTGGCCAGTTGACACATGCTGATCAACTCAACTGGTGTGCATTGTATGTATTGTATGCATATACATGTATAGCTTGATCACTCGGATATACATACTCGACATATATACTGACACGACAATCAGGTCGACAACCACCATCACAATCAGGTTGTATGTGGACAGCGTTGTAATGTCGAGTGACTGGATCCAATTGCAGTGTATACGAGTCATACAACGAGCTATTCAAGTGATACAATGCAATGAATGCATCAAACCAAAATACGAGTCAACCATGACATATGATCATGATGTGTGGTTGATACAGCTATATAGTGACAATCGATATTGATATAGTAACACACAACATGCAATGCCAACACAACTGCTGTAAATCACCAATCATCAATGTGACATTGTGGCTGCAACATGGACTGTATTGTATTGATTCAGTTGATTGACTTGGCTGATTGATTGAATGGATAATGTGCAGTGATGACAGATCGTATCAAGCTTAATCAAAATCATCACTAAACCGCGACATGTTTGAACCAAGTCAATCACTTGCCAATTGAAAAACATCGAGTACCAGCACATATTGATGACCGCCATATTGACCAGCTATATGAAATGGCTGTAATTCAATTATTACATGGTTAGCCGTTTTACTTGACATGTGCACATTTGCCTATATAACGCTGACCCTTTTTAGGGTGTAAAAGGGTGGAAAGTTGTACGATCAACCATACGATATTTGAATGCATAGTCAAACAACGGCAGTCAAAGTTGCGGTTGTCGTTCAAGGGATTATCCCTTCAAAGCTTAAATTTTAACAGCAAATCAACCCTGGCCCTGACAACAACACAGTTCCTTAGGAAGGTCCCTCGATATGCTTTTAATACTATACATGCAATAAAAAATATAAATATGACCCAAAACTTGCTCATCAGACGTTATACAACTGCTTAACCAAACAACAAAATGAGGCTCTTAGTCGCCATATTAACGTCAATCCTGCTTGCCTGCTCGGTCATTGCAGCTCCACCCGATGGATCCCGTAGGTTGATCCCCTATCGTATTGATGTAATCACAGGAAATCCTGGGTATGTTATTAAGCGATACGCTATAGCAAGACAAAACCACATGCAATCAAAGAAAGCAGTTGAGTTGGCAGTAGCCACATACGAGGATCAAAAGGCGCTTATCACTACTCTGGAAGAATCTGGATATAAGCCAGAATATCTTAAATACGAACGTATTCTTCTCACGAAGCTTGAATTCCAAGTTATCAAGTACAAGAAAAAGCTTAGATGGATATCTAATAACCTGAGGAAAAAGGCAGGGGAGCTTGTGGAATACTTTTATGGAAACCAGAAACCCGAATCGATTGGCTATCGCATAAAATGTCTCCAGGCAACTCCTATAATTCGGGATTACATTCGCGACTTCTATAAAGGTCCACTGGAAGCACCAAAAATAACCTCTGATGGTGGATCACAACAGCAAGGTCCTAGCCAATCCCATGGAGGAGGTAGAGGAAGAGGCGGTAGAGGAAGAGGTGGTAGAGGAAGATCCCGCTCCCGCTCTCGATCTCGCTCTCCCAGAAGATCATAAGATCCACGTGGGCTCTTACAAACACAACCTCGATTACGCTTGATCATTTAAGCATAACGATTCAGTTGGCTTGAATGCTAATCTAAACTGATTTGACTATCATTCTAAAACTACATTTGATTATGACTGCAATAAAATATAACTGCCATTTGATATTTGATATTGGATTTACATGCATTATATCTGATCATTGTACACTGTCTTGGTTGACATGATATCATATTGTACATTGACACTTGTATTTCCAATACAATACAATACAGTTGATTGTATATTGCATAGTTGTACACATTGATAATGCTGACATGCATGTGTGTATTGTGTCGATATGATATTGTTTGACATGTCGTATTGGCATATACAATACCAATACCAACAATAGTCATGTGTGTTGATATCTGATCTGATCAATTTGACTCGTTTGACTCGCTGATTGTGGTATCAAAATGGTTGCATCAATAGCCTGACTGATCACACACATCAGTCGCAGTGTCAACTCTGTCGTGTGTCAAGTATCACATGTTGAATATACAATACCAACAATATGGTCATTATGCACATGTTGATGTATGCAGTGATCGTATACTGGTCGATTGGTGCAATATGATCACACATGCTAATGGAATGTGATAATCATGGTATTTGCAGCAGTATACCATATTCCATCTGTTGATATCGCGTATCTGGTGTCGATACAATATATCAACTCATTCGATATGTTGGTATCGATCGTTGCAGTCGTCGAGTGCCGTCATTGGCCATGCATTACCAGTTGTATGTGTTTGATATTGACCATCATGCCATGTATTCAAATGCAACATATCAACATGCATTGTGGTATATGTGACATGTGTAATTGATTATAACTGGTGTAGATTACAATCAATTGTGCACGATAGTTTGATATCGATCGCAGTTGTTGATCGATACTCGGACTACCCGAGTTTGTATTCCTGGTTGTATTCACGACTGGATGTTTGATTGGATACTTGACATGACTGGTCATATATGGTTTGCACAACAATCTGGATTGTACAATGATCACTGTCCAGATGCACATGTCAAGTGCGTGTATAACCAGATTGACGATATTGGCCAGTTGACACATGCTGATCAACTCAACTGGTGTGCATTGTATGTATTGTATGCATATACATGTATAGCTTGATCACTCGGATATACATACTCGACATATATACTGACACGACAATCAGGTCGACAACCACCATCACAATCAGGTTGTATGTGGACAGCGTTGTAATGTCGAGTGACTGGATCCAATTGCAGTGTATACGAGTCATACAACGAGCTATTCAAGTGATACAATGCAATGAATGCATCAAACCAAAATACGAGTCAACCATGACATATGATCATGATGTGTGGTTGATACAGCTATATAGTGACAATCGATATTGATATAGTAACACACAACATGCAATGCCAACACAACTGCTGTAAATCACCAATCATCAATGTGACATTGTGGCTGCAACATGGACTGTATTGTATTGATTCAGTTGATTGACTTGGCTGATTGATTGAATGGATAATGTGCAGTGATGACAGATCGTATCAAGCTTAATCAAAATCATCACTAAACCGCGACATGTTTGAACCAAGTCAATCACTTGCCAATTGAAAAACATCGAGTACCAGCACATATTGATGACCGCCATATTGACCAGCTATATGAAATGGCTGTAATTCAATTATTACATGGTTAGCCGTTTTACTTGACATGTGCACATTTGCCTATATAACGCTGACCCTTTTTAGGGTGTAAAAGGGTGGAAAGTTGTACGATCAACCATACGATATTTGAATGCATAGTCAAACAACGGCAGTCAAAGTTGCGGTTGTCGTTCAAGGGATTATCCCTTCAAAGCTTAAATTTTAACAGCCGTATTCACGTAAAATGAAGCACTTTTTATTTCAATTGTCTTGGAATAAACAATCGTTACATATTTGTTATTGGAAATTGATTGCTTTTTATCAAAGCTTTATCGTAGCCTAATAGCCAGATACATTTGCGCTTTACCTCAAAAAGCAGATTGCACAACATCGGTGATTGGCATGAAAATAACAGTTACATTCCCGAGGTTGGGTTGGAGGTTGAGAAGATGTGGAATGTATTGGAGCAATAATGTAAACATTCGCTCTGTATTTTTGTAAAAGAGCACAAGGATCAGTCAATCCGTCGAGTTCAAAAAGTATTGTATTGCTTAAAGATTAGCCCAATCATGTCATGAAGCGGACTGCTTATCATGTATTTAGGAGCCCTTATTTAATGTTTTATTTTGCCTAAATACGGCTAATAGCAACAAACCAACCTTGACTCTATCGATATATTTTTTTAGAAATGTCACTCGACATGCTTTTAATATTGTACATGCAATAAAAAATATAAATATGACCCAAAACTTGCTCATCAGACGTTATACAACTGCTTACCAAACAACAAAATGAGGTTCTTAGTCGCCATATTAACGTCAATCCTGCTTTCCCGCTCGGTCATTGCAGCTCCTCCCGATGGATCTCAAAGTTCTCGTGCTATAGTTCCACTTATGATTACTTCACTTGATAGAGACAGTGCACATGCTACTAAAAAATACGCTCTAGCAAGAAAATATCATATGCAAGCAAAGAAAGCATTCGAGATGGCATTAGCCGCATACGATGCTCAAAAGGCGCTTATCACTACTCTGCAGGCATCTGGATATCAGCAATACCATCTTAGAAACGAACATTACATTCTCTTGAAGCTTGGATATCAGGTTAACAAGTACAAGACTGATAATCAAAAATCGTCTTCGGCACTGAGATGGAAAGCAAAGGAGTTTGTGGATTACTTTTTCAAGGGAAGACAAAATTCCGACTCGATTGGTCATAACATGAAACGACTTCAGGCAACATATGCCATTCGGCAATACATCCGCCAATTTTATGATGGTCCACTGGAAGCACAGGCAGAATCTGGTCCTGGATTTAGTGGACCCAATAGATCGTCACAACAACAGCAAGGTCCTAGCCAATCCCATGGAGGAGGTGGTAGAGGAAGATCCCGCTCCCGCTCTCGATCTCGATCTCGCTCCCCCAGAAGATTGTATAAACCCAATTACGCTTGATCATCTGAGCATAACGATTCAGTTGGCTTGAATGCTAATCTAAACTGACTCGACTATCATTCTAAAACTACATTTGATTATGACTGCAATAAAATATAACTGCCATTTGATATTTGATATTGGATTTACATGCATTATATCTGATTATTGTACACGGTCTTGGTTGGCATGATATCATATTGTACATTGACACTTGTATTTCCAATACAATACAGTTGATTGTATATTGCATAGTTGTACACATTGATGATGCTGACATGCATGTGTGTATTGTGTCGATATGATATTGCTCAACATGTCGTATTGGCACATGCAACACCAATATCAATAATAGTCATGTGTGTTGATATCTGATCTGATCAATTTGACTGGTTTGACTCGCTGATTGTGGTATCAAAATGGTTGCATCAATAGCCTGACTGATCACACACATCAGTCGCAGTGTCAACTCTGTCGTGTGTCAAGTATCACATGTTGAATATACAATACCAACAATATGGTCATTATGCACATGTTGATGTATGCAGTGATCGTATACTGGTCGATTGGTGTAGTGTGATCACACATACTAATGGAGTGATAATCATATACTTGCACCAATATACCATATTCCATCTGTTGATATCGCGCATCCAATGTCGATACAATATATCAACTCACTCGATATGTTGGTATCGATCGTTGCAGTCGTCGAGTGCCGTCATTGGCCATGCATTACCAGTTGTATGTGTTTGATATTGACCATCATGCCATGTATTCAAATGCAACATATCAACATGCATTGTGGTATATGTGACATGTGTAATTGATTATAACTGGTGTGGACTGCAATCGATTGTGCATGGTAGTTTGATATCGTTTGCAGTTGTTGATCGATACTCGGACTACCCGAGTTTGTATTTCTGGTTGTATTCATGGCTGGATGTTTGATTGGATACTTGACATGACTGGTCATATATGGTTTGCACAACAGTCTGGATTGTACAATGATCACTGTCCAGATATACATGTCAAGTGCGTGTACAACCAGATTGACGATATTGGCCAGTTGAGACATGCTGATCAACTCAACTGGTGTGCATTGTATGTATTGTATGCATATACATGTATGGCTTGATCACTCGGATATACATACTCGACATATATACTGACACGACAATCAGATCGACAATCATCATCACAATCAGGTTGTATGTGGACAGCGTTGTGATGTCGAGTGACTGGATCCAATTGCAGTGTATATACAATTCATATAACGAGCTATTCAAGTGATACAATGCAATGAGTGCATCAATCCAGAATACGAGTCAACCATGACATATGATCATAATGTGTGGTTGATACAGCTATATAGTGACAATCGATGTTGATACAGTAACACACAACATGCAATGCCAACACAACTGCTGCAAGTCACCAATCATCAATGTGACATTGTGGCTGCAACATGGACTGTATTGTATTGATCCAGTTGATTGACTTGGTTGATTGATTGAATGGATAATGTGCAGTGATGACAGATCGTACCAAGCTTAATCAAAATCATCACTAAACCGCGACATGTTTGAACCAAGTCAATCACTTGCCAATTGAAAAACATCGAGTACCAGCACATATTGATGACCGCCATATTGACCAGCTATATGAAATGGCTGTAATTCAATTATTACATGGTTAGCCGTTTTACTTGACATGTGCACATTTGCCTATATAACGCTGACCCTTTTTAGGGTGTAAAAGGGTGGAAAGTTGTACGATCAACCATACGATATTTGAATGCATAGTCAAACAACGGTAGTCAAAGTTGCGGTTGTCGTTCAAGGGATTATCCCTTCAAAGCTTAAACTTTAACAGCAAATCAACCCTGGCCCTGACAACAACACAGTTCCTTAGGAAGGTCCCTCGATATGCTTTTAATACTATACATGCAATAAAAAATACAAATATGACCCAAAACTTGCTCATCAGACGTTATACAACTGCTTAACCAAACAACAAAATGAGGCTCTTAGTCGCCATATTAACGTCAATCCTGCTTGCCTGCTCGGTCACTGCAGCTCCACCCGATGAATCCCGTAGGTTGATCCCCTATCGTATTGATGTAATCACAGGAAACTCTGGGCATTATATCAAGCAATACGCTCAAGCAAGAAAATATCATATGCAATCAAAGAAAGCAGTTGAGTTGGCATTAGCCACATACGAGGCTCAAAGTGCGCTTATCACTACTCTGGACGAATCTGGATATAAGCCAGAATATCTTAAATACGAGCGTATTCTTCTCACGAAGCTTGAATTCCAAGTTATCAAGTACAATAAAAAGCTTAACTGGATAACTAATAGCATGAAGAAAAAGGCAAAGGAGCTTGTGGAACACTTTTATGGAAGCCAGAAACCTGAATCGATTGGCTATCGCATAAAATGTCTCCAGGCAACTCCTATAATTCGGGATTACATCCGCAAATTTTATAAAGGTCCACTGGAAGCACCAAAAATAACCTCTGATGGTGGATCACAACAGCAAGGTCCTAGCCAATCCCATGGAGGAGGTAGAGGAGGAGGTAGAGGAAGAGGTGGTAGAGGAAGATCCCGCTCTCGCTCTCGATCTCGCTCCCCCAGAAGATCATAAGATCCACGTGGGCTCTTGCAAACACAACCTCGATTACGCTTGATCATTTAAGCATAACGATTCAGTTGGTTTGAATGCTAATCTAAACTGATTTGACTATCATTCTAAAACTACATTTGATTATGACTGCAATAAAATATAACTGCCATTTGATATTTGATATTGGATTTACATGCATTATATCTGATCATTGTACACTGTCTTGGTTGACATGATATCATATTGTACATTGACACTTGTATTTCCAATACAATACAATACAGTTGATTGTATATTGCATAGTTGTACACATTGATAATGCTGACATGCATGTGTGTATTGTGTCGATATGATATTGTTTGACATGTCGTATTGGCATATACAATACCAATACCAACAATAGTCATGTGTGTTGATATCTGATCTGATCAATTTGACTCGTTTGACTCGTTGATTGTGGTGTCAAAATGGTTGCATCAATAGCCTGACTGATCACACACATCAGTCGCAGTGTCAACTCTGTCGTGTGTCAAGTATCACATGTTGAATATACAATACCAACAATATGGTCATTATGCACATGTTGATGTATGCAGTGATCGTATACTGGTCGATTGGTGCAATATGATCACACATGCTAATGGAATGATAATCATGGTATTTACAGCAGTATACCATATTAAACTGATCCAATACATGCACGGCTTGAACATATCACACAATCAAACATGGACACACCACATTAAAAATACATATAGTAGCAGTTTGTCTATAATGAAATGTATTTAGTCGAGTTTATCGTGGTGAACATTTTTAGGTACGGCTATTCGATCAGTTGTAGTTTTTGATTTCCTTCTGCGAATAAATGTGCCATCTGAACCTGAAGTACTTGGTTGTTCAGGCAATCTAACAATATGCATCAAATTCATGATCAATATCAATTGACACACCCACACATCAATATCAAACAACTTACTGTGATGATGACCAAAGCACTTGATCACCGTCTGAAATAATAGGATATCCATCAGTCGCGACTTTGCATCCACATCCAGGACCAAACCCAATGCGTGCATGCTTTCGATCAAATACCAATCCAAGTCGGGTCATGAATGATATGCCAAGAGTTGCTTTGTAATTTGGACCAACTTCTACAGCAAACACCACTATAATTCAACATGTACATTAGTCAGGTTAATCAAACAATATACATCACACTCAAATATTTACAATTTTCAGAATTATATCTTTGTAGATAGTCTCTAGGACCCAGTTTGATCTCTACAACAGAGTTGCGGTTGTCATCAGTTACGGGGGTTTCAGTAAACATTGTAATTGTAATTGTCGGCAGCCTGTCCCACTTGATATTAAAGTATGATTCAGCTATTAGATGGCGTTTCCAAAATAGGCTTTTAATCTGTTGATTATTGAGCCTGTGTTTAAAATTAAAACTGTCGAGAGTAATTGCATTGCTACAAACAATAGCATCAATCAACGCAGCCACAACTATTCCAGGGAAATGCATATATTCAGAACATGTTTCTACAGCCGAGTACAAAGTATGACCGTCTTCCATTTTTTTTTGGAATCCAGCAGGCAGATTCACTGGTTTGTCGTCGATTAGTATATCCTTGATATTGACACTAAAGTAACCGTCTGATGGAGACTCTACCCATGCAATACTGTTTCCATCCGTTCCACATTTTGAAGTTATATCCGTGTTTCCTATATTGATGAAGCTTTCCTGCAACATCTCATATGGACATAGTTGAATGCCAATCTCGTTTCTAGGAATGACATCATTCTTGTACAAAACATCCATCGCAGTGACTGATGTGTAATAGTCTGACAATGAGGAATAGCCAAACCCAAGTATTCCTTGCTTGAGGCTATTATCGATACCAACTAGATATGCCGATTGTTTTTCAACTAATATTACTGGTAAATCAATGCCAGTTATCCTAGTACCCGGAATCGTCACAGTGGCTGTGGAACTAATTCCATTATATTCATCTCCTTTGTAATTGATAGTAACGGTCTTTCCACTTGAAATACTTTGTATAGCTAAACCTACATCGTTGCTTGAACTAGAAAGTGGTGCGATTATACCAGGAACTGCTGAATCGACTCGTAAATCCAACTATTTTAAACAAGTGTTAGATTGATTAGACCTAGTACAAATTGATATCCAACTACAATGCATGACATGATACATACATTGACTCCATGAATATTGGACTTCATTGTGAAACATTTCCTATCACCACTACCCAATTCAACGGGTGATCGTTTTGATAGTCTATTGTTTGATGGACTGGAAGTTCCAATTGGTGAATGTAATGGAATTTGAACTGCAGCAACCGCCTGCAACGCAAGTATAACGCATTCTAGAGTAATCAGCATTATACCGAGTAGTATGACGAAAAGTGCCTTGAATCTGGTACATGACTATCATCTTATAACTATAGTAGCTTCAAGGGTGACAACCAGCAATTTTCAAATGAATGATCACAGAAAACACCAAAACCACCCTATAGGGTGAACAAGACCGGAAACACCCTTAGGGTCAATCAGCATGCAAGCATTCTGTTTATATGGAAAGTCAACTTGAGCACTATACTGCGTTGATATTTCCAATTGCGGTGATGTATTCAGTAACCAGGTAGTATCAAATTGTCACCATGATTATGGATAGTCATCACATTTACAACCTATTACCACTGCACACGTTAATCCATATTCTAATATACGATATATTGTGCTCAAATACAGCATTTTAGTAATTTAATGCTGATACTGATATTACTTGGTACTTTATCAATTAAGCTTTACCTCTTATCTCATGCTCCATTTGATGTAAACACGACAATGATCAACTCATTGTTTTCAAGCAAGTTGCATTGTTGTTTGTTTTTACTCATCATGCCGTTATTCTCGATAATGATATCGAGTACATTTATTCAGGTATGCAAAGAGGATGTAATGTATTTTTCGGGAATCATTACTGCATTGGTTGCCATGAACACAAACAATATCGAGCCCAATAAAACGTTATTCTACTCAACAAAAAATAGTCAACTAAATGGTATCATGCTTCAATAGATCAACGCAAACTCTTGATCAAAGGATTGTAACAAGGACATTTATATTTTATAATTCAGTAAAAACCAAAACCACTCTTGAAAAAAAGCTTAATGCAAATCATTCAAACAATGAAACTTCAACATGTTCATTCAAGCACTACACATGGAGGGTACAGTTCATCAAACCATCTTGTTGCAAACAAAAAGACCATGTTCGTATAATCCAGCAAGAAACAGTTTGTGTGTGGTGGGATCTGGAATAGCACTTGTAAAACTCGAGTATTGTGTTCCATCCGTCTCCAGCATTGCTTCGATATTGTACTTTTTTCCATAGAATTTGTCTGTGCCTTCATTTGGTGAAATCTTGAGCACCTATTTAATCAAAGCAATGTTGGGAATAGATTGAGATACAACCAACGACTATAATAGTGTAGAGCACCAAACTTACATTTCCAGGAATAGCAATAGTATGATCAGTAACATAGTAAAGCCATTTTAAAGCATTTCCAATCGCCCCGATATAAATTTCCTCAGTTTTGGGATCCACTGCAATATTGTCAGGAATGGCGGGCTATCGAGTATTTTCAAAAACCAAAGATTTAAAACAGTTTCAGAATAGCATTGGTAATGCTCATTGAGATGGATACAGAACGACTCGACTTACCAACTTGACAAAATCCACAAGTTTAAGTGAGCCATTGGTACGGCGTTTAAATATCGAAAGGGAAGCATCACCAACAGAGACAACATAGATATGCACGGAATCCTTTGATCCAGAAACACCATTTGGAAATGCCATATTTTTGGCTGCAATCGACCACTTGCCATCGTGATAATATACAACATGACCCCATTTGAGAGCAAGCAAGGTTTCGGATATTTTTGCAAAGTAGGATCGAGACCCACGGTCATTGGAGGCATAAAAGGATCGTGGCCCAACTGAATGAACATCGTTTGGATTGTATAGGATTTCAGGATTGTGAGCAGTTTCAATGTGCTCCAGAGTCGTCGCGCCAAGAATATGTTTGAAAATCTCGACCACTGAGCCAGAATGACGATGGTTTACAGCATGAATGTAGACAGCTTGTGGATCCGTGGAATCAAAATAGATTCCCAATCCATGTGGAGCAAAACCCTCCACGGCAGCCGAGTCGAATTCGAGTTGTACAGCGGTTTCCGTCTAAACAGTGATTAGAATGAGCAGAATTTGTAAAAATCGACTCGTTTTATAGCTCAAGTCAATACAAGATACCTTTGTGTCAAAAGCAATGATACCACCATGAGAAGCGAGAGATTTGTTCATATGGTCAGTAGGTGGAAACCAGGCATCTCTCTCATCCAAGTGGATTGCACAAGCTAAGTAATTCAATCAGTATTGAATCATCAAGTCTGCAGATATGCTGTAAATAGTCGTATAGCATACCATAATAAATAATGCCAGATTCCGGATGCAACTGTCCATTTTCGCAGCCAACCAACAAGGGATCTGTAGCATGACATGAACAAAAGTTGATGACAATACAACACAAAAGCATGTTTGAATCGACACTTACCATGAACATTACGACAAGTGGCAGTATTGATATTGGAGTGTGTTTTTAGTGCACCACCAACAGTGAGGAACATGCTCACTGAATAAAAACAAGTTAGTTGATGGTATGGACTCAAGACAGCAACAAGGACTGACCCGGCGTGTAAAGAACAGCAATAACAGCGACCAGCAATGAGCCCAACAGAATCTTGATCATGTCGATGAATGGAATCTATTGATAACAGTGTCAGTCGTGCATTTTCAGAATGACTTTCAAGCAACATACCAGTTGAACGAGAAGATGATAAAAACGCAACCAAGATTGCTACAGAATCTGCTGCGTAACGAGTGTTGATGGCCAATATTTGTTGCCATCACACATGAAATCACTTCAATCGAATCAACTATTCGTTCTTGTACATCTTGCCTTCAGTCCAACAATCGTATTCTTTTAAAATAAAACAGTGCCAAAATACACAAGTCTTGTGAAATAAACGTTTATTGGTCTCCAATAGCAAAGTGCAGCCGATACTCGACCATTTTTATTCCAAAATAATCACTGCAACCATATTTTACATGAATATAGTTGCAGAATCACGTCAACTGTTTATTCGTTAGTTGTCATGGTGCTGTAGATGATCAAATCAAGAGCCTGTCAACCCTTTTAGTTGTATTCTTTAATCGACACTTGAACTTACCAGAGATTCTACATTGTCAATCAGTGTCCATTTGACGACGTCCAAAGCAATCACTTAGAATACGTTCCAAACACTGCTCAACTCTTAATCGATGACCAATCATTTGAACTTTGGAATACGATGCCAACTGTCCATCATGGAAATGTCTTTGTATTCTCTCCGAGCTAGGATCGCACATTATTCTTGCATAGTCCATAAGATGTGGACGTGGTGGAAGAATCGTCACATCTCCACCAAAGGACTGTAGCCATAGATTGGATAAATCTGCTCCAAGAATACGAGGAAGAAGATCCATATCTCTGATAAAAGACAGCCATTTCTGTAGATCGAGCAAAAAGTATTGAACTATCAGCGAGGCAAAGAATCCGCCGCGCCTACACTCATAAAAATAAATCACTCGACCCAGTCATTTTCACAAGTACGCTACGACTTACCATCCATGGCCACCTCGATGCATGATTGGAGATCCTGTTCCACCTCTAGGGTTAAAATAAAATAAAGCCACATGTGGATTGACCTGCGACACTATTGTGTAGCTAATATTAAACAGTTGGCGAAACTCATGCTGGGGGATATCTGATCTCAAAGATCCATCTCGCCAAAAGCATCCAGCACTGCGAAAAGGCTTCAATTCACCTGTTCGTGGGTTTTTTGAAATCAACAATGCAGGTGGAAGAATAGCGGGTATTGCAGAAGAGGCTATAATTGCAGAGTAGATGACTACATCAGGCGAAGTGAGATAATTTAAAAGTTTGGATTCAAGCGGTGACTCGTGAGAAACTACTGCAACGTTGAAAATCCGTCCAGTACGTTGATACGCTTCTAAAAACGTCATATCACCTAGATATACGCACATGTGCAACATATTAATACAACATTGACAACAGTATAAACCGACTCGCTCATTGGACATCAAGCTGATACCTTTGGTGAAATATTTGATTTGTTCCTGCACCATCTTGGGATCAAGCCATGCACCAGTTTTCCACAATCGTTTCCAGCAAGTATACAGCGACTCTTGACTAAAACGAATCCGATTGGCTACTTCGGGAACAAGAATTTCCTTTTTCAGCTCATCATCTGTTCTGACAGCAACCATTGCACCAATAAAACTCCCAGCACTCGTGCCGGTGATCATCTTTGGTAGCAATCCTTGTTCCAGTAATGCTTTGATGACACCGAGATGATTGAATCCAAAGGATGCACCTCCACTAAGACATAGCGCGCTGCGACCAAACGTGCGAGATAAATCTCTAAACAAAGCATATTTGGAGAGATTAGAGATATGCGGGGAAGCAGCTACATATTCTAGCGAGTGGATGACTTCAGAAACGTATTGATCGACAATACTAATGGTGCCAAAATAGGTGAATCTGTATGGATCTTCCTTGTCGATACCTGCAACATTGATCTTGCAACAACTTGTTTTTAGGATATCACAAAGCTTTGCCAAATTCGAGATTTGGATTGATGGATGGTCGGGTAGATTCTGTGCAGATGGATGAAAGGCTGGTGGCAATGCATCATTGTATGTATACAAATACTCGGATGTTGAGCCAGTAAATGGGTCATCTACGGTAGTAGAATGTACGGTTTTACTTGCAAATGGGTCCGAGGATCTACTCGACTGTGGTGAAATAGGACTAGATTGCGTGGATTCTTGGATTGCAGCCAATCTATAGCGACGCAATTTTGAAACTACTTTTTTCAACAGACGAATATCTATGACGTCTGTTTCATCATTGTTTAATTTCCATATATGCATACCGAGGTACTCATCCAGTTCCTTTGCTGCATCAGACCATTCCTGATAATTTGTAGCACTGTTTAATCTTTTCCGCAATATCTGCTTGCGTCCTTTGATATTGAGAAAATGCTCTCTCCAAGAAACCCACTATAAACCTCTGCATTAGTTTAGATCAAGTTGAGCCCATGCAAAAGAAACACTAGCTCACCTGTCGAACAAAAATATAAACTAGCAAATCAAACAAAATGAAGAAGCCGGCACAAAGCTAACAGCATGAATTCAATTACAAATCAATAGGATAAATTACTGAACCCGATAGCTGGAATGCAACGACTTACCAACAGAGGCAACCAAAACAGATTCCCAGAAGTGCTTTTGCGATATCGACCAGCATACTTTGTAGAGGGTTTGGATTTAGTAGATTGAAGAGAATCTGAACGATGCTTTTTTTTACAAGACTTGGCTGTTCCAAGACTAGAATGAGAGCCATGTGAGTTATGGACAGCAGGATACTGAATGTCCTTGGCTTTTGAGCTGGACGAGTCTTCGGAAGAGTCGTCATCATGAACGAGCATTTCAGTAAAATCATTCACAGCAGTGGAATGAGATTCAATGCTGTTTTCTGAACCGAGCTTAGCTGAATGCATTGTATTTGAACGGACTGATAGTCTATTCATAGTGGATTGTCCGACTTCTTGACTGTCAAGCAAGAATAAAAGAGCGGGAAATTAGTTTCTCCATACAGCGTGACTGTTATTATACCAATAGCAGCCATCTCTAGTCAAGCTCACAAACCATAGCAGATGCTGTGTAAACGATTACATGTAAAATGCCGCATCAGACTGTAACATAAACTGGTCAATACAAATCAAAGCAATAGACTGGAACTCGGCTTGTTCAACTGCTGAATTAAAGGTATTTTCGAGTATTGAATCTCAACCATCAATGCAAGTATTCGAGAATACTTCAAATGCTTTAAATTACTATTAACGCGACGATGCGCAATCCTAGTTTATGCATATTTCCATCTTGACAAGGAAACAATGACGGATACTTGAGAGCATCAAGAAACAACACTATGGTGACAGGTTGATTAAACCATATTTCCAGCATAATACACATGGTCGCGACCTATAAAGATGATCCACTGTTGAATGACGCACAATGAAGTAATTTGTGGAAAATCCACAATATGAAACGGCAGTAAGAATAACGCCAAATGCGGGGCTTTATTCGTTATAAAAAACAAATAAAAACCCAAGAATTGTTAAGCTGTACTATAGTAATCTGTTGCTCACTTCAACATTTGAATAGTTATTCAATCAACATGACTACAATATCCTCTTTGCTACAACGGAGAATGTCCAACAATCTTTCCATCTACACCAACAGCGGATTGGACAAGTCAGATTCCTATTCGACTTCTGTTCGCTCATCTAATACAACTCTTTCGAGTTCCAAAGTATCACAAAACTCACTCGAGCATCTGGACTCTTGTCAGGCCTCTTTTGCTGTTGCATTTCCTATTAAAACAAACCTGTCTGACAAGACTCATTCTAATCACTCTGCTCACTTTTCTCCAAATACCATTGAGCAAGTCTGTCGTTTTGACACTTCCCAGCCTCCATCTGCCATTCGATTGCTTCCTACACTTCTCATTCGAGACAACAACGATCTTGACTGTGGTTCTGTGTCTGCTTCCAACGCTTTTGTCAATCCTATGGCTACTTGCTGGCAAATTTCTTCTAATCTTTCTCGCCACCCTTGTTTCAATGGGAAACCTTTAATGCTCGAATCTGCCTTGGTTGACTTGGCAGATCTTGCAAGACTGGCCTTGCCATACTCTCCCATGCTGGGAAATGGCTCCACTTGTATTCCCTCTCGCACTCCCTCCTTGCCTACCATCAAAGGCTCTGTTCTTGTACGAAATATTGCATTTACAAAAGATGTTTTTATTCGAATGACCACCAATGGTTGGGCTACCTCAAGGGACATTCCCTGTCGCTTTGAGAGTGTCGTGTCACCAACTATGGGCGACTTTGTGGGTGTGGATCGATTTGGGTTTAATGCCGAACTCGACTCTGCACTAATTGCAGCTTTGACTGTGTCCCTCCCTGAACACTTTGCTTGTTCAGATGTGGACAATTTCAATACGGATGGCAAAGTCAACCCGAAGCTCAACCCCGATATTGCGCACAGGAATCTATCCGTCAAACCAGTCTCGAAGCCAAAAACTAATTCTTTAGATTCTAGCACGCCGAGTGAGTTGAAAACCCTTCAATTTCGTATCGAACTTGCTCTGTGCTTCAAAGCAGACAACAAAGAGCATTGGGACAACAACAATGGGAAAAACTTTGTCTTGACATTAACGTCGCCAGATGCAGATGTAATTTACAAGCAACAACAGGAACAGTTGAGTCTACATCGATTATTCAGGCTGCAACAGCAACGAAGCACCGATGTGATGAACCTTAAAAAGACTCAAAAGCAGTCGCTCTTGAAACCTCAAAAGCTCACTCTGCAATCGCAAAAATCCTTACTATCCCCTTCAATCTTGAGGCAGCAGATTCAAGATCAACCCACCAAAGAATCCGATACACCATGCTCTGTAGTACTAACATTGGAACCATTTAAATCCAGTCCATTAGACACGACATCTTCCCAACAGTCACCACTGTCTGCTCAATCTACATCACCCATTGCTATCCATTCACCCGTGTGTCCTCGTCTAGTCCATTCTGCGTCACCTCTATCAGCGCAATCTCCCGGCACCCACTCCATCTCTCCTAATCAATCACAATCGTCTCGCTCTCTATCCCACGGACACACTTTCCTACGCTCTACCCTATTTCAGCCTCATCGTCGCGTTGGTCCTCAATTGCCACAAGGCATACCTCCCATTGTCAAGATTCCCCTTTTTGTTCCTCCAGAGCACGACAGCATGGTCCCTGTAACTATATCTCTCACCACTGGCATAATCTCGTCTGCATGTAGAATCTCATCCCCAACTCCTTCCTTTGAGTCCATCTATTCCTCTTCACCTCCATCTCGCTATGTATGATCTCGTATGCATTTACTTGACCCTTGTCTGCATCTTCCTGATGTATCGTGCCAACGATACACGGCACTGTGGGTTTATTTTAATTATTGTCCACTCATTTTTTTATTTACCAGACTTCATTACCACTTTCTTTGACTCGATACCATACACCAGCCCATCTATCGGCACTATTTTCATTCAGTTATTCTATTACTAAAATGTCATTTTTGGATTATATTTTTAAAATAATTTGTTGGAATACAAGATAGTGTTGGCCAATTGTTTAGACATTCCGATACAATCAATATGAATGTGAGAGTAGGCATCATTATTGGTAAGCATTGCATCGATTCTGCACTGTCATGCCATTTAAACCAACTGATTGTATTTAGTCAGTGACAGAGTGAGTGCTGGAACTGCAAAAGACAAGACTGGACCATCACTCGTTGATCTGATTCATCAGCAGAATGATTGGAATGTAGTGACTTGTGTCACTGTTGCTGACGATGTAGAAATGATTCAAAAAGCCATATGTGTCATGACGGATAGTGTTGATCAAGATCAGTCTAACCTTGATCTCAGTCATGGTCATCATGCTACAGTAGATTTGGTGTTGACTGCAGGAGGAACTGGATTCGGTGTGCGGGATGTCACTCCAGAGGTTTGTATTCAACATCACTCTTGGAAACTGGTCCATATTCAATGTAATAAAGCCAATTGCATGTGTACATGAATTAGGCTGTTAGGGGAATATTACTAAAAGAAGCATCAGGACTTGCTACTGCCATGTTGGTGTCTTCATTGGCCATCACTAACATGGCTGCTCTCTCTCGTCCCATCTGTGGAATCCGGAATCGATCCATCATCATCACTCTTCCTGGAAGTCCAAAAGGTGCAATTGAAAATTTAACTGCCATCATCAAAACTCTTCCACATGCTATCGATCTGGCTAGAGGAGAACCATCCGCTGGAGAAACTGTTCATACCGCTATGCATGGCGGTCATCAGATTGCAACCCATGACATCAATGAATCAAATCTTGCAGAAAAAGTCGACCCTATACGTCATGATCATTTCAAGCATCACAATTGCAGTCGATTTGACCATCTAACACCACATGCTCAAACGTGTAGTAAGGATCTCAAATCCAACATCATCAACCAGCCTGGTAATAATCAAATGTTTGTCATGTGTTTGAAACCAATACTCGACTGATTGTTTTAAACTATTGTAGTAACTCACCGTGCACGCATATCTCCATTCGAAATGATTCCATTTGAAACTGCACTTGATTTGGTATTGAACAATGCATCATCTGCCGCTAATATGAACAAACAACTTGTTATGACACGACCTGTCAATACTGATAGTATTGGGTATGTGCTTGCAGAAGACGTAATGGCAAATGAAAACGTGCCCATGTATCGTGCTTCGATTGTCGATGGGTATGCTGTGATGGCTGCAGATGGACCAGGCGAGTATCCTGTGATTGGAAGTACAACGGCCAGTCAGACTACTTTATCTGGTTCTGGATTGACTCCATTAAAGAGGGGTACAGTGTCTCGTATCACCACAGGAGCAGAGATTCCTCCCAATGCTGATGCAGTTGTCATGGTAGAATGCACTGAGCTGATTTCCATGACTGAAGACTCGAAAGAAGAAAAAATAGTAAAACTACTCCAAGGTGTTCAGATAGGTCAAGACATTCGCGAAATTGGATCTGATATCATCAAGGGGTCGTGTATCTTGTCCAAAGGATGTAGAATCATGTGTGGAGAACTAGGTGTTTTGACCTCGTGTGGTATCCAACACATCAAAGTATATCGTCGTCCAGTTGTCTCCATCATGTCCTCTGGAAATGAGCTGATTGATGCTGAAGCTGATGGTACTGAAAAGGCTGCTGGATACGTTCGTGACTCCAACCGACCAACTCTTCATGCACTGCTAAAGCACCATGGGTTTGATGTAGTGGATTTGGGAATCGCTTGTGATACACACGATGGATTGGCTACGTGTTTAAGACAAGGAATGGATCAATCTGACGTGATTGTGAGCACTGGAGGTGTATCCATGGGAGAAATGGATCTGCTAAAACCAATCCTAGAAAGAGATTTGGGAGCTGAAGTGCTGTTTGGAAGAGTTGCACTCAAACCCGGTAAACCTACCACGTTTGCTGTTTTAGATGTACCACAAAGTACACGCACTTGTTCAAGTCGTCGTTTGTTTTTTGCACTTCCTGGTAATCCGGTATCCACCATGGGTAAGCTGTATTTTTACTTGCTTTGTATAGCTGGACGTGTGTGTTAATGTTTGTCTCAACATGGCTGTAAACCAACGCTTCGCAGTGACGTTTTACCTGTTTGTCCTTCCTGCTTTGCGTAAAATGGCCGGCTATGCATCTCCCAATCTTCCTCGAATCAAAGTCAAGGTATTTTTAATATCCAATATCACCACACTATCGATCTGTACTTTAAACGTACATAGTTTAAAAATGATACTAAAGCATGTTTGATTAGTTGGGACATGATATCCATCTCGACCCGCGACCAGAATTTTTCCGTGCAAAATTGGAACACTCGGAGGGTATGTTTACAGCATTTGGAACAGGAATCCAGCGGAGCAGTCGTATGCAAAGCATGACTTGTGCCAATGCACTACTGGTTCTTCCTGCTTTGAGTGACTTTATTGCTGCATCAGCTTCAAACACTGACGGAAACATCAAAGCTGGATCGGTAGTGGAAGCCATCATTATTGGAGATTTTGAATAAACCATTCAATTTATATTTGATTTAATGTATTGGAATATTTATCACGGATCATGACCATCATAAAGCGACAACTCTGCAACTACGCGCTGAATAAGTCGTTTTGTTGGCAATTTGGTAAACGCTGATTCGTTCAACTTGTTTAATACATTCACAACTTGCTTGTGTGATGTACTCGAAGCTCCAGAAACCACAACCAAAGGAAGTAGCTTTACAAGTGCGTGCAGCAACTAATTATAATAAAGTATAAATAACTCTAAAAGCATATTAAAAAATGCGTCATTTACCTCTTCGTTTTGGTCATGCACTCGCTGTATTTCTCTTATTCCAACGTCAAGAATGACTGTCAAATCATTCGTGTAAAACAAATTTCGGGTCGGTGTGTATTGAAAAATTCCAATCAGTAGAATAGTGATTGACAATTGAAGCTCGGGCGTATCTAAAATACCAAATAACAACCATTGTACAACGCTTGGTAAGCTGAACCCAAAAGACTCGACTTGCTTCAAATAAAGTTGATAAGAATGCTGTTTTACCTGCTCGGTTGAATACAAAAATAAGATTCTCTGTTAGAGTTTTGCTATGGTTCAATCGCTGTTCTAAAACCCTCAAGAATCGATCGTGTGTAGCTACAGAGCCTCGCATTTTCATAAGCTGGCCATTCAACGTAATCTAATATCTCAAAACCCAACCATCAGCCTCAAATAAAATCATTTAAAATAGAACATGTTTACTTGCCAGTAATCGAATGACTGCATAATTAAACGACTCATTATCGTTTCGTGATGATTCGACCAACTCGCACAAATAATTCAAAAGTTGCGTATCAATTATATCTATTGAAATGTGTATTATAATTTAAACACCAAGTAAATCTACACATTCAAAATACTTTTAAAACTCACCTAGTTCATGCAATGACATTTCATGGACTTGACATAAATGGTCAAATAATAAAACAGTTACATGCGATACTTTTACATCTATTGAAAACAAATTAGCAGCTTGATTGGCTATTACAATCGTATCCATGTAAAATGAAACACTAATAAGGAGTCAAAGTATATGATAAACGGCCAGATTCATGAAATGATTGGTGTCAAATTTACTGGCAGCATTATTCTTTTGAACTAGAATGCAAACGTACGATATTTTAGAATACAATATCTCGATTCAAACTTGGTGATCGTACACTGTATGACTGTCAACTAATCTCAGTTCAACTAGTTTGTATTATATGATGGTCATTGTGTCTGAGGAATTGAAAACATGAGTCAATCCCCAATAGGGAAGCGCAACGAGTATTTGACCATTCATACTCCAAAATAATCACTGCATGATAATTACAAGTGTTCCATTTTACATGAATACGACTGATAAATGGTAGGAAATCAACCATACGTGCCTAGATCTGGAAGCAATAAAATATCTTTTAGGACAGGTATCCAGTCATCTCTCACCAATCGCCGAAATACATTAGGTGTGCTTAGTCCAAAATGAAACAGAATCGATAGCTGGATATACAGTAAATCCCGATTTTCAGATTCTGGATGACGAGAAATACATCCAAGACACTCTGACAAGTCTTGAAATGCAGGGAAATCCAGTACATGTTCAGCAATGATTCGCATATCGTATTCATCTCTGATAACTGTATTCCATAAACCAAGTTTGAGAAAATGAGTTGGCTGCTACTTGACCCCACAAAACATAACATTTTACATTTAATATCAGCCATGATTCTGGAAACTATAGACGTCACTGCATTTAATGAAGCATCTTGACTGTAATGGTCCAAGTCTATATCCAGTATAAAGTCAGATGTCAGGATTAGAAAAGATTCGCTGCTTCATTGTAAAACCACATGCATATCATCGATACCTTGAAGCAATGTTTCGAGATGAGACACTGCATCCGATATGCTTTCAGTCATGAATGAATTCAGCAAATCAGTACTGTCGTTACTGTAATGTATAGATTAGGCAAGATTCAAATATTCTTGACTAATCAAGATTGCAATCTTTTCAAGGATAAATGTGCACCCTTTACAGCCTTATTCATGTAACAAGGGAGTCGATAATTTCCAACTTTATCAAGCAAATGCTCACATTAATTCCACCTTCTCAACATCTGTTGAATCTCAAACTTTTCTACAAACTAAACGTTGAGTGATTGTGGAATCAGTTGTTGCATTATTGAGATTGTTGAACTAGAGCGCGAATGTATGATATTCTGAAATACAAGTCTCTCCAATGTCATGGTCGTGCTAGATATTCATTGTAAAATCAACGTTTTCAATATCAAAAACAGTCGATCCAATATAAATACGATTAAAAGAAAAAATCTTTTAGTTTAAAAAGTAAAAATGCAACGACCGGGGATCGAACCCGGGCCACGCGCTTGGAAGGCGCGGATGTTAACCACTACACTATCGTTGCATATTCACAGAAAAAATATATACTATTGTAATTTTTATCAATCAATTGCGGTATATTTTTGCTGTTCAATATCAATGCATAATATCTGATAATTATGCAATTGAATCAAGATTAAAGTTTGACAGTAGATTTAAAGCCCATTCAATCCAGGTCAGTTTTGTACAAGTTTGACAACGGATATGCAGCAATCTCCATCAATATTACTTGACAGCAGTCAATCCGTAGCACAGATTCATGGTGTTGAAAAGGTACATCTTTCATGCAACTCATACCCAATCCTTGTAGCATTTGAACCAAGCTGATTTCCCATATATTGTGATAGCGATTATTGAATGCCATGTCACTGGCTAGTCAAGCTATATCACTTTTGGACCAGCCGGAAAAAGACCAAGGAAACATCAAAGAAGAGTTTGAAACCAGTTGTGTCATTCTTGGCAATGTAATAACGGTAAGAACCATCCAACTTGAGACTGATTTCAGATTGCCATTAAAAAGCATACATAGTATCTAACCCAGCTTTGGTATGGCCAGGAAATTCATAGCGGGCTTCGGTCCTTGTTACTAAAGTTTGCTTCAACTGGCGTGTTGGATGCTGCTGGGCAACAACTCGAGTACAATATCACTACTGCTGGTGTAGAGAAAGACTTGGAAATTCTCACCAATGGAATATCTCTGCTCCGACATACATTGGATCCTGATATCTGACAAACTAATCCTCTAATGAATGACATTTATGATGTAACGATTGAAAATGGCACTTTATTTGCTAAAATCCTAGCTGGGAGCAATCTGGATCGTATGTTGAAAGAATTGTGTCTTGAAAACAAGTGCCAGTGCAACCTGACTGCCAATCACTAGGATAAATATCATACTGATGGCTCGCGCATCTGTCGCTAGTGGTTGAATATTCTTGATAAAGAAAAATGCTGGGATAGAAAAGATTAAAACACAGTAAGTAGCAGCTCTACAAGAATCAGCAGTGAATTTGGCAAATATATCGAGTTCAATTCAAAAGGATACTCAACTTGATAGTGCAAAGGCAGCAAGAACAATAATCCACCGAATAAGGTCACTTTGAATAATACACAAAAGCTAAAAACAATTTAAATTAAATTCACCAAGATCCATAGCATAATCATGTCAACTATGCAATCATACCGAAACAGGAACCCAGATAGCTATGCCATAACCATACACGTTGATCATATCAAACAGCCGAATAGTAGCAATTCCAAAATATTTGGCGATGCCCCACAATAATGCAGGCAATAGTAGTACATATGTATACACAACAGCACCTGCAAACGACAACATCGTCATATCATATTCATATTTCTGGTTGGACCACGCTTTGGCAATCGACTCTGCCATGGTAGAAGTTGCAAACAATGTAAAAATAACTGTAGTTGGGACCCAAAATGGACCGTAAAAGTCTGGATTTTGATCAATTAATTCCATAAATGACTTCATGGGCATGATGGTCGTTATGATCCTGTTACCAACATCCACAGAGTCAACTTGAAAGTATTGCATCCAGTATTCAAATGTCCAGAATGCGCTTGTAGTTGCGACTGGCTGCTGTTCGGAAATTTGATTTGTTGATGGCTGGATGTTTTTGGGCATGTTGCTGGGTAATCCTTGTGAGTTCATACTGGGACCAGGTGGATTTGAGAATCCAAAATTGTCTAGTTAAATCACGGTTTAGATATACAACCTAGAATTCCAGTTGCCGATAACACTGCAATTCAAATAATAGCCGAGATCTAATGTACCTCTTTCTGCTTGGTGTGAGGAGCGAGCAGGCATAGGACTCTTGACAACCTTTCCAGCAATCAAATCAGCTTCTGCACTAGAAAGCACAAAATCTGTCAAGGAGGAACAGCACAATCCATGCAGCACAATTAGCATCAGGACAGTTAGTAACTTGGCTCATGGCATGAATCCAACAGTAGTGTATCAGCACAAGATATTTGACAAGAATAGGATGCAGTGTTTCCGATATGGCTCAGCTGTATCGCTAGCAACCAGCGACTCTTACTTTGAAACTCGAGTTCTGTCTGAGCATCATGGCCCTATATAACAAGACGTTTGGGTAGATTGAAGATAATCAATATATCAAATGTATTGCAATGTACACCAAGGATTGAACAGGTTATGCCCGACTTTAAAGCTTAGACTATCTTGTTCAATAAAAAGTCTTATATCAAGGTAGTAGACATACAGGTTCCATATCCAACAAATGGTCAATTGAGTCTGTGCGAGCAGGAGTATGGCTACTCATTATCAGACTGTTGGTTGCAAGTTGGACAAACATCAAAGTCGATCCCATTACGCTGAACACTGGATTCACGCGCATTCACGATCTCATTCAACATTCTCGAGTCGCTGGGATTGTGCATTGCGTTTATAAACTATAAAAATACTAGTGTGGATTAGAGCATGGTTTAGAGTAATGCACTGTAACCGACTTGTGAAAAAACGAAATTTAGTATAAATTGCCCCATCATGATCAATCCAGTACAACTGAATGGTTCATTTTTATAATACTCCACACAACCATCAAGTTACAGCCATATTTGCATAAAATGGAACACTAAATAAAAGTTTTGTAATGAACATCCAGTCATGTTTGATCGAGTCAATGTACTGGACAACATTGTGTTTTTTTCGAATCGTCGTGTAGAAACAGTTTGAGTGTTTAGCATTTAAACATGTCCTTTTACGTATGAATCTCTACTTTCTATAATACATTGTCGTCAAATCATTTATGAATGGCTTGACAACTCTGTAGTCATCAACACCTGGACAACAAGACGTTGTGAACGCACTTGTGGACCTTTACCAAGTGCAAATATCTCGACCAGCAATGCCAATGATCTTGATAACAATATTACATACAAACACCAACACTTGTGAGTGGCAGACAGATTGACAAGAAATGTGTACAAGCTTTTATTGACAATATCTAAACAAATTCAATGTCTAGATTGCAATGGATGAATCTGGTACCAAACTTGACAATCGTACAATGTATGACTATTCAAACAAATCCAGAATTCAAGTTGTAAAGCATCAGTTTAAACTTATAGTTTGTATTATATGATGATCGGTGTGTTGAAAGTCAATCTGTAGTAAAAAACTGAACAAGTTGGCCAATATTTTACTCGAAAATAAAATTTATTTTACTTGAATCTGACAATAAATTTTATCAAAAATTCGGGTTTTGGTTTCTTTCTAAAAACTGAATCTGAAATGACTGCATCATTGATTGGTAAAGTCATCTATTATATGCCATCTCTGATTCTGGTTGGTTGTTTTAATCATATACATTTCAATTAGCACTGCTTTCTGTTTCTGACAAGACCGGACTTGTTGAGTTGGCCACTGCTCTGCATGCCATGAATGTGCGCTTGATTGCTTCTGGTGGTACTTCAATGGCCATCCGTAATGCTGGACTTCCTGTAGAGTAAGCTTTATACATGAATGCATTGTATGTTTTGAAAAGGCTTTAACCTGATCATCAACTGCTTTAATTATTGCGATTATTAGCGATGTTGCTGATATTACCAAGGCTCCAGAAATGCTTGGTGGTCGAGTCAAGACTCTCCATCCTGCGGTTCATGGCGGCATCCTTGCTAGACAAACTCCCCAAGATTCAGCTGATATGCAGGCTAGAGGATATGAGCTGATCGACTTTGTGGTCTGCAATCTTTATCCTTTTCAAAAAACTATTACTCAGCCTGGCGTCACCATTCCACAGGCTGTCGAGGAGGTTGATATTGGTGGAGTGACTCTTTTGAGAGCTGCTGCCAAAAACTTTGAGCGAGTGTCGATCTTGTCTGACCCTGCAGAATATGCCGATATCATCAAGGAAATGCAAGCTGCATTCGCTTCTTCTGCCGATGAATCGGGTCGCAAACTCTTGCTGTCTGAAGAGCGTCGCAAAAGCCTCGCTCTCAAGGCATTCACACATACTGCCGACTATGACACTGCCATTTCCAGTTACTTTCGTAAAGAATTCTCGGGCAATGGCGATTGCCAGATGTTTTTGCGCTACGGTGCCAATCCTCACCAAAAACCTGCCCAGGTGTACTGCACTAATGGTGCTCTCCCATTCAAAGGTATGCTTGATTCCATTCTCGTTTATTTAAATTTGTATTTCATGGTAGATTCAAATTGATAACCACATGAATGCCTATGTATTGTATTTGACTGGCACTTTATTTTCATCAAGTTTTGGCTGGATCTCCCGGATATGTCAATCTATTGGATGCTCTTAATGCATGGCCTTTGGTCAAGGAACTCAAAAAAGCCTTGAATCTTCCTGCTGCAGCTTCTTTCAAGCATGTTTCTCCTGCTGGTGCAGCCGTTGGCTTTCCCTTGACCGAAGCCGAAAAAAAGGTTTATTTTGTTGATGATATCGAGAACCTGTCACCTCTTGCTACTGCTTATGCTCGTGCTCGTGGTGCAGATCGCATGTCCTCATTTGGTGACTGGATTGCTTTGTCGGATATTGTGGATCTCCCCACTGCTCGGATTATTTCTCGCGAAGTATCTGATGGTGTGATTGCTCCCGGATACGAACCCGAAGCACTCGCTCTTTTGCAAAAAAAGAAAAAAGGAAAGTATACTGTCCTGTCCATTGATCCAGACTATCAGCCTGGTGAGATTGAGCGTCGTCAAGTTTACGGTCTTACTTTAGAACAGCAGCGCAACAATGTTGAAATCACCAAAAGTATGTTTGCCAACATTGCTACCAAAACCGTCAAGACCGTCACTGATGAAAGCCTTCGTGACTTGATTGTTGCTACCATTGCTTTAAAATACACCCAGTCCAATTCTGTTTGCTATGCAAAGAATGGTCAAGTTGTTGGTATGGGTGCTGGCCAGCAATCGCGCATCCACTGCACTCGTCTTGCTGGCGACAAGGCTGATAATTGGTGGTACAGACATCATCCTGACATTCTTGACTTTAAGTTTAAGCCTACTGTCAAGCGGGCCAATCGTGCCAATGCTATTGACCTGTATATCAATGATATGATCGAGGACATGAACGAGTGGTCGGATTTGTTTGAAGTGGTTCCTAAACCATTTACTGATACCATGAAGCGTGATTGGAAAACCAAAATGGACGGTTTGGTGGTGTCATCTGATGCCTTTTTCCCCTTTGCCGACAATGTGCAGCGTGTGTCTCAGTCTGGTGTACGTTATGTTGCTGCACCTAGTGGGAGTGTTATGGACGAGGCTGTTGTTCAAGAGGCCGAAAAGAATGGCATTGGATATGTTTTTACTCCGTATCGCTTGTTCCACCACTAATATATCTTAAAAATGGACTTGCATGCAAAATCTGATTTTTACGTCATTAATTAAACATTATGGGCTTATATCCCAATTTGATTTTATTGTGAAAACTGATATTCATTGATATAAACACTGACAGAATTTACAGTTGTGTTAATATCCATATCATGGCTTAGATTACTCCCATGTAATAGTACACTGCACAGCCATTTCAACTCATCAAATACCCTCAATTCAAATGATAAAATATGTCAATATTCATCATCTAGCATATTGATTTCATGTGTTTTGATATTTTTCAAAAGCATTACATTGGAATTATTGTTGTTGTTAAATACAATCTATTTCCCACTGATTGGCAACCCATTAGATCTAAACATGTATGTACTAATTATGTCAATGCGTTTAAACTCGATTTAAAAACTTGCACATTGTTGTCAGCACATATCATACAAATGCTACACTACACATGGCTGTATACAATGTAACGTGTGTCGTGTTTGCAGTGTTTACAGTATTTGCAATGTCTGTCAAACGGATTGTATGGCATCCAGTCGTGTCACTCAGTTTGAAGTAGCCGTGATACTAGAACAGTAATCTACATTGACAGCATCATCCAAATACATATATTGGACAACACAGTCAACCATGTCGTGTTTGGTAGTTGTGTGTACCTGTTCAATTGACCATGTGTTCGATTGACAATGTGTCCATTTTAAAGCATTTTTGTTGATTGCATTACACCGGTATATTGAACTCGGGTGATATTTCAAATGTCGGATAAGCAATTATCCGTACTACGGCTATGATTATCCGTTGATCATTGATCATTATACATTGTACATTATATATTGGCACTATATATGTGTACCATTTGGTCACGACTGATTGATACACGACAGTCTGATACTAACACAATACAACAATCAACACAGCGTGCATACTAAACACCAATAGTCGTGTATATTGTCAACTCAACATTGTCGGTATATCATATATATACACCAATACACTAATGTACAGTATGCGACTGTATATGACTATATATGACTATATACAATACATTATAAACAACTTTTTGGATATTGTCAATTTAGTTTATTGTGTGATGAATGCAATATGTATATGATCAATGCAAATGGTCAAGTATTTACAAGATTATGAACTAAACAGGTCAAGGACCTGTAGTTGCAAGTGTTTTGCTCTTGTTGACAGTATAGCGCCGTTCAAAAATGGTTTTTGTAAAAATAGTGTACAAGACTTTTGAGAATCCAAAGATTTCACCGTCGAGTGACATGCCAACATCAACTGATAAATTTACATCGAATGAAGTCGGACCAGAGTCGAGTCGTTTGATGTTTTCAAGGTTTGATATGTCTTTTTGGATACCAAAGTTGATGCCAACTTTGTTTGCAATCGACAGTGACGTTTCCAAAAGATCAAATTTAAACACTTCGGCTGCAAGTTTGAGTTTTGGGGTGAGTGCAAATTCCAGTCGTGTTTCAGCAACAAGCTTGTCGGCTTCGACGTTGCTAGTATATACAGGATTGAATCCGCGGTATGTGTTTTTTTCATTAGATGCAATGCTGGTTTCAAAGTTGGAATAGGACACGGTCAGATTTGCTTTTGATCGAACTTCAGCCGAAATGCTCGCATCCATGTTAAACTCAAAAACTAGCTTAGGGCCAAGAGACAGCACTCCAGGAATGTATATCGGAGTCAGTGGGTACTCAAAAATTGGAATGGAAACCAATCGTTTGTCTAATCTGACACCTATGTCAAACGACAGCATGGCATACATGTCTATGTCACCTTCCCAGGTCAATGAATATTTTGGCTTTTTGAACAGTCGACCGGCTGCACGAAATAAAAGTGTTGTTTGTGCTTTGATGCCACATGGATTGCAGCCGACTCGGAATACACCACCTACATCTGCTGGGTTAAGTTCGACTGATGGACTGGCTTTCAGATCCAAGTTGAGTGCGATACCAACAGTTTTGGCATTTGGTTTGGATACTCGACCACGCTTTTGCAGTAAATGGGTGCTAGCTTGACCATTAGAAATATCATCAGTAGTGATACCACCACCCTGGCTGCTTTCGACACCAGGAAGTGCAAGAATTTCAAAACTGCCAGTAACACCAGCCTTTTCTGGGTTAGTGGTTGTAAACACGACAATTTTTCGTTGAGCGTCAAGCATCCAGTCGGTAGCAAGAAGTAGAGCCTGCTCGGCTGAATTGCCAACTCCACAGCCATGTTGCGATCCAATCACCAACAGGGTTTTTTGGACTTTCCAGTTGATGCTTGGCAGTGGTTCAGTAAGCACCATCGTAACTCGATCTTGGTTACATTTAATAGACAAAAGGCTTTGGATATTGTCGAGATTGACAGATGGGACGTTTGCAGTGATTTTCATTCCAGCCACGACAATCGAATCACGGCCTTTGAGCGGATCGTACCATTGCAAAATGGTTTCAGGTGACGGCGTTTGATCTTGGAGATATGGACGAATTTTAAGAATATTTATAAATCGGTTTACATGTTTTACTTTGTTGGCAAGCCCTTTGAACCTAGAAGCTCTAGCCAACGACACGGGAGTTGCATTTACAACGCAGATTATCAACAGAATTAGAGTGACAAATAACATATTTATATGGTTTGTACTTGGTGAATTTGCAAGGTTTGATACAGTTGTTGTTGAGATTATGGCTTAGATTGAGCAAAAACAGCCTGTTTTTATATTCCAACCGACAGTCGATGCATCGCATGTTGCTTTGTCTTAGTTTTCTGTTTCACAGGATCAGGGTGGAGTCTACACTGGTATTACAATGAGGGTTGGTCGCCCTTAATTTAGCTGTGCAAGACAAAAACACACTATTTATAACTTGTCTCGAATAATAGCTCTTAAATACTGTCATATACGAGTGCATCACACATACCACATTGCCATTTTTACGAGCATCACTATATATAGCATGTAGACTAGTGGTTTCACATTCGAGATTTGAGCCGAGTGGTTAGACATACACCAGCTCATATATCGATAGCGTCAATTCAAACCCGACATTTACTGCTTTTAGGCTGTGAATGGCCCTTAACAGTCTGGTTGATTAAAATGTTGTTGAACATATACGATCAAATGTATCAATCACTACTGCACAGCTGATTATTAGTTGTATTGCGTTTGTAAAACTAACACATCCGCCCTGATTTAAGCCAGTGCTAATGTGCTGGCTGAACAGCACGTCTAATAAGCAAACCATACGCATCTGGACTCGAAAGCAACTGCACAGCATTCAGATTGATCTACGAGACTGTGGGGTTCAACAAATCGGCTGCTATGGGTTTTTAGCTTTCTGATTGAGGCTCAGTTGTTAATTTCAGTTTGCATAGCCTGGATCACATTGTTTAAACGTGAGCCACAATACAAGAGCATCGTCACAATATGTATCAAGTCTATTGTTGTATAATGTCAGCACTGCTATGTTGAATCATGATGGGCTATCCGGATGTAGTTGTGATATCAAGAGCTGTGCCATTTGTGTGGAAAATACGATATATCGACCAACAATCAAAACAGTTGGCACAATAGACACCATTGATGTGTTCTGGCTAACAATACAATTGGGCATGTCATTAAATGACAGGTATACAATGTAATAGCCAGAGTGGTCTGATAAAGCATGATACGATAAACAATACAGTCAGACACCAGGACAGTATCAAGAAATGAGTATACAAGTGTAACTGATTCGAGATCAATTATCATGTCATACCCGAGTCTTGCGATAAATGCAGTAACCATGATCAAGCATTCAATGTCGTATGACCAATGTCCAATGTCGTATGTAACGTGAATGGTTTATTGCCAGTGTTGTATACCAACTACTGGACATATCAAAATATACAATACATGTTGCAAATGATTTATAAATCAATATACAGTCGTATTCACATACAATCAATCACGACACAAATGTCGATATACATAATACACAGCCAATACCATGTCATGATTGGTGTCGGTTTACTGTACAACACTGTATTATTCTGACAAAGTCGATTGGTTATTATGCGTGCTCATTTTTGTATAAACCAACTGGACGAGTGTTTACATATTCATGACATATTCATGACACTTGACCAATCCGCGACTCTGCATTCAGTCAATTCAGACATTACAAGTAAACACTGTTTGACATGCAAACAACCGTTGCATTCCAAAATGCACAATCTGTTGAACTAGATCGTGAACATATTCAAAGTGTTAAAATACAACACATACGAGTGTGTGCACAGTTTGATCGACAACATCGGACCAGTCGACACTGATATATCATTTGCAATGTATAAATTTGAGCTGAACTTGTCGATCGTGCAATGTATGACTGCCAACAATGGTCAAAAATAGTCAACAATAGTCAAAATACAACATCTGAATACACCAGTCCAGTTCAAACATATAGCGTCATCGTGTGTGTGTCGTATGATGATCGCTGTGTTTGAATACTGACAACACAAACAGTGACTGCTACAGTATTTAACGACTAAACAATCGCATCGACAGAATGTTTCCAAACACGCATCGTATTTTGGACATCACATCATAAGCTACTCTGTTGTTTGTCATGGTTTGCTGACTGTTCAACAAAAACCAGTGTTGCAAGGCGTATGACTACATCACACATCACACTACACTGTCAGATACTGTCAGATACTATCCGATACTGTACATATTATGGCACACCACGCTACACCACATTGCATCACATACATTGCTTGATACCATCGATTTTAGATCATGCAAACAGTCTAGTATAACGGTAGATCTATGTCAAACAATTGCAATCACACAGGCTCGGACTCGGACTCGGACTGTCCACCAAACAATCAACCAGACGTTGATGTCAATACACGCCATACATGTAGTCAGTGTATGTACAAACAAAATACATGCTCTGACTGCAACATAAATACAAATGTTTACACCAATCGGCTAGAATCCACCAATTTGGTACAAATTATCACACAATTGTCACAAATATTGACAACCATGACAATCGTGACAACCATGACACAATCTGATAAAATGGGTTTAAACTCGATTTAAAAACTTGCACATTGTTGTCAGCACATATCATACAAATGCTACACTACACATGGCTGTATACAATGTAACGTGTGTCGTGTTTGCAGTGTTTACAGTATTTGCAATGTCTGTCAAACGGATTGTATGGCATCCAGTCGTGTCACTCAGTTTGAAGTAGCCGTGATACTAGAACAGTAATCTACATTGACAACATCATCCAAATACATATATTGGACAGCACAGCCAACCATGTCGTGTTTGGTAGTTGTGTGTACCAGTTCAATTGACCATGTGTTCGATTGACAATGTGTCCATTTTAAAGCATTTTTGTTGATTGCATTACACTGGTATATTGAACTCGGGTGATATTTCAAATGTCGGATAAGCAATTATCCGTACTACGGCTATGATTATCCGTTGATCATTGATCATTATACATTGTACATTATATATTGGCACTATATATGTGTACCGTTTGGTCACGACTGATTGATACACGACAGTCTGATACTAACACAATACAACAATCAACACAGCGTGCATACTAAACACCAATAGTCGTGTATATTGTCAACTCAACATTGTCGGTATATCATATATATACACCAATACACTAATGTACAATATGCGACTGTATATGACTATATATGACTGTGTACAATACATTATAAACAACTTTTTGAATATTGTCAATTTAGTTTATTGTGTGATGAATGCAATATGTATATGATCAATGCAAATGGTCAAGTATTTACAAGATTATGAACTAAACAGGTCAAGGACCTGTAGTTGCAAGTGTTTTGCTCTTGTTGACAGTATAGCGCCGTTCAAAAATGGTTTTTGTAAAAATAGTGTACAAGACTTTTGAGAATCCAAAGACTTCACCGTCGAGTGACATGCCAACATCAACTGATAAATTTACATCGAATGAGGCCGGGCCAGAGTCGAGCCGTTTGATGTTTTCAAGGTTTGATATGTCTTTTTGGATACCAAAGTTGATGCCAACTTTGTTTGCAATCGACAGTGACGTTTCCAAAAGATCAAATTTAAACACTTCGGCTGCAAGTTTAAGTTTTGGGGTGAGTGCAAACTCCAGTCGTGTTTCAGCAACAAGCTTGTCGGCTTCGACGTTGCTAGTATATACAGGATTGAACCCACGGTATGTGTTTTTTTCATTAGATGCAATGCTGGTTTCAAAGTTGGAATAGGACACGGTCAGATTTGCTTTTGATCGAACTTCAGCCGAAATGCTCGCATCCATGTTAAACTCAAAAACTAGCTTAGGGCCAAGAGACAGCACTCCAGGAATGTATATCGGAGTCAGTGGGTACTCAAAAATTGGAATGGAAACCAATCGTTTGTCTAATCTGACACCTATGTCAAACGACAGCATGGCATACATGTCTATGTCACCTTCCCAGGTCAATGAATATTTTGGCTTTTTGAACAGTCGACCGGATGCACGAAATAAAAGTGTCGTTTGTGCTTTGATGCCACATGGATTGCAGCCGACTCGGAATACACCACCTACATCTGCTGGGTTAAGTTCGACTGATGGACTGGCTTTCAGATCCAAGTTGAGTGCGATACCAACAGTTTTGGCGTTTGGTTTGGATACTCGACCACGCTTTTGCAGTAAATGGGTGCTAGCTTGATCGTTAGAAATATCATCAGTAGTGATACCACCACCTTGGCTGCTTTCGACACCAGGAAGTGCAAGAATTTCAAAACTGCCAGTAACACCAGCCTTTTCTGGGTCAGTGGTTGTAAACACGACAATTTTTCGTTGAGCGTCAAGCATCCAGTCGGTAGCAAGAAGTAGAGCCTGCTCGGCTGAATTGCCAACTCCACAACCATGTTGCGATCCAATCACCAACAGGGTTTTTTGGACTTTCCAGTTGATGCTTGGCAGTGGTTCAGTAAGTACCATCGTAACTCGATCTTGGTTGCATTTAATAGACAAAAGGCTTTGGATATTGTCGAGATTGACAGATGGGACGTTTGCAGTGATTTTCATTCCAGCCACGACAATCGAATCGCGGCCTTTGAGCGGATCGTACCATTGCAAAATGGTTTCAGGTGATGGCGTTTGATCTTGGAGATATGGACGAATTTTAAGAGCACTTATAACCTGCTTTGTGTTTTTTACATTGAACACAATTTAAAATGTTGCCAAGCGCTCAACAACGGCAATGAAACTATTGGTTTTGGTAGTTGTAATCTAAAGTCATTGTAAAGAGCTGTCAAACTATTCATGCTTTAGGATTGAAAGGTGTTAGATATTGGTTGATGGCAGACTGTTGAGTTTGAACTCTTGAACTCCGAAATTGATCTACTAGAATTGCGTTCAAAATCTCCGATATTTGACCGTCTTGGTGACCTGCTTGACAAACAATACTATTGAGTTTTGGAACTACGAAAGCTGTGTAAAGTGGCAAGACAATTGCTTTAGAGCGGATATAATATTGCAAAGTTCAAAATCGTCGACGTTCAAGATTTTGATGAGCAAGCATCTTTGCTTTGGTTGATAGTAATGGTATTTGAACTCAGCAAAAGTGTAGTATTAGCGCATTTGAAAATGACCAAAGCTTTACAGGTTGCAAGAAACACTTTGAAAGTGATATAGCGGCAAACATACAAATTCAAAACAAAGCCAAAATGTGACCATCAATCCTCGGATGAGGCGTTGAAGATTTTTTCCAAGCACAAAATGGCAAAGATAAATTTGTCGACTTTTTGAAAATACTCAAACAGTTGAACTTAATGTCTGGATTGCAATGTATGAGTCTGGAGATTGTACAATGTATGGTTATAGGGAAAAGAACGGCTTGCAGAAAAATTCAGCCTAAAATCAATGATTTTGTATGCAACATATGGTCATTGTTTGGAAATTTATCAAGGGAGTTGTAAATGCTTTGACATTTTGAAGTTTTTAAACGGTGATACTGGAAAGACGTTTCCAAACGTAAATCATTGTTTGAATTTCCCACTTCACAAGACTAGATATTCTCTGATCAAACGTGTTCTTTCACCAGTTCAACAAACGGCAATATTGCAAGGTATGGAGATGCATATTGGCCATTCTTGAGCCCTAATGGCAATTTAATAATAAACGGTCTTGTGCAGAGTGCAATTCCGGACATTGAGAGGATCTCAAGTCAATTTGTAGTAGAAATCAAGGAAATCTAGTCATGGTTTATTCCAAAGCAAGATGAATACAAGTCTTGCGTGAATACGATTATAATCTAAAGAGAAATCTGAGTCAGTAGTTTGAGGCAGTTGAATGGTTTGACAGGATAACTTGATCAGTCCAATAAACAACTCAACCGCAGAGTCGATCTTGAAATCATGTTCAACCAGATTGCAATTCAAACCCTTAGAATCGAATTGCTTTTTCATGAATAAAATCTACTAGAAACCAACATCGATCTTACCAAGCCGGTTTGCTTTACAAATTTTTTATTCATCAGCACTTGGACACATTCGCTTTACTCTAGTCATTCTATTTACATATCTTGTTAGTTCATGTCGTCTGTTAATGCCTATAGGGGTGGTCCTCCGCCTGGTAACTCCCACTCATCTGGTGCTCCCCATGCCATACAGCAACACCCTTCTATGCATCAGCAACATCATCCTCAACATGTAATGCATTCAGGCCATCCTTCTCAACAGCCAGGGTCTGTTCCGCAGGGTGCAGTCCAGCAGCAACTTCCTCAGCAAATGCAGAGTCATGCTACTCAACAGCATCCTGGCCATCCACATCATGTTCATGCTCAATTACAGGCTGCTCAAGCTCCTCAAAACTCTCCCAAACCTCCTCAGCAGCAGTCTCAGCAACCTAGTCTTCCTATTGCTCAAAACAGAATTGTCGAGGCTTTGGAGTCTGCTCGCAAAGAGGTAGATCAAGTATTCAAAGAAATCACCGTCATGAAATACCACAAGGAAGAGGCTGAATACAAATGTAAGTCTGAATTTTCGTCTTATTACTCCAGCACATCTCTTGTCCTGTCTTGCCATCAGTCATGCTATAGCTCAAGTATCTGTTTCAGCTTTACCCCATACTTGCTCTTGATGTATTGGTTTGCATCCGTCTAATGATCATAGACGGCCAACTGGCCAAGTATTGAGCATCAACTTGCCAAGATGCATTTAAAGTGTATCCTATCTTGTCTTTTACCGCCTTGTGGTTCAGGAAAGAGATCTGTATTGATTGTCTAATATGAATTGTCTATATCTTATTATGGAAATGCCTTTTTAGTATCCGCTCAAATCAACGAAATGACCGCATTTCAGCAAACTTTGTATGATCTAGAGAGAAGGCATCAGACAATGAAACTGCATAATGAAGAAGAAGTGGCTCGTCTGCGGAGAGAGTTAGAAGTCAGAGGAATATCTATTCCACTTCCCACTCAAATGGCAGCACCGTCTGGAAGTGCAGCTTCGGGTGGTTCTAATATAGGCCAATCTGGCTCTGGTGGTCCGCATTCACTGCAGGATTCTCGCAATCCAGTAGGGCATCGTCCTCCTTCTACTTCTCAAATTCATCAACAGCAACAACAACATATGCTGCAACACCCTCATAAACAGCTACAGCATTCCCATCCGCAACAAATGACCAAGGCGGGATTCCCAGAAGGTGTTCCACCACCTGTACTTTCCCAACCACGTCAGACCAACGGTGTCTTTGGCGCGTTAATGGGCGGTCCACCACAAGGTCACTCTAATAACCCATCGGCTATTATAGGCGGTGCATCTGGACAACCACCTCACAACGGATATCCTCATCCAGGCTCTGCTGGTCCAGGTGGTCCACAGCAATCTCTTGGACCCGTGCCTGGATCTAATGGTGAGTAAACTACCCCAGGTTCAATGTTTACGTACACCTTGAATCAATAACCATTGGTATTTGCTGTACAAAAATGCCGTGTATTAACTGTTGTATATTTATTCAACTTGCATGAATTAGATCACGCATCCGCTGGCCATGCAAATGGGATGGATCCTCATGGTCCTAAACGCCAACGTCCAGATGATCCCAACTTGCAAGGACCACCACCTCAAAGACAAAAACAACAGCAACTTTCTAGTGGTGGTGCACCACCACCTCAACCTTCTCAAGGTCCCCAACAACTTCCTCCTCACAACGTGAAAATGGGACAAACTGCTGCTACCATGCCTACTTCCCACCATATACAACAACAGTCTCCGTCGTCGGCTGTATCTACATCGTCTCAGCATCCTATTGGCGCGCAGAGTAGATTAGCTACTACCACGCAGTCAGCAATGAAACAGTTTGGACCTACTCAAGGAACTGGCGATTCTGGGTTGATGCATCCCCAACAGCAGCATATGAAACAGGTGCGTTAATTTGCTGTTAATTGGTATTTTCCCAAATGTCTATTTCTACGCTGGTATATGTTTTTGACTAATGTGATACTTTGGGGGTTTTGTTTATGATGCTAGCCCGAGCAACAACCTCCATCCAATTCGGTGTCACATCAGCAGCCGCAAGCTCCATCCACACAGTCTCAGCAACAGCCTGCAGCCGCATCACAGCAGCAACAGTCTGCTCCCGTCATGGAAGATCCACCTACTACTGGTTATATTGACTTTGAAGCGCGCAAGTCTTCTGAAGAAGGAAAAACCAGTGGTGATGACTTTGCTTGCTTTATCAATCCTATTCATGCCACAGCTTTAAAGATGCCCTTGCACGTTGAGCCATTGAAAATGTTTAATCTTCACAGCGTCGTTTGCTGTGTTAAATTTTCTCCTGACGGTCGATACCTTGGTATTGGATGTAGCAAAAGTGCCGAGATCTACGATGTTCAAACTTTTCAACGTGTTTGGTAAGTTGACAGTTTTTCTAGAGTTGATAAGATCCATGACAAAAGTAGTAATGTTTTGAATGATTTAGTATGCTTACGGATGACACAACTCGCAAAGATTATTATATTCGCTCTGTTGTGTTTTCCCCAGATGGCCGTTTTGTTGCTTCCGGAGCCGAGGACCACTTGGTTCGAGTCTGTGATATCGAGCAGCAGTCCATTAAACTTAGACTTCCTGGTCATCATCTTGATATTTATTCTATTGACTGGTCTAACGATGGCAAATTTATTGCTTCTGCCAGTGGAGATCGGACCGTTAAGATTTGGGATCCAATTACTGGTGCTTGTAAAATGACTCTATCGTGCGATGACGATCAACCCCAAAGCTCTGCTTCCGGTGACGCACCAAAGGATTCTGGCCTTACCAGTGTTGCAATTCGTCCGTCAGATAGCCGTTGCGTTGCCGCAGTAAGCTATTTATTGTCTATTGAACCCTCTGGGTATTGATGCCAAGAGTATGTTATAAATATACTAATCCAACTATGTTTTTCATATCAGGGTGCTATTGATGATACTATTAGATTATGGGATGCTTTGACAGGTCAGCTTTTAGAGCGCTTTGTTGGACATCAAAATTCTGTTTATGCGGTAGCATTTTCTCCTACCGGACTTTCACTTGTTTCAGGTTCTCTAGACAGGAATCTGCGTGTTTGGGATATTTCAGCAGAAACTGAGCAATTCCTTAAAAGCGGCGTAATTCCCACTCCTGCCGAGATTGCCAAGCGTCACTCGGTCGTGAATTCAAAGCCACGTCATCTTTTCCGTGGACACAAGGATTTTATTTTGTCCGTTGCGTTTCCAGGAAAAGGCTCATCACTGGGTTCGGTAGATCGTCAAGGCCGTCCATTGCCTGCCGAATTGACGCCTGGTTTGAATGAAATAGATTGGATTGTCAGTTCCAGTAAAGATCGACATGTGACACTCTGGGATGCGTCCCTTGATGGGACCAATCCCTTTTCTGCTCCTGTTGCTCTGGTTTCTGGTCATAGGAACTCGGTCATTAGTGTTGCAGTATCTTCTGTTGGTGGACTGCTTGCAACAGGATCTGGAGACATGCGGACACGTTTGTGGCGTGTTAGCTGCGACACATCTGCCAGCGATGTCCCACCTTCAGCCGAAGCGTATGCTAAAGCCGCCGGTATCTCCAAACCCGAATCTGCTGTTAAAACTGAAGGTATGTCTGCAATGACAAATAATGTCTACCAGCATGACTGCTGATGGTCTTTTAAACAGTGCAACCTTGATCAGTTGCTGCATCTTTTTATTTCCCATTTTTTGACACAGCCTATGCTTTTTATCGACAGGTAATCCTGAATATGCTACACATACGGGATCGTCAAACAGACAAACCAAACCAAGTGTCTCACCGCGATCTAAGCCTACCATCACAACTGCATCTGATAACACACCTTTGGCCACCACACATCACGCTTCCAATACAGGCAATCCCGCTTCTGCTAATGCACCAGGCTCAGCATCGTCTATAGCTCATTCACCCTCTACTGGAATAGTTGGGTCTACTACTCGCCGACAAAGTAGCACAGCTCTAACTTCTCCTCATACTGCTAATGGTGGTGCATCCACCAAGCCTTATACACATTCGAACCAGCCGTCTAAAAAGTCTCCTATAAAGCTATTTCCTGGTGATGGCACCGCAGAGGATGACGAAACGGGCGATTTGCCAGAGCTTGGTAGTATAAATGATACAGTCGTGGGTGAAACAGGTGCTGGCGGTACAAAAGAAGTAACCGCAAGTGGGCATAATGGATCTGCAAATGGGGAAGATGGAAAAGCATGATTTTGCGAATTCCTTGAACAGGAAGCTAAATCGTATAATTTTGTCATAAAATTTGCTTGTTTCTTAATCACTTTTAAAAACTGCAAATTGCTTTATTACAACAAAATTAACAATCTGATATTTTCTTGCATTCTTGTGTTTTTGGCATGGGCTCAATATAACATGTGTTGAATAATTGTATGCTTTTTTTGAAAATTTAAGCCACTGCTTGACCCAAACTAGTAAATGCTTCAATGCTGCTGTTCAAAGCACCGTGGTTGTTTCAATTGCTTGTTTCAATACCAGTCAAAAATACATATCATCAAAGAGCTACCATGAATAAACTGTTTAGTGATTGAATGCTGGGAGCTCGAGTCCATCTCAACCCCGACTAGTTGCTCACAAAAAGTTGGTATTGACCCGGTCTATAATGGACTGCAATCAGCCTTGCTCATTTTTCTTAAATTGAAGCTTTACTTTATGCTGTGTATTTAGATACTTGAAAATTTTCAAATCCGGCTGCTGGTCCACTGGCTTGAGAGATTTTCATTTGCAATGAACCTTGCCATATTTGAATATTATATCATTCATCCAATCTATCCCAAAAACACATCAAAATATACTTTGAATTCCATACTAGCGTTTCATTGATTACACACTCTCTTGAATAAATCTAAACAGCCTATCAAGCAACAAGTGCGTTCTGAATGGCCAATCTCGAGCAAGAAACTTTAACGTCACACAAGGTCTCTCTGCCTTTATTGGTCTGTCAGAATATTTATCAGTACATTCAAAGTCCGGCTGACCGTATTCGATGCCTATCTGTAAATAAAATGTTTTTGCACGCTGGTGTCGAGGGTAAGCATTATTGAAAGGATGAACTTGGAGATTGTATTGTATTATTGCATGGACTTTTAGTTGATGCGCCATATTCAAAACGCAAGGGGATCAGACAAATGACTCCAAGGCATCCCCACAATAGTGTTATGACTTTGAAACTTGCAATAGCGACTGCCAACAATGGATAAAAGTTGGCCTGTGATGTGTTCACTTGCTTCTATAATTATCTTATAGGATACATGCAGTCTTTCTCCTACTGTAATTTAAAACTATCCATGTAGTGTTGTTTTGCTATTTGCACCAGTCTTTGCCCTGCCACTATGATGGCAAAATAACTCGATTCCGCGTCTTTCTCGCCGTCCCATATGCACCCTTATCCAATTACTTTTCACCGATGCTATGCAGTGTGTAAAATCTCATTGCTAGTTTGGTGGTCAAATTAGTTCAGATCTCTATCCGGTAACTAAGTGGTTTTGGATGGTTATTCAGAAATGATGTAATTCACGGGTTTTTTGGGAATAAAGTGGGGTTGCATGGTGGACAAATTCGACTGTATACCACTTTCTGATCATCTGATGATGTTATTGAAAGTGATGGACAATCCAATGGTTTAATTCCGTACCCAACTAACTGAATCATGCAGGCAAAGCAGCCTCGACTAATTGAATCATACAGGCTATACATGCTCCCAAACCATCCAACTAATCTTGCATTGAATCAAACTATGATATTTAGTGATTTGGTATTTACTTAAAGTCGCATCCCCGGAATCATGGGTCAAGATCCATCATGTTTTAACGCAACAAAATCAGTCAGTGGCATATAGCCATTACATTCGAGAGCTGGACTTTAGCTATTTGTCACATACTATACTAGTGCCAAAATATAGCTTGGCGCGCTCTAAACATTGCAAAAATGCTTCATATTACTTGGATCCTCAGATTCCTATAGGTAAGTAACTGCTATCAAAGCCATGTACTATTGGCATGATTCATTCATCATCATTGATCACAAATGGGTATCTCCGACCGAGACACCCACCGCTTTTGGTAATACGAGACGCATTTTGAAGTTTTGGCTCAAGTTCAATGGTTTTTGGCCATCATGTTCGAGTCGGGAATCAGAAATTGAGAGCAAGCTTGATGATTTCCTAATTTGGCATGTCATTGTTTGTTTGAATTGGTTTTATTGCATCATCTGCACACTGTCAGTCAAAACAAGTGCAATGTTTGCTCATCACATGGGTTTCCAGCACTGGCTGAATGAATAATAGAGCTTAACCGCATCTATTAATTTACCGAATGGTCTTACGGCCCAATCCACGTGTTGGTAGCTGTTGGTTGGTCAGGGACTACAAGTTGAAATACGAGTCTAGTTTTCAAGACTCGACATGCTTGAGCTATAGCAGTTAATATACCATGACAACTTTATCATCTCCTATTCAAACTCTCTCATTTGGCTTCTAAATTTCAACTCTCATGCTGACCTAATAGACTAACACTAGTATCTTAAAATTGTAATGTGCTTTAGATCTTGTGAGCATGACAATGTGGCAGAGGTTAATCAGTTTAAATATGTCGGAGTGTGTGTTTGCTGAGCAAACACTGGCGGGACTCGTGGCTAAACTTTCAATAGAGTTTGATCAGATTCAATGCATATCAAACAACTATTCCCTCGAGCAAGACTACTTGACATCACACGATCGTGCTAGGGATAATTTGATGATGCTTAAATCAACAAAAAGAGATTTGGATACAGATGACGGTTCTGTCAAAAACCTCTTTTATGAGACGAGCATCGCTGAAACAGCCGTTTCTCGCAACAGCAATGATAACCAATATGCTTTAATGCGGTATTCAATATGGAATGGTCAAAATAAGGCGGATATCAACGACTATGGTATGAATGTTTTTTGTAATAGCTTTATATCAGTGCAAGTTTGTGATTGATCCAACACCAATTCTATCTATTATTACATTAGCAAAATCTTTGGAGATCCAGAATACTTTTTCGCACCGCTTTCTTGCACCGCCTGATTCACAGATACAATCATCTTTTTCAAGCCCCGCCAATCTCCATCAAGCATCTTTAACCAGGCTTATTGGAAAAGATTCATCCATGATTGTAGTAAACCGCACACACGTGCCACAACATGGTTCCAAACCATTCAGCTCGATTCATATCAAATATCTGAATCTTTCGGGTTGCAGTGATATCACGTCCACGACACTTGCCATGTTTATTCAAAGGCTGACAGGATTGGAAGCATTGGTGGTTGATAAAGTTTCAGCAGTGAATTATTCTGTTCTAAAAAGCATTCCCAGCACATTGATTGGCATCTGGATGCGTCAGTGCAGTCAAGTTTGTGATGACGGTATTATAGCACTTGCAAAAAATGCTTCAAATCTTCAAGATGTACATTGGGCACAATCCTTTGACAGACTATTGGTATGTGTAGTATCAATTTTTTGCACCAAAACATTGAATACACTCGAGTCTAGGCAGGTCAACGTGTACAAGCTGGATATACTAACCAGATGAAACTGATAGTCGAATACCATCACAGATCTGGCACTGATTACTCTTGCAAAAGCAGCACCCAATTTACACACATTTGAATTTACTGGACTTTCCAGATTAACAGACGCTACAGTACGTTTTGATTTGCGTTTGAGTTGCCTGATATTGGTCTAACCATGCGTCAATATCAAATTCACAGATCAGAGCGTTAGAAATCAGCTGCCGACAACTGCAAAGCGTCAATGTATCCAACTGCTATGCACTCAACATCACACCATTACAATCACTAATCCGAACTTGTACAGATCTTTCATTTCTTTGTATATATGGATGTGACAAAGTTATTTACCACTGGAGTGCAATCAACAATCCTGCATACAATCGCGTCACAGCCATCAATAGTATGGTATCTGATCAGCAACAAAGATCACATTATGCTGCTCAAGAACCTTCAACACATGGCTTGGAAGGGATGGATAACAAAAAAGACTATGATGAGAGTAAGCAGGGCGTTATTGCCGAAGGAGAGTATGGAGTGTTTCAAGGCAGAGCACAGGTGTTACAATTGACTTGGTAGTGAATATTATTTTTTTAAACAATGATTATTAAATAGTGACATGTTTTTTTGATATTGAGAATGTATTGGGTTTAAATTGTAGAATCAATTACAGTTGTATTCATGTAAAATACAATACTAAAACAACATTCACATCACAGTTGTTCAGTCTTCAACTCTCCAAACTGAATAGTGCAGGTAAACATTGAGTGATTGGTATGAAAACAACAGCTACATTCCTGTCATGTTGAACTAGAATTAGAACGCGAGTGTATTTGATATTTCAAGATACAACAGAGTTGCATTGAAACAAGCTTGACATCTGGGTTGCAATGCATGGATTTGGTAATCGTACAATGTATGGATATCAAAAGATAATTCCAACTCAAACTATAATTTGATTGTTATACAATGTACACTCTATTTATCAAAGGATTGATTGTCAATCTTGAACAGGAAAGCGCAATAAAGATTAAGCCATCACTGCAAGATACAAGTTTCATTTCACGCGAGCAGTTACAAGTACTGAATCTGGAGTAATTATTTAGCAATCCAGTCCATTGATATTCAATGCAACATCAGTCCTTTAAAGGAATCCCTCATTCTGATCTTTTATTTAAATCTGCTATTCTGCAAACTGCAAACAGTCTGGTTAGAAGATGTCAACTTGGCAAGTGTACGACTTTTTTAATCCAAGCCCGTCATCTTCCTCCAATGCCCATCGTCGAGCACTCATTCTTCTCAATCAACCTCTATGCAATATGATGTATTTTGAAACTCTATGGCAAAATGGTAAGTTTTAGAATAACAAAAACCTGTTTAGTAATGAATGCAGGTGTGAGGACTGGACAGGCTAATGTACAACTGCTTGATATCTGCATGTCTAGTGAGTGTACGGATATGTGCGGATGGTGGAGCCAACAGACTATATGATACTCTGGGCACTGATGAGCTTCGAAAAAGGTATTCACTTTTAAACTGGCAATCTATTCAAGCCATTTCATGCTCGATCGTGGGCCGTAAAAGCTATACATGACTTGAATGTTGAACACCTTTTTAATTGTATAAATGTTGAAGATATCTTCCTGATTGTATATGCGGTGATCTCGATTCGCTCCGTCCTCAAGTTCGCCAGTTTTATCAATCCATGAATGTAGAGATTCTACACAAACCATCGCAGTATGCTACTGATTTTCAAAAATGCATTGATTACTTGAAGGAGAACCATGAAACATCTGAAAAAGGTATGTACTTGCTATTCTAAAATGGGGTTAATCAGTCCGTTATCAGTCCGTTCATGGCAGTTGATCTCATTAACAAACCATGCATACCCACTCAGATATGAAAGATATTCTTGCATTCGGCACACTTAGCGGTCGATTAGATCAAACAATATCCGGCATGTCTACCTTATTTCATCAACATCCGCTTCGTAAACTATATCTAGGTTCAAATCACTCGTTGGCAACTTTAATCCGACCTGCCAGTACATATGTGACTGCCAATCAAATCGTGGTTGATTCAGACACACCTGTTAATCGGATTTACTCTGCAAAAGGATTTGAAGGTCCGTGTTGTGGTATTGGCTCGCTTGGATCTGATGCACGAGTCATTTCTACTGGTCTCAAATGGAATTTAGGTATGCTTATTCCATTTATCATTTTTTCAATGCATTGTAATGATTGGGCTTCCTAGCCACTGTCTAAATACAGTTTCTAATGAATTACAACTATTGGTATCCAAAGACAGGTCGTTTGTACTAAATATCAATAAAATGTGGAGTTCATCCAACGCATTTGCCAATGACGACACACCACATCGACACGAATGGAACAAGACTATTGATTCGAATAGCCAGCCTATTTCTTCTGTCAAAAATGATGTCGAGTATATGCTTGTTACCATTGATACTGATCAGCCTGTACTATGGACAACTGAAGTAGATTTGGCTTGACCAAATCTAGACTTGAAATTTACAGCCGTATTCACATAAACTGGAACACTTGTATTCACATTGCAGTGATTTCTTGGAATAAATGAATAGTATAAAGCTTGCAACATTTCTATCTGTTGAATGGTTGAGACCACGTTCAATGGATTTGTAGTTTTATCAAGAAACTTGAATACGATCAAGGAATACAAGACTATTTTTAAAGATCAAACTCAATGCAACTTGTTGAATGACAAACATGAACAAATTCAATTATTTGAACCACTGAAATGACACAATTTACATTATTGCAAGAATAGTCTAAACCACGCTGCAAGTAATAATCCAGCTTGAATCTCATTTATGATCGAATGCGATTTTATCGTTTGAACATTTGAATTGAACGTTTATCAACTGTTACCATCAACTCTTGCTATTACTATGGACTACTTTCCTGGAAACTGGGGAAATCCCCGCAGTCGTGATAATGATGTCTTCAGCTCGAATGACTATTTTCCTGGTTCTTGTTCTGGTGACATGGCTGGTGCCAGTTATCATGCCAGGGGTGGTCCCATCACTCACACCCAGTTGAGTTGACATGCATCTACTATGGCCTGATATCTACTTGTCATCGTGCCTGTTACTGTTCATGTGCTATGGTTTTAAAACTGCATGTGCTGCTGCAATGTTCATGTATTCAAGATACGCAGTGCTTTCAGCAGCAATGCCAGCAGTAGCTCATGGCTGTTGATCCATATCTGGTATCCTAATGTACTAATAACTGTCTTGTTTAATGTATTTACTATAGACAACCTATTGTCACTGGAACTTCAGTTATTGGTATCAAGTACAAGGATGGCATCATGATGACTGCCGATACTTTAGGTGTGTTGAAACTCCGTGTTTAACTTCAACTGTTCATCTTGAATATCTGTTGGAAATTGTCGAGGTGTTTAATCTATATAGATCAATACTATTCTATGGTTGATTGTGACTTGAATATGACAGATTTATGTTAAACTCGCTACTGACAGTCTTATTGCTATTCAACCCTTTTTGCTTGTACACTTTGTCATGAAATGCTATCCAGCTTCCTATGGCTCGCTTGCACAAATCAGAGACATGAAACGTATGACTTCGTTTGGAGAAAGCACTGTTATAGGTGCATCGGGTGATATGTCGGATTGGCAGCTTATTCAGCATATGGTTCAAGATCGTGTGTAAGATTACACAACTGCATGATGTGTGCTCTGTTGCTCATCAATGTTTTGGATCAAGTCTAATATCCTGTTCTATTCTTTGTTGCTCAATTTAGTATCGCCGAGTCTGCACATGATGATGGTCATCAACTGCACCCTGAACATATTTTTGAATATCTCACCCGTGTCATGTATGGACGTCGATCCAATACCAATCCTCTGTGGAACTCATTAGTTATTGGCGGATTTCGTGATGGAAAACGGTAAGTTGAGCTACATGTTTAGTGTTTCATTCCCATATCGTGCGACACTGATCTCATGCAATATATTCCAAAGTATTGAATGAGTATTGACATGTTGGCAAATCATTTGCATAGATTCCTTGGATATGTCGATATGCTTGGAACTACCTATCACTCATCCACCATTGCTACTGGCTATGGAGCATACATTGCACAGCCTCTTCTTCGCAAGGCTGTTGAGGGTCACGAAGACGAGCTTACTGAAGCCGATGCAATTAAAATTCTTGATGACTGCATGAGGGTTCTGTTCTATCGCGATGCTCGTTCAATCAACAAGGTGAGTTCAAATTACGTCTTGATGCAATATAGTTTAAACCTGGTTACCAACTCATGATTTCATCTGCTTGATCCTATTAGATTCAACGTGCTACAATCAATGCTACTGGTATCACAATCACTGAACCTTATTCCCTGACAACGGAGTGGAATTTCGCAGAAGGTATTCGCGGATATGGCGCAGTTTATGAATAAATGATCGACTTTTGTTAAATGCTGAACGATTTCAATTCATAAGAATTAGAAGTTGGTTTGAGCTGAATGATTCCAAAAATAAACAGTTTTACACAGACGGCACAGTTGTATAACAGCATTGCACATTTGACTATAAACAATGTAACCTGACTTTTTTTATTTTCAAGGTAAAGATCGAGTCATGTGAAAGAGTAGGAAAATGATGAGCGTCATCACGAATGAGATGAACGAATCAAGTGTACGAGCATGGTTAGGTTAAGGTGTTAACAATACGATGGTTTTGGAAACTACAAGGCATAGCAGCAGCGAAATAGGATCAACCCAATCCGCCCCACGGACCACGTATGCGTCTAGCAAGCTGGATATCTTTTTGCATAACAGTGACTCGTTTAGCATGGATAGCACATAGATTACTAAACAAAAAGTGAGTGTTGGTAAATCATGATAGGGCTATACACAATTAAAAAGGTTCAGGTTGAACTAGCTAGCAAGGGAACCTACGCGTCTTCAAACAGATGCACCAAGTAGGCTTCGGTCGCTTCTTGCAAAGCCATGATGGCGTGGGCTTGCCATCTTGGTGCCGATGCACTCACGTAATGAATGCTTGCCATTTCTGCTGATACTTCCTTGACCTACATTACACACAACATCAACTCGTGTTGCAAGCAATAGATCAAACCTTTTGTTCAGGATGGTAAATCTGGTTATGTTGAACATGAATGACTTACTAGTCTGGCAAAGGGAAGTTTACGTAAAAGAAGTTCTGTAGATTTCTGATATTTTCGGATTTCTCGAAGAGCTACTGTGCCGGGTCTGTATCTACGAGTTTGTTTTGGCTGTGACGAATCAGGAACTATACATGCAAAACATAGAATCACGACTATATTTAGTACTGTGGACAAGCTGATATGACTTTATAGATTTGATTTATCCAAACAATAAATTGAATGGATCATACAATTAATAGCCTGAAACACTCCTTCAACCATACTGAGTGCTACATAGGGTATTGTTGAGGTGGGTCAAGACTCAAGATCTGGCCATTGCCAACTCCTGATGGCTCCGCTCACACACTATCTAATTCCATTTTAATGAATAGAAAGTCTATTCAGCACAGTCGATTCAATCGTCAAACGCAAAAGCAGTTTCTACAATGCGTTTACAAGCAGACTAGCACTGCCTAGTTCGAACATTATCGTGACTTTGTCCGGTAAATGATAACAAAAAACAAGTGGATAGATACGTTGAATAGCAAGTTTAAAGCATTTTATACGGCACAACCTTGCTTTGCTGCAGCTATTTTTCTCTTTGCTGCACTGGTGGGACCAGACATGCCCTTCCTGTTCGGACTGTGTCGTACCATCCTGTTACTCGTCAAGTTCAATCTTCATTTGCAGTTGCTTGGCATGACTATATCACGTGTTCTAATCTCACTTTTCATTCGTCCTGTTTATTCTGCCATGCAATCAATGCTGCATTTTCCAAACTGCATTCAGGCAACACGTACTGAACCAACTCGCATTGCAATCCAAACTGACTGCAAACATACTCGCGCCGACCCAAATCTAAAAACCGTTTACACCGAATCCCAAGCTGTTGTCGGTCTTCAAATGACAGTCCTGTCCAATGAACACTTCCAATACATCACGTTAATACAGACATCTCAACATTCATCTTGATATAAACCACTTACGGGACAGCTACTGGCTCGTTTGATTCTGTACCCAATTCATGAGTAGGGTCTACTGAACTCGATTCTTTGGATGAAGTTGATTTGCTTGTGGATCGCTCACCACACAATGCCCATGTAGAAACACCAGCCAAAATATCAAACTCTTTAGCACCAATGCCATATTTGCTTAAAAACCCTGGATTGATGTAATCGTCAAATTTGCACAGTTGGTGACAACAAAGTGCAATCACCATTCCTTGAACTAGACTGTATAATCAAGATATCAAACACATCAGCCTGGTTTACCTATTGTGGATGGTTTGAATCAATGGGTTACAGGAATAGATGGGATCGAGTTGTAACAACTTACGATGGGTTTGAGGAATCAGATTCGCAATTTTTCTTGTAGTTGGAAAGACATTTCAACGTGAGATCAGTAGCTACACCGCATAGATGTTTAGATATAGCAATGACTGGCATTTGTTGGATACGCTCAACCCCTTGTAAATTGAAATCCCTGATATCGATTGTAACACGCTCCCAATCGGCATTGGCTCTAAACACTCTATCTACCTATACGTGTCAAGTCCAACATGGTACAACACATTCAATTCAGATCCCAGCTCAAACTTTAGTCCAAATATCATAAAATGAATAGTTGTACCTTGAGTTTCATCACTTTACGATCAATTAAAAGATACCGAGTATGTTGTGGAACACTTGCATAGATAAACTTGGACAACTCTCCTTTACCACATCCAAATTCCGCATAGCATCGATGCTCACCTATTAGATTTTTTTCATGTAAATGACCCATCAATGAGGCCTAGTAGATGGAAATTAACGTTTGAGTTGTAACATAATGTTGTGGAAAATAACTCACTTGTTGGACTGCATGTTTGCCATGTTGCGTTTCATTTAGTCGCTGATTCAGCGATTCGTGAGTTAAAACATGCAATGGAATCCCATCACGCATGAATATGTGATCGTGTTGTATGGCTTGATGGTACGCCGTGTCAAGTTTCTGAATCAATGCAAAAAGGTCTTCTTTGGATAGTATATCGAGTATCTTGACATGCATGTCATGTTGTGAAACCGAATCTAAATTAGAACCGCTGTTTATATTCTTGACATGATACGGAGGTAATGGCTGTGGTCGGAATAAACATGTTTGTCGATGTAAATCCAAATCGTTTACTCTCACAACACTTGAACCCAAATAGCATACACATTCATTAGTGGATTGACAGGTTTGAAATACAAGGTTCGAGTTCAACTCAACTGTTTGGGATGGAATGGACACAGTACAAAGTCTGGATTCATGTTGGGTTTATCTTTTGGTCCATGTTCAGCACACATTGATTGACCCGGTCTGACTTGCAACGGACAGTATCGCAGCTTTTTCTCAAGCTAGTCCATACAATCCGTTTAATAAAATGCAACAAGAACGGATTCAATGAAGTATCCAATACACAACTCACCCAGTGATGACATCGGTCTACAGGTGGACAAGGACGTACAAATGGAATGGATGACTTGAATGGCTTCGAATCCTTCTGTTTGTTGTACATTTGATCCATTGATGAATGGCTGGTTTGATCCAATTGTATTGCCGAATTCACGTAAAATACAAGTCTTTTGTCATGAACAATTTCATGAAATGATGAATTCCATACGAAATGGTTCATTCTTTAGTCACTGGTTTCGTAGCGATCGTACAATGTCATCAACAGGATAAGCTCAAATTGTATTCGTACGAATATCACATTGATGTGTATTGAAAGATTGATAATTCTATCAAGTCAATGTTCAATAAAAAAGTACAGATTTAACTATAGTCGATTCCAAAAATACAAGTATTCCATGTGTGAATACAACTGTAAAATGAGGTGCAATGTTTAAACGAGCACAGTTGGAATTAATCACATTGCAAAACCAATTCAATTGTGTTTAATATTAAGTTTAATTTAAAAATAGACGACTAATAAGCATCACAGGGTAGGAAATTATAAAATCGGGACAGTCGGTTTCAAAAAGGTGTGATTCCAAGACAAGGCTAGAGTGCATTGGTTACATGACCAGAAGAAAAAACCGTGATAAGGGTATACTCGGAGAAAAGTCTATAAGTGTATGAATAAAGTATTGAAAAGGATTCACATGCTGATGGTTGAAACAGCAAAGTCCAAACGACTTGTCCAAAATCAAATTGTCATTTTCAATAATAGAGCAGGATGCCATTCCTTAAACTGTGTGCACACAACCTCCAAGGATTAGTGATTAAAGTATTAGTTATAAAGGTAGGCCAAGAGTAAAGATAAAAGAGTATACGGCCGCATCAACTCTGCATACAAGTGTATATTACTGATGATAGTAATCATACGAGTCGGAAGATTTGTTTAAAGTTGACTTGTTTGTCTGTTGTTGATATTGCTGGTTAGAAGAGTTCAATTGTGGAGGTACAAGAGGAGTTTGCATCGGAATAGGCGGTGAGCTATTTAGCATTCCTGCCACATCCGCTCCAGTTTGCGGTGGAGGTGCCGATCGTGAAAGCTGATCTGCACAAAGCTCTAAATGATTCGCATTCAATGCCGTGCTGTTGGGTATGCAATCAGATAGCGCTACCGTTCCAGAATTGGAACCAAGTCCTAACCCTGTAGTGATGTTTAATCGCAATTGTGTGCTGCCACGCTCAGCAAGCTCGCGCGCATAAGTAATAACCTGCTGCCAGTCAACAAGACTCAAATCAGAATGAGCGTGCTTGAGATGATACCGTAATCCACCCACGCTTTTGTACGTTTTGATGCACAGGGGTGAGATGGGACATTGATACTGACGGTGTGACGGATGAATAAACGTAACATTCGAAGTAGGTCCAGAACTCGGAAACCCAGCATTGGGTGTAGGTGTGCCTGTGCGAGATAGATCGCCACTGGTTGCAGAGGCCGGTGTATTGCTTCCACGACCTCGTCTTGATCCATCATTTCCTGAATTGTTCAACGAACCACCACCACCATTATGTGGTGTATGAATACCACTGGATGCAGGATACTCACCATGCACATGAATCAAGTGATATTTGAGACCGTTGGCATTCTTGTACGACTTGTTACAACTATAGTGGCATTTAAATGGCTTGGCTATCAAAAAGGTAGATCCAGATGAAGTTCGTGATTCTTCCAAATTGGCAGCACGGTTTAGTGAAAATGTAGAAGAATTCAAATCATGCTGTTGCAATGGAAATGATTGTAAATCTTGATCGCTTTCTTGAGAAAGAAACCCAACTGCACCATAAAAATTAGATGCTGACCCGCTTCCGTCCAGAGTAGGTCTTGAAAAGTTAACACTGTCAGTTAATTGTTGATCAGGATGATTGTTTGACAAGCCAATCGCTGGGGAAGTAGCAGCAGAATTAAACTCCAACGATCCCATCATCTGTGAGATATGTCCATCTGCAGCATTAGAATCCTGCAAACCTTGAATTTCTTGAGATGGATAGGAGCTGTTTAATGGATTCTTTTGAGCTTTTTGGGATTGATTCATATTAATATGCGTATTCAAAAGATTATGAAGCGCACCCACTTGAAGTGCAGCGTTTCCAGCATTATCTAGCCTTGCTATATTAAGTTGCGTGTTATTTTCCTCGGATAGATTTAAATCAACTTCCATATCAGTAGAAAGATTATATTGAAATCCATTAGTTGGCCAACATTGAGGTCCTGTTTTTGAATCAGTAGCAGCTTGAGGATCACTGCTCAATGGCGTACCTCCAATGCACAAACCATCGGGTCCTATCTGACCATGTGGAAGCGAGACATTATTAAGTGCGGGTGAATCGTAGGTTCCTGGTTTGTTGATTGATTTGGTTTGAAGTTGATTAAGATATAGGGATGGATGTTGATAGTACTGTTGCTGCGCAGCAAGATGCCCATGCCCCAACACTTGGAATTGGGCAGTCATGGATCCAGTGTTGGGAGTAGAAGCCGTGCTATGAGAATCACGACGCACGGCGACTCCTGAAGCAACTGACTGTTGGTACATGTCCATATATGGATAAGAGTCAGTACGTGCGCTATGAACAGAGACTAAATCGGTAGATCGACTTGCTGGACTACTTTCGCGTGAAACAGTGAAATTTGGAGTAGAAGAGCGAGAATGATGTCGATCAAAAGATAACGCAGGGTCACCAGCCATGTGCAATTGAGAATGCATATTCATTTGAATACCAGTAGGATTGTGAATAAACGTGCCGCGCATTGAGAGTGGAGTATCAGAATGCTGAGTAGCAGAAGAGGCTGCGCTTGAAGGATTTGATAATGGGTCTAAACCCTTGGTGTGAGCATGCATAATATGAACGGATGTAGGATGGGGTTTTATAGTGGCTTTGGATGTGGTTACAGCGCCATTTTTACCGCTTGCATTACCGAGTAATGGAGATGGAGATCTACTGGGTTGAGCCAAAGTAAATATATTTTGTTGAGCAAGCTGTAAATTCATAGAAACGGATTGGGAAGTATTGGGAAGATGAGCAGGCATCTGATGTGGCAGTTCAGGAGTAGGATTAGCACTGTTGACACGCGACGATGGGTTAGAGTCTCGAATAGGAGAGTTTGTTGGAACACGCAAGAGATCTGTGGCATGTAAAAACGAATCTAAACTATGATTATATGGAGTAGATTGTTGTGATAGTTGTGATGAATAAGCAGTGTAGGGATTATAATAAGACTGAAGCTGCTGACTATGTTGATGATGCTGATTATATTGACCAGATTGACCAGATTGATCGTGCTGAGTGTGTTGAGCCTGACTGAGCTTGTGTTTAAGTGAGTTGATCTGGCCCATGGCTCCGCCATTGGCATTGCTCAAGAGATCAGAATTACTGACAGAATTCACATGCGCATGAGGAATAGTCTGAGTATGTTGCTGCTGTAGATTGTGTTGCTGATTATAAGGATGGCCATGCATTACCAAACGCTGTGCAAACTGAGGAACTGCGCGCGCACCTCCAGTCACAAAATTCTGATTGTATCGAGCAGATGGATGCTGCATTGAAGATTTATCAAAGGATGTGGATCTGGAGGTAAAAGGAGCGCTTGTAGCAAGAATGGCGGAGGGATCGCCCATGGAAGCGGAAAAAGAGAGCGTTGTGGGAGTAGCCAGCATGCCCATGTTGGTAGCATTGTTAATATTGTTAACAGCAGCAGATGGAACAGCAGAGCGCCGATTCATTGTGGATTGAAATTCCATCTGTTGAATCTGGGCAGCACTAGGCTGCTGTTGGGTTGTGACAGATATCATGTTATTATCTGAACTACCTCCGTTGGTATTCATTCTAAAAGTACCGACTTTATCACTGCGGTAAACACTATCAATGGAAGAGCAAGGATCCAAGCCCAGATGATTGCTAGCCATACTATCACTTGGATCATCACTTTTTATACCCTTGGAAATCTGTGTTTCTAATCCATCGGAAGTGGTGTCTGACACAACCCATTGCGACGCGGGACCAGGATTGACTGTGGCAGAATGCGTGACAGAATGCCTGGCAGCAGACATGGATCCTGACGTAGCAGCAACCAGTCTACTAGTCAATGTTTTAGGAGATGGTACAGTATAGGGTTTATTAGCATGATGACTATGTGTCATATGGACACCCTGGCTGTAGTGTTGATTAGCTGGGAGACTAGGCTGGCAGGTTGTTACACTCTGAGATTCTGTATGGATAGAATCGGCAGTGACTGCAGGAGTAGACGCAGGATGACTCAGCTGTTGCTGCATTATGGACATGTCAGAATCAGGCGCGATAGTGGATCTCCACTCTACCAAATTCTGACCATATTGTTGAAGATGCTGCCATTGCTTGTGATGGGGTGTACGTAAATGTGTTTGCTGTGTAGCAGGATATTGTTGTTTCTGCTGTGACGGAGGTTGATTATTGTATTGTTGATAAATAGAAGGCTGCAAATGAGACTCCCATTGCTGCTTGCCCTTTGCTAGCTCTCGTTCTTCCTGTCGTACTGCAGAAGACTTGATACGAACTTGTGGATGCTCCTGAGCAGCTGTAGTATTTTGACTATAAAGTAATGGAGGTTGCTGCTGGTTTAGAAGTTGCTGTTGATAGTACTGTTGCTGAAGTAGATATTGTCGCTGAGGATACTGCGAGTTGGTCAATTGTGATGGTTGATACGGAGCAGACTGCTTCGCACCCTGTTGGTGTAGCAGCTGCTGTTGGAGTGTATTCTGATGCTGTTGCGACATTCTAACACTGAATTCGCTGTTAGAGTGGAATGGATCGGAGTTTGAGGATTGAAGAATGATGAATTGGCATACAATCCTATAGCAATGTAAAGGCAGAGGAGTGATAAGGATTAAGAGCTTTTTAGTAATGTCCTGCTGTTGGTTTTTGTCGGACTGGTTGGTTACGTTAGTGTCGAGTTTTTCAGTTGGTATCAAGATTTACGTCTTTGTATAATCATGCACTTTGGGTTAGCATGGAGTGGTGCGTTCACTTGTTTTCGAGTCAATTAGACGAATGCTTGCGAAGGCGAGTTTGGCTTTTCTTGAATCTGATCGATTTTTCAGTAAGTAGTCTTGAGTTAGATGGTCAATATGACCGCTTAAAGCTAGCGACAATGTGAATGGTATATTGGTGTATGCAAACACAAGCATAGCACTCCAACCCTTATACATGGTTAACCTAACGTTATTTTTGGATTCAGGCCGCATAAAATAGTGTGCCAATGCACAACCTGCTGCTTTCTATCAGTAATTGCTGCTATACTTTCATCATCTATTCCACTAATCATCCCTTTTATTTTATACAGACTCCTTGATACGAATCTCGGTGTCTTGACAAAAATATATTCAAAGTTGCTTCCATAACGTCGTGCTTGAGATAGCAATCGACTGGCATACTCCAACTTTTAGCCTTTATCAGCAAATACAACCAAGTTGTGTTTGCATGATCGAGGTTTGATTTTGGCTTTTTTCCAGCCTTGTCAATGCTATTTACTTGACAAGCTGTATAGAATAAGTTTCCCTCAACCATCCTGCTCCTGATAGCAAATCATGATTCGCGACAAGAGAATGTAGAATGCATTTCTCAGTCAAGTATATACTCTTGGAATTTGCCAAATAGAATGATCAAATAGATCCAAGGGAGCTTATCAGTTGCGTCATACCTACCGACAACCCTTTACTTGTGCTTTTATACCATAAATAGGCCTGATGGCATCATCGAATCGAATCATGACAATTCATCAACTTTGTATTTGAAACTACGGATTATTTTGTATTTGTCCCGCAGCAATTGCTTTGGAATAAAATGGTCGGCTATTCTCATGCCTTTCTATTGGAGATTGCATTTTTTCAGATACTCAATCAACAAGCAATCATCATGTGATGCACACAAACGATAGTTTTGCCTACACCTCTTTTGGCAGTCATGCATTGTATAATCGCCGCTGATCCATTGTAATCCATGATTGGGTTCGATTGCTTTCAAACTCATTTTTGTTGTATCTTCAATTTGGATACGTTTGTACTTGTAGTCCAAGAAACATTCAACTATATTGAATATTTTAGTTTCATTCATTGCTTATTTTACGTGGATACGATTGTCATTCAATTTTCATGCAACAAAAAGCATACCTGTTATTGACTCGATCCACTTGCAAAAATAAAAGTAATTCCGACAGTGTTTAATACCAAAAACCAACTTGACAGAGTTCCAAGATCCAAACAGGCATTGTTGGCAAAATCAATCAACTGAACCCTTGATGAATAAAAAGTAGGCTTGACGATAGTAGATACTGAATACATATCAGCAAGACATGTTTTTAGATCTGATACCAGTGCATAGACAAGCAACAGTTCCAATAACCATGTTTTGACACCTTGATCTATACGTGTATCAAGTACGCCGTTTTTATCGAAAAACAAATTCATTAGGTATACAATCTTGATATAATGTTTATAAAGATTCCGTTTTTTTCGTTCCTCCCTCCTTCTCATGGCCACAAGTCGTAAAACAAGTCATCCAAATAATAAAAATGACTCAACTCGGGAATTAAATCGTGTATGCTTTGGAACTGCTTGGTTGTAGTGGTTTCAAGATACATTGTATACAACTGCGGACATCAACGTAAACATGACAATTATGATCAACAACGGATCGTTGCAACTTGACGTGACAAGATTAACCCCACATGTACTTGTAATGCACTAATAAAACCCATGAGATCATAGATATGAAAGAAATTTTTAAACCAATAAAAAGTCGTATTCACATCAATTAGGCAAGGTTGATGGATGGATGCAATTCAACTATTTTGGCTGTAGATCTCTACCAACCTTTTTGATTTTAGCAAGTTGTAACCAGTTGGGTAGGAAGTACCGCATACGCTTTTGAAATAAACTACCTTTATTGTATTTACACAAATAGAGAAATAAAGACAATGGAGAACAACTCCAACACTATCCATAAACGAAGATTTAAACTCAACCTTTGATAGAGTCTACTCTTCATCATCCTCTGCTTCTACTTCGCCCTCTTCGTCGAGCAAATCTTCCTCAACCTCGTCAACCTCACCATCTTCGTCATTGTCTGGCGTGTCGTGTTCGTCGGCAAAATCTGTCTCGTTGTTGTCTGCACCAACCGTTTCGAAATAGCCGGTTGGTGCATCGTCACTTTCACCATCGACATAAACGCCTACTTCCATTTCGTCATCCACTTCAGCGTCTTGATCGCCTTCTGACTCCTTGTCTCCCAAATCTTGATCGGCTTGGCATTGTGAATCACTATCAACATTTGAATTGTCACAGCTTTGGATGACCGTATCTACAACCTGCTCATCCATATCAAATTCGTCATCTTCGCCCTCCACATTCATCGCAGTAGATTCAGTCATACTAGGATCAGATACACGCACATCTATATAGCTGCCGTTATGACTCAGGCTGCTGTTACAGCTACCACTGTTGGCAACATCGCCTATAATAGTACCCATACAAGATTCATCGTTCGTAGGCAACGTCATCTTGATATCCATTGCAGCATCTATAGTCACGTCTCCATCAGTACAAAGTATCACATCGGTTGTCTGATGGGTGCATGCATCACTTGCAGGTTTTTCAATAGCAGACTCAAGGGTGTCGGCATCTATAGGCGATATATCTTTAGAATCAGTTGTATAAACAGCATCACCGTGACTATCCAATCTATTGGTGGTGAGCGCATTGTTCAAAGCTACACCATTCGCAATATGTGTCATATCCTCAACAGCTGGTGTCGGTGGAACAACATCAAGTGATACGGCATCAGTTATTTGAGTGTCTTCAATTGCTGCTGTCATGACTGAATCTGCATTGAAAGTAGAATGATCAAGTTTAGAGTGTGTACAAGGAGGAATGGCCACATCATCAGAATCTGATTGACTCGGTTTGGTATGATTCATGGAATGTGGTTCGTCAGTTGTTGTACAAGATTCTTGTTGGATCGTTTCTTCTTTGACCGCGTCTTTTGTGGTTTCCTCCAGTTTGATCTTTGCTTCCTCTGCAGCTTGCTTTGCTTCAACAATTCGCTGTTTTTCAGCTGCAATTTCTGCTTCTTTGACTACGGCTTCTTCACCCTCTTTGTTGGCTGCAATCATTCTCATGATCAAGTTGTGCTGATGTTCTCGCTTTGCCCGTTGAATTTGAGCTACACGAGCCTGATGAGCATTGGTAGACCCAATTTTACGAAAGGGTCGCCCATTACCACTATAGCTTTCAGTCGTATATCCAGGTATCCGTAAATTCCAATTCCATTCTGATTAAACCAATAAAACACACCATGGGATTAAACATACATTATCGTCTAAATGTACCCTTAACACCCATGTCACTCTACACCTCATACATTCAAAATAAAACTCACCAAGCTCAAGTTGTACATCTTGAACATCCATACAGGTCGATACTCTATGCTTGGCGGCTTTACACGCTCTATATGCCACCTTTTCAATAAAATTGTCGGCGATACGAAGAATAAACTACATCATCTGGTTAGTCTATACCATATCGGAAATGCATCTTGTTTTAGATACGTGGACTTACTTGTCTCATTTCCATATCGAGTTTGTATTCCGGATCAATTTGCGAAACCAAGGCATGGAGTTGGCGTTTTCTTTTTCGACCTAGAGCAGGGATAAACACGTTTGTTTGCTGTCGATGTCGACACATTGTATCCAAAAAGTGATCTTTATGACGCCCATACGGTAGAGCAGAGGATGTTATTCCATCGTCTATACCAGGTCGAAACAGAGCCATCAAGGGTGCAGTAGTCAATGCTGTCGAGTGATGCATGTTTCCCGATTGTTGAAACACATTCATGGACGAGGTTGAAGTAGATAGGGCAGTGGACGCACCCATGGAAAGGGTATCTATTAAGCCATGCAAAGGTTGTGGAGAAAAAATGCGAGTGGATTGCTGAGGAGCAATTGGGAATAGTGGCGATCCTTTTGGTGGGCCATTGGATGTTCCGGGCAACAATACACTTGCATTATCTATCATCCAACGTGTTTCAAGTGGGTTAGCTCAACAAAAACACATTTAAACCAAGATGACTGGATCTCGACCAAATTATAAACGGAGTATCTGAACATAAACAATTTAGTACCTGATCGATATTGAGGAGATCCAGTTGCTACAGTAGAAGCATTGGTTTGGCCTCTGGAGGTGGATGCATTCAAAGCAGCAGAGCCATTGACCATTACAGGTTGTATAGAGCCTGTTGAAACGCCAGAAGCAGTCGAGGTTGACACACTAACGGCTGCACCAGAAGCTAATTGTCTTCGCCAATTGAAAATCTCTTTTTCTAAATTACTTTTAAATGCCATCAGTTTTTCCCTTGTCGGGTTGTCCATATCTGCTTTTCCTAAACCTTCCTCAATCTGACGTAATTGCTGCATATACATTGCTATATTTTGTTGTGTAGCTTGTGTTACTGAAGGAAAGTTGGTTGCTGATGAAAGTACATTTTGTGCAGCTAGCTGCTGTTGGGCTAGTTGATGAGCCTGTTGTTGCTGTTGTAGTTGAATCTGGTGCTGATGTTGTAATTGAAGCTAAGACCATAGCCAATGTATTTCCAAACCACATGAAATCAATGCATAACATGACAGGACAGGACAGAAATGAATTAGTAAAAAGTGTAAAAAGTAAATTGGACAAGATACGTACGAATTGTTTTTGATTAACAGAGCTGTTTCTTCCAGCGATACCCAGTGCAGGGTTATGCAAGTGTGCAGCATTTGAGCGAATCATGGGAGAGCCAGGATTTGAGAGTTGACCATTTGAAAGAAGAGAGGGAGCGGATGAAACCTGACCAAGAAGAGATAGCTGTTGATTGGTAGTAGCATTGGCGGTTCCAAGGATAGCATTTTGTTGAAGTTGAATCTGTTGCTGTTGCAACTGTAGCTGAAGTAGAGCTTGCTGATGCTGCTGTTGGTTTAAGAAAGTTGAACCAGATTGCAATTGCGATGTACTCGACTGTTGAAGTGGAGAGAGTTGCTGTAGCTGACCTTGAGCGATCGCAGCTTGTTGAACTCGTTTCTGTAGTGTCAAGTACTGTTTATACAGTTGTTGCTGACCAGCAGTGAGTTGCATAGGAAGACCGGTAGCAGCAGCATGCTGCTGATGACTGAAAAGAAGAGCTTGAAGCTGCATACTGATCTGTTGAAGGTTAGTGATGTCCATATTCTGCTGCGTCGCGGTCATTGCAGCAGTAGTGGACGTATCGTTTGGATTTGAAGTAGCGATGAATGAAGAACTATTAAGAGGATTATTTTTAGCAGCGATGGCTAACCCTTGCTGATTGCCTAGAACAGAGGACTGTAGTAGAGCAGGATTGAACAGAGTGGAAGCAGGTTGAGAAGTGGGATTGACAGTGGTGGAGTTGACAGATCCAGAAGTGTCGACCAATGGATTGGTTATAGACAAAGTAGAGTTAGTGGTTGCAGCAGAGCCATTTGTAGTAGCAGTTAAGCCAGACACTCCAGTAAGAGTCTGGAAGCCAGACAGGCCAGAAGCCAAGTTGTTTGACATGGCAGGAGAACGCAGGGAAAAGCCAGGAGTCGCTGCAGAAGAGCCTTGCAGAAGCATCTGCTGTTGCATGTGTTGCTGCAGTAGCTGTAAATGCTGCATCTGCAGTTGCTGCTGTTGAGATGGTCCCAATGCACTCACTGCTGGCATTCCATTCTGGACGCGGCCAGGAGAAGGCTGGGGCGAGGACTGGTTCAGCAGTTGCTGCTGAAAGGCCAGTTGCAATTGATGTTGTTTCATCTGCAGTTGCTGTTGCTGGAGTTGTTGCTGTTGCTGTTGCTGCATGAGTATGTCCTTCAAGACACTCTCAAGTCCGTCACCAGTGATTTACTGTTCAAAACTTTTTAGTTTCGTGAAGCTTCAACTTGTCAATCTATTAGAATTCTGTAAGAATTCTTACCACTAACTGTCGTATTCACGTAAAATAATAACTCGGGATAAAGTCGACTAATCAACTGTCAATCTCTTGTAATCATTCTCAAATTGTCATTTCAACTCTAATAGTTTACACTTTTTAAACTCCAACATTAATGTTCTGTTATATTCTCAATATTCTCTTGAATTGGAGCGTATCTGATATTAAACTACAGTTTGGTTAATAATCAAATCCAATATCTAAATTAAAATGAATCTAAAGATCATTCAATAAGAATAATCTGATTGTGTGCATCATATAATAGTTTTTTTTGATTGATGGAGTCAATTTCTAATACAAAGATATTTTAATCCTTTTTATTCCAAAACAATCGCCAAGTGGGTTGACGTGAAGATTATTATAAAACCATTATTTTAATGAATAATTCAATACCAAAGATACTCTTGAATGATTCTAATACATCTGAAAACAGTATAAATGCACTCGAGTCTGATATGCTTCAACTCTCTTTACCATTGTCCGATACCAACACAAAATCCGATACTTTTAAAATACCAAGTACAACTTCAACTCATTCCATCACTCGACCAGTTCAATCATCAACTGAATCCATTCAACTCATTCAACGCAATAATGAAATGTTTCCTATGATTGGTGGTCCGCAAAGAGCTTCACTCTCTACTGGTCCCGGAATCCGTCGAAAAGTCGGACTTCTTCCAGGTTATTCTCCATTAGATTGGGCACGATTAAAGTCGTCCAATACAGATATGCGTGCAGGTATTACTCAACTACAACGATTCACAAAAGAAGATTTGGCTTTACATAAATCCAAGACAGACATGTGGATGTCCTTTCGAGGAAAAGTGTATAATGTTACACCATATGTGTCGTTCCATCCTGGTGGTTCAGCTCAGTTGATGCGTGGTGCAGGCAAGGACATTACTGAACTATTTCTCAAGATTCATCCGTGGGTAAACATTGACATGGTGCTAGACAAATGCTGGATTGGATATTTAATATAAATTGAATTTATAAATTACGATTGAATTCAATTCATTTTGAATCGAATAAAATCTTGCACTCGAGTGTAATACAAATCCGTTTTTGTTCTTTGGCTTTACAAAATTTCTTTTCTTTATCTGCCAAAACACACTGACCTTTGCAGCTGTTATTCTGCTGCTATACGCTTGAATCGTCGTACTTGCTCAATCATTTACACCAGTCATGTCTGATAGACTCACTCGTATTGGTGTGTTCCTTTGACTTACCCTAACCTTAATCCTGTCTTATTGTTCGACCCTTTACTCTGAATTGATGTTCTTGTACTAATCTTTACTCTTGTGAATAGCCATTGTTAGTAGTGACAAATGCAAGCCCAAAAAGTGTCGCCAGGAATGCAAAAAATCTTGTCCTGTGGTTCGAATGGGTAAGAAACTGTCAATTCCTATCTAGTCATTGGATTTCATGACTCAAGTATCAATCTACGGCTTTAGCCTTGAATTCAATTGTTTGAAGTAGAAAATATCTACTTGTGCGATTGCTACTGTTTGATTCACACACTAGTCTGTGTTCATTTCAGAGGCTTGGGAACCAATTGTAGAACTCGTTTGGAACTCTGTCATCATTCAGCTAATACACTGGGCTGATCTGTCCTGTTTTATTATTAGGAAAACTTTGTATCGAAGTTGAATCTACTTCCAAAATTGCTGCTATTTCTGAAGAACTCTGTATTGGATGCGGTATCTGTGTTAAAAAGTGTCCTTTCGAGGCCATCAATATTATCAACTTGCCTACCAACTTAGAACGTGACACTACTCATCGCTACTCTGCAAACTCATTCAAATTGCATCGTCTTCCTGTTCCAAGACCTGGTCAGGTTCTCGGTCTTGTTGGAACTAACGGTATTGGAAAATCTACTGCTCTCAAAATTCTTGCCGGAAAACTCAAACCTAATCTAGGTCGTTTTAGTGTACGTATTGTAAACTGAGCTTGCATCTACCAAGCATGGCTTACTAAACTTTGATTTCAATCTACGTATTATTGATAGAATCCTCCAGATTGGGAAGAAATTCTCAAACATTTTCGTGGGTCTGAATTGCAAAACTACTTTACCAAAATTCTTGAAGATAACCTTAAAGCACTCATCAAACCTCAGTATGTTGATAATATTCCAAAAGCCATCAAGGGTCAAGTTGACAAACTGCTCGAGGCCAAGCGCAGTCGTGAAAACAAGGCATATCTTATCGAACAGCTTGATTTGGAAGATGTGCTTGACCGAAACATTGAAAACCTCTCTGGAGGAGAACTTCAGCGTTTTACTATTGCCCTGACTGCTGTTCAGCGCGCAGACATTTATATGTTTGATGAACCTTCCTCTTACCTCGATGTGAAGCAACGTTTGAATGCTGCTCGTGTCATCCGATCTATGCTTGGTCCTACCTCGTATGTTATTTGTGTTGAGCACGATTTGTCTGTTCTAGATTATCTTTCGGATTTCATCTGTGTACTTTATGGCATGCCCAGTGCATATGGCGTTGTTACTCTTCCATTCAGTGTTCGTGAAGGCATCAACATCTTCCTTGATGGTATGGTTCCCACAGAAAATCTTCGTTTCCGTGACGAATCACTTACTTTTAAAATTGCCGAAACCGCTGATGACAAATACGAGAATGAGAAATTTAGACGGTACCAGTATCCTGCCATGAAAAAAGTTCTTGGTAATTTTTCGCTCACTGTGGATGCAGGCGAGTTTACCGATTCTGAAATCATTGTCATGTTGGGTCAAAACGGAACTGGAAAGGTAAGCTGAATACTATGTCAACTCCATAGCACCGTTTTCTAATTGATTTGCTTTTACAACTCGTGTGTACAAGACCACATTTATTCGATTGCTTGCTGGTATACTTGCGGCTGATGGCGATGAACAAGTTCCAGAACTCAATGTCAGTCACAAGCCCCAAAAGATCAGTCCCAGCTTTGAAGGCACAGTTCGCATACTTTTCCTTAAAAAAATCAAGGGCATGTTCATGCATCCTCAATTCCAAAGCGATGTGGTCAAACCTCTTCAGATTGAAAATATTATTGACCAACAGGTCAAGACACTCTCTGGTGGTGAACTGCAACGTGTTGCCATTGTTCTTGTTCTCGGTACTCCAGCTGACATCTATCTTATTGACGAACCTTCTGCCTACCTTGATTCCGAACAACGTATTATTGCTGCCAAAGTGATCAAAAAATTCATTTTCCATTCCAAAAAGACTGCGTTTATAGTAGAGCATGACTTTATCATGGCCACCTACTTGGCTGATCGTGTGATTGTATACGACGGTACACCCAGTATTTGTGCCCGTGCCAATCGACCCGAATCCCTTCTCACTGGTATGAATACCTTTTTGAAAGCTTTGGAAATCACATTCCGTAGAGACCCAACGAATTTCCGACCACGCATCAACAAGCATGATTCTGTCAAGGACAAGGAGCAGAAACTAAGTGGAAACTACTTTTTCCTTGAGAGCGAATAGACATTTTTAAACACCCGAGCTATTCTAAAAACTGATTTGATTCAAGCCCATCTTTACAATATGTGATGCTTTTTGGATCTTTGATCCGATGGTTTGCTGTATTGATAATTCTGCAACAATCTTGATTTGAATTAAAGTCTAATGTGCTGCACCAATTCTATTTATTTTAAAGTGTTTTTTTTCAACTACAAAAAGTCTTGATAACGCACAAGAATACAACTCGATTATCGGTTTCGTTATTTTCATGAAAACAGTTTGCGTTTCGCATTCTTGAAAGTCGGCAATTTTCTCTTCAGGACTAAACAGTTTATAGCAAACCATTCAGCCTTGACATAATGGAAACGGACACTGGAATGAACCTTGTTGGAAGTAATAATCATTATCCTGTACAACTGACTCCTGCCAGAGTTGCAATTCATTTATATGGGGATCACAGAGGAATTTCAGTGACCAATACGGACAACTCTCACTACTTGATGTTGACGGGTGAGTTTAGATGGCTGTTTTGAACACTCCATAAAGTGGTCGAGTAAGCCAGTTCTACTGTGTCATCTCAACATAGCAATTCATGAGTAGATTCAGATATTTGATTCTCAATTCAACTGACAAATCTCTAAATTCGTCAAAGACCCTTTTGCTAGCAACTCCAGGTAATGGTTGTGAGTGTGTGTTATTATCGGAACTGGCACTTATTTTTACTATTAGCAAAAAATATTATATAGATTATTGTTTCAAAGGTTCGACTGTCACTCCCGACACGATCTGTCATGGTGTGGATCTAGATGGTCTTGTCAAGCGCATTCTTCATGGCATGTAGAGCTTGCACTACTATTCTATCCACCATGTGTATGTGTTGATGATTAAACTGTTTTAAATAAAACTATAATGTTGCATTGGGTTTAGGTGGCTGCAGTGCAATCGTTACTGCCAAGATTGGGTAAGACTTGTGAATTCATCCATACTACATGCAATAACTAATATTTGACTCTCCTGGTAGTCGATCTACTCCTGTTTCTAGGTACGTTTACATTTTTTGATTGATAAATCATCCAGGTTTTAATCTTCATTTTTACGGATTGATTGTTTTCAGAACAGCAATTCATGTCGAGGCCATTCAAAGACTTTTTAATAGCTTGAATAGTATAAAGAAACTTGGAAATAGTGTTAAAGACTTTAAAATCACTATGGCGTAAGTCGTTTTTAATCATCTATATGCATCAGCTTCACTTGACTAGAGTTTTATATACTGATGTTTGCTATTTTGATGAAATCATTAGATTCATTGGATTCACTGATACCAAGTGCATGGATATGTTTCATGAAAGTACCATCAAGTCAGAAAACTTGAAGATTGATGATCATTACCATAGTGTAGATAGTACGGAAGCTCTTGGTAGAGTCAAAAAAGGTAAATTATGATTTTTAAAAGTGTGTCTGCAATGCCATGCCACGTTTAATTCATCTAAACTTCATGTCAACTTTAGGGTGTTCATTACCATTCATTATTTCAATCAAATTGGATCTACTTTGCTACTCTGGCAAATTTATTGGTCAGCTCATTCTTGTAAGTTTGTCACTCTTGAGTTTGGGGTTAAAGTAATGCGTTTTTCGAGTTTGAAATCAATATTTCTACTATTCAATAATATAGGCTGATCTTGGAACTCCAAGTTACCGGGATTTACCTGATCGTAGTTCCTTGACCATTCCATACAACATTTCTACCATTCGTGAGTAAAATTGTTTACCGCTCAAATGCATGGTTATGCGCTGTATCAAATTAATTTGACATATATGATGCTGTAAATAGGTGATTTGACTAGTATGCTGGTCACTCCCGGTGCTGCTGGAGAACTCCCATTCAACAAATCAATATTTACTCAACTTGCTTCTGGTACATCCTACATTTGTTTTCAACTTTTTTTAATTCTGGCTGCATCGACTTATTTTAAATACATGTCATACTAGAATTGTTTGGTGGATCTGCCACTTCGCTGTACATCCTTACTGCAGATGTAAGACTCTTGCTGAGAATATGATTTCAATCAAGTTGCAAGTATAATTGATTGTTTTTTGTTAGGTGGCCGATTCATCGTGCGTACCAAGTGATGTTCAACCCTGCCTCGAGTTTTATGATCTGATGCGCAAACTTCGTAACACCACTGTAAATTTCACTATTTAAATAGTTTATGTGTTTAATCCTGCCTCGTTCAACATGATTGTATGAATTGATTTTTATGTTCAATGTTTTGTGTCGTTTGTATTTTATAGTCTGTAAACAAAGTAAGTGGTGATGTACTAGAACTCGAAGCACGTATATTGGCTTTGGAAAGTAAAGCCAGTTTCTTTGGTCAATGCCTTGTTGATCTCGCTCAAGTTTCCAGCAATGACATGATGGTGCTGAAGGCCAAAATGGATGAATCTGACCAAGCAGTCGACGATATTATGCTTGATATGGCGGAGCACATTTTATGTGAAAAAAATGCTGCAAAAACTTTAGCTTTACAACTTCATGCAGCTCATACAACCCACGACGTTGACATGATGGCAGAAAAAGAGCACGTTCGTCGTGAAACAATTCAAAAAGGTAACCCCTGCACATTTAGGTGACCCATTCGAGTTAACCCGTAGTCTTGTCGTCTAATTTGTTGCTTGATGTTTTGCTGGATCAAATCAAGTGAATTTTCGTCATACCATGGAAAACATTGAACGGGTGTTGGTAGGAACAGAGGTAATTGGTTGTACGGTTGAATCTACTTGATGTTTCTACATGACAGCCAATATTTGAAACCTTAATTATGTTTATAATGATTTGTCAATCTGGACTTTTAGGAAACCAATCTCGCACTCGAGGAAAAATTGACAGGCGCTGAGAATAAAATGAAGGAGTTGAATAAGGATACGGCTAAACTACACAAGCAGCTTTTGACATCATCTCAAAAACTACAACTGGTTGAAGTCGACTATGCTGACATTCAGCGCCAATCTCAGATCTACATAGACAACAACGCCAAGCTAATGACTGACATTGAGCAGACCCGTAGTCAACTCGAAGCAAAATTGGTCTTTGCCAAAGAGCTCGAAGAAAAGTATGCCAAAGAAAAAACACGCCTTGAGGAGATTGTGACAGAATCCAAAGAGTCACACGAAAAGCTATTGCAAAAGTGTCAAGATTTGGAACATGAACTGTTGTGTTTGAATCAAAAGCACCAATTGAGTATTACCGATGCTGAACGTATTCAATCCGAGTTGCTGATCAAACACAACGAAACAACAAAAACCCTTGACAAGGAGCGTGAGGATTGGATGGCTGAACGCAACCAACTATGTCTTGATGTAAAAGAATTGAAAGAGTCCAAAGCACAAGTAGAAAAAAGGTTGCAAGAATCTACGCAAGCTGTGGAAATAATGGCCAAACAGTCAGCCAAAGCTCCCGAAAAAGAAATCCATAGCGTACGATATTGTGTTGGTCTATGCTAAATTGGTGATTGATTTGCATTGTTGTACTTGAATAATTCATTTGTATACTTTAAATTTAGATGGCAATTGAGGTTGCGTTGAAGGAAAATCTTGATTTTATCAAGGATACGTTTGCTCGCGAACGACTTGAATTGCAAGAACAGACAAAGACTTTGATGGCGTTGGCTGCAACCCAGGTTGGTATTATATTTATACTTGATGCTTGTGATCATGCCTATGTATCTGTAGTAGCTACGCTATGTCATGTGCTGTAGTATACTGGGCTTAAAAGCTGACATGGATTGTTTTGTGGTATATGTAAAGGAGACTACACTAGCAACTACCAAAAAGCAAGCAGCAGACAAGATAAACCCCACTGCGAAAAAAACTGCTTCAAAACCCATAGTCAAATCTGTGAAACCCAAAAACAATTCCTCCAAAACATCTGCCAAGCAAAAGGATAGTTCTAGAACCAAGGAGTATGATGAAACTTTGGATACGAGTATTGATTCGGTAAGTTTAAAACTTATACATGTCTACTATTGCGTGGCTTTGCATAAATCCAATGCTCACTTTCATCTGATTGGAAATACGTGTATTTGATAAGATTCCTGAAAGAAACGACGAGGGATCTGCCAGTTTTATCGTTTCGGAGGATGGAGACGCCATCAAGGAAATCTCTCCAATACCCAAACGACCTCGACGCAAGACACGTCAACCACTAAGTGAGCTCAGTGAAGCAAAACAGCCATCACTTGCTCTTGAAAAGGTGAGCATTGATTAAACTTGAAATACTAGCTGTGTATTGAGATATAGCGCAATATTACCTTTGATTGTTACATCTAATGCTTTTGATGGAAAATGTTGAACACGAATGAATTGGCCGTTAAGCCGCTTGCTGAACATCCAAAACGCAAAGCAAAGTCTATTGAAAAACCTGACGTTGCTGAGAAAACCGGGTTAAATCTTGATGGTGCTGACAAGAAACGCAAAATCAATACTGATACTACGAAGCCGAGTTTTGTACCCGAGGATAATGGCGAATATATTTTGAAACAGACTGATCAGGTAAATCTTGTCATTGACTTGTTGATATATAAATATCATGATAGATCTAATCCAATTTGATTTGGATAGCCTTCTGCGTCACTTTCAGGCTTTTTGTCATTCTTATCTGGGAGCAAAGAAAAGGAACCCTCATGTGATGCTTTATCCAATACCACCTCAGTTCCATTGTTAAGCACAGTTGCTCCTAAACTTCCAAAACATGTTATTGATCAACGTCGTTTAGCTATTCTCAGAAGTAAGCCAGCCGAGTAATCCCATCCATTTCCACTTTCATCATTCTGATTTGAATAGCTGGATTAGCCAACACCACACTATATTTATGTTGTGTACTCTTGGAAAATATCTCCATGTTTATGCCAATCAGCATTGTAATTCTGGCCAATGGATTGTTTACCTGGATTTGTGAATAAACACTTATATAGCTTTTTTATCGCGCTGTAGTCGAGATATAGTCTTGCAAGCAATATGTAAACCTATTATTCAGCAGATCCATATACTGAATGTTTGCTTTTATTTACCAAGCAATCAATGACAATTTCTCAATAGTCTGCGTGGTTTGGGTTGTTTTGAATTCTCCATCCAAGTCTAGCTGAATCTATGGCAGTAAACCAATTGGTAGTGCAAGTCAAATGCAATGGCTACACACAAGATTCTATCTAGAACAAGTATCCACAACTGAATTTTATTTGTAGTGTATACGAATAGATACCGCTGGAGGTAAAGTCTATTCAGCATCGACAACGCCAGTCTGTGCTTTGATATCTCCACATGCTAGAAAAATCAAGTATTGAAAAACTAAGCAATTTCTCTACAAAAAAGCAACACGACAACTGTTTATAGAATTTTGTACTATTATTTACCAGTAGACCCAGTTTAATTATCTTGCAAGTGATCCCGAGACCCACGACTGTATAGAGTCAATTGATACAGGTTCGAGCATGAAGTTTGATGAATGGGCTGTACGTAAATGGCTTGAAACGCATCCTGACCAGGCCAAATCTATTCTTACATCCTATACAAACAAGACTGCTCAAGATGCAAATACTTTGCCATCGACTCCCTATCTACCACCCGAGATGTCACTTGATTCCTCGATACTTCAAACACACGAGCTTATATTTGATATAGCCAAGATTGTATACTCGTCACTGGACTTGGAGACTGTGATTGAAAGCGTATTGGGGATAATTGGAAATATAATTAATGCAGAGCGATGCTCACTGTTTTTACTGGATAAAAAAACCAACGAGTTGTATACTGTCGCGTTTGATGTGGGTAGCCGAGAGCATAACAACGAGGAGGATGGTATTCGAACAAGTTGTCCAGGCAACACGATGGGCACACATGCCACCAGCAGTAGTCCCAATGTAACTGAGCCAGACATATTGGCTCGTGGTATGCAAACATCTAATCTCAGTACAGGATCTGTACCTCACGCTATTCCAGCTACAAACAGTGACTCTAATCTTTGTCAAAATCATGCTCATCAGTATCGCAATAGTATCTTGACAAATGGCCCTCATTGGCCATTGACCCGACATTGTGTTGTAATGCAAACCTATAATTCCGCTTTGATCGTGGAGGATGTTGAATCAGCAAAGCGTACTAGGTGTTTTGCTGAAGAAGCATCTCGACATCATAAACCTAATCCTGGTATTCGTATTCCAGCTGGTATAGGCGTAGCAGGATACGTTGCTCAAACTCGTCAGGGACTTAATATCAGCGATGCATACGCCGATCCCAGATTCAATCCAGCAGTCGATAAGCAAACTGGATTTAAAACCGAATCAATTTTATGTTTGCCTATATTTGGACCAGTGGGTGAGGATGGGCAACCCGAACTGGTTGGTGTTGCCAGTCTTGTCAACAAGATTGGATCTACGCATTCCGTGGTAGGTAATGGTGATCACAGCAGCAAGATTCACATAAACTCACCCTCGTCTTTACTAGCAGATCAAACATTTCAAAAATCTGCCATATCTTCAACAATCATGACATCAACTGGAACAGATTCTCGATCGTGTAATCCTTCATCTCCTCATGAAAACCACCAGTCCTATAATTCAAATACTTTATCATCATTACCGAGAAACCCATCTACATCATCTTTGGATAATCGACAGCACGAGGTATTCACAGATAATGATACACAGTTGTTTAAAAATTTATTGGTTTTGGTCGGTATTGCCATTAAAAATGCCAAACAATATCAAATTTCAAAGGATGCTCAAATCGAAGCAGACAAAATGGCCAAGCGCAACAATGTGCTTTACGAAAAAGCACAATTGGAAACTGAAAAAGGAAAAATGCTGCTACAACTTGCCAGTACTTTATATGTCGAAGATGATACCAAAATGCTGATTCAAAAAATAATTTGTATGGCAAAACAGCTCATGAGTGCTGACAAGGCATCTTTTTTTATTGTCGATCAGGACAAACGAACGGTAAATTTTGATTGCAAATGATTTGAACGTTGACTGTTTTTAAAGAGTGAAGCAGTGAATGTGTATTGGTTTGTATAAATATTGATGTGTGACTTGCTAATCTCGTTTGAAACAACTATAGATGCATTCCTCGGTATTTGACAATGACATTGAAAGAAATATTGTTGTGCCAATGGACAAGGGAATAGCAGGCTATGTTGCCACAACAGGAAAACTGATTAATCTTAAAGATGCCTACGCGGATAGTCGATTTAGTCCAGACATTGACATCAAAACCAATTATCATACTCACAGTATATTGAGTGTTCCTGTCATGGGTCCGAATGGAAATATCGTTGGAGTGGCTAACCTCGTCAACAAGTTAAGTCCAGGATCAACCGAGGTCACTGTATTCACCGAAGTGGATGAAACCATGTTTAGCTCGTTTGCCGTATTTTGTGGATTGGCATTACATAAAACAATGCTTTTAGAAGAGATAGAAACTCAAAGACTACGACTAGCAGTTACGATGGAGATCATGTCTTTTCATTCGACTATCCGAGAAGAAGAATCGCAAGTTGTACGCGAGGTGATTTCCACCAAATTTGTTCCTGTTGATGACTTGCGAATGTGCACGTTTGATCCACACACATTTCCACATGCAGATGAATCCCTTGTGGCAATTGTGTATCAAATGTTTATTGATTTGTCTTATGGCACAACATACAAGCTTCCTGATGAAAAAATGATCAACTATATTTTGACTGTACGTAAAAACTATCGACCTGTAGCGTACCACAATTTCACACATGCAGTGAGCGTCACCCACGCGTTTTACTCATTTGTAGTCAATGGTGTACTAGATGGGGTTTTGGACCATATAGAGCAATATGCCATGTTTGTAGCTTGCTTAAACCATGATATAGATCATCGTGGTACAAACAATATGTTTCAAAAACAAGCACATACCGAACTGGCCAACTTTTATTCGACTTCTACAATGGAACGACATCATTTCAATCATGCAATGACCATTCTAAGTCAAGGAAGTGGAGTTAATATTCTCCAGCATCTGAATTCAGTCGAATATCAAAAGGCATTAAAAGTGATTGAGCATTCGATCCTAGCTACTGATTTGGGAGTGTTTTTTTCCAATCGTGGTAAAGTGAATGCAATTATTGCAACCAAGGAGTTTGATAAAGATATTATTGAGCACCGAGAATTAGTAAGTGCACATTTTTGTTTTAATCGGGTAGATTCTAAGATTAATCATGGCAAACCATATAAACTATTTTAGTTGCGAAGTATTATTATGACATGCTGTGACTTGAGCTCAATGTATAAGCCATGGAAATCATCTAGAGAAACCGCGAATTCAGTGTAAGTAGATTCAATTTGAACAACAGTTTGGCATGAACGAGTCGAGTAGAATTTAATATCTGTATTGTTGATGTTTTAATAGATACGAAGAGTTTTTTCAACAAGGCGACGAAGAAAGGCGATTGGGATTGCGTCTATCAGGAGAATTAATGGATCGTAGCAAAATGAGTGAAATCCCACGGATGCAACTTGACTTTTACAACTTTGTAGTGTGTCCAGCCTTTGATTGTCTGCATGGATTACTAGGAGATAAAGTTCAGAATCTGAGAGATTTTGTAGCAGAGAATCGTAGCAAATGGAAGGATTTAAAAGAGAATGGCATAGTATACAAGTTTGGAATTGATGTGTAAAATGAACAGGAAAGCATGATTCTATAGCATAGATTGAAGTGGAGTTTTGATGAATTCATAAAATTAAAAGGTTGACCATTACGGCTAGAGCCAAAAAGTATGAAAACAAGAACATTGGCTAGTAAAAACATTTTCATTACTAATGAGCTGCACTACATAATTTAATTGCGTGGTCTTGCACGATCGGGTTGGCAGTATATGAAAGGAAAAGTGTTATTGTGACCATTTCATTCAGTGTTTGAGAATAAAATGCATTTGGACAAGACTGCTGTCTGAATGAGCAATTTCGCAGGGTTTTCTTGCTGTTTATTGTTTGCTCGAGCACGCAACTCATCGATGATGTTCGTACGCAAACTAAATCAATTGTGCGATTTGACTGCGAACAAATCTCGAGTTTGAAGTGCTGTCCGAGTGCGAACCATTTTGGTTTACTCGAAAATAACAATTATTTTGTTCACTTTCATTAAATCTTCAATTATAAACAATGGAAGCATCAATGGAAACATCAAGTAGTGATACTGTTGCTGTCAAACTGGATACTCGGGTTTCTACTGCTGCTATCAATGTGCCCATCACTACACTCCATCCACAGCATTTATCCATCGCTTTGCTACAAATGGCTGACCGTTTATCCATCACTGCTCAACAACAGCTATCTAATTACAAATCACTGTTAGTCAGTGGTACGGATGCTACTCTACAGCACTCCCAGATGAATGCTGCTGCTTCAATCAGATGCTATGAAGCATTACTCTCTCCTTCAATGCTGTCCGGACAAACGACTTCATCCGCTTCTGGACACGCAACAGTTCCTTCTACTGCCATGACTACATGGAACAGAGTATCTCCTACTATTGAAGCTCAAGCAAGACTCGGACTGGCTCAGGTATTGTGGCTGTTTACCAAGAGCGATCAAGTGGTTGAGCAACATCTTATTAAATCGGTAATTATTTACTAAATGATCATGAGCACTACAACGATTCAGCATTAACTAACGTGTCTGATTCCAAAGATTCTATTGGCTGAAAAAGTAAGTTCTTTATGATTGAATGCTGTTTATAGACAATAGTCGATATTGACATTATTTTATCTCGCTTATAGCTGACCAACTCGCATCACATTTATTTTCAAATACTGGATTTGAGACTCACAATAAGCGAAGCCAGAAAGAACCAGAAATATTCTATACAAATATTTAAACAAGCTACAGAAAAGTCCATTGAACTAAAGCTATACTCTTGGTATTTTTATTTTGTGGCTCGTAGGCTTAATTTGCACGAATCACAAAAAGAATGGGGTGCCTATCTGAATACTGTTCAAAAGGCAATCGTACAGGCTAAATCTATCAACGATATTGAAACAATGGCAAGATTGGATGCATTAAACATTTCGAGTATATACCAAAAACCGTTTCTATTCAACCTTTCTTGATCTCTATTAACCCAACCATATATGGCTGTGAATATAGGCTCGACTTGTTGCATCACAAATTAAAATCAAATTATTAGCAGGCAGTGTAAAATCAGTTCAATCGAGTATAAATGAGTTTGAACAAGTGTTGACTCGACTCCAATCTTTAGACACGCCAGCAAGTGTGTCATTACAGTCTATCAACTCATTGTTTCTTTTGAAACAAATGGCTGTGATTATTTTAAATCTGCGTTCAGGAAATCACAAAGAAGCCATCAATCTATTGGCTTCAATGCATGCTCTTGTTGAGCAGATCGATACAACTGGATTTAAGCAATTGCAGCTGTTGGCATATTTACTGTCTGGAATTGCACATAAGCCGGATGATAATTTCAAAGCAAAAGCATTTCTTACAGAAGGATTACGTCTTGCAAATGGTAGTAGCATACTTTTATACACTATACAATACTGTCGAATACACTAACCCATCTTATTCTGATTTAGTCGCATATGGTTAGTGCAAGTAAACTTTGCCAAGATTTGTATATGCTTGACACTGATCGAAATTGTGTTTTTAGGTGCGTACGATGCCAAGACTAATAGCGAGATTGGTAACATCAAGGTTGTGTTTATTACACAGCTATCTCAAGTATATATTATGAGATCTGGCTATAGTGAAGCATGCGAGGTATTTGGACCAATTGTATTACGTTTTTTACAACTCCAAGATACAACAATAGTTGAAAGTGCTCATTTTATAATTTTGTAGTTGCTGAATACAGGAATGCAATGGTGTACGCGAAGCGACATCTTGGTAGGAAATAACGAGTACCATTTGAAATTTGGATGGGCTCAGCTGCTTCAAGCTCTAGAATTGAATACACCTTCTAGTATTCTATTTTCTCAAATTGAAAACTGCCATCAGAATCAGATTGAAAAATCTACATTGACACAAAACCTTGTTCTTGCACAACTCGGTTGGTTGACGCCTTTTCATCGGTATATCATGAGCTATTCTGCCAATGTAAATGATTTATTCTTGAATATATTATGTGCAAAGACCAATCGTCCTGTCTGAATGCTAAACATCAATTTACATGACTGATTAGCCTCGAGAAATTGTCAATGTACTGATTCCAAACGAAGCATCTTTTAAAACGCGAGCGTTTGCGAGCCTGTTGCAAGGATGTCTAAAAGCCAATATAGGAAATACACAGCAAGCAAAGTAGGTTGATTTGGCATGTTTTTATATCGTTGCATATTACTAAGCGTACTTGTAAATGACACGCACTATTTTAATAGACAACACATTCTTGAATCGTTCAAGCTTGCTGGAACAACCATGTCTTTACATCATCGAGTAGTGTGTCTAGTTATGCTTGCTAGTCTTTTTCAGCTTTCAGAGCCAGAACAAGCTGAAAAAATGGCATCTACTGCATTAGCATTATCAAAGCGTGCTCATTCTGAACCACTTCTTGTGTGCTGTATGACACTACTATCATTTGTAGCAAGCCAAAAAGGGGAAACAGAAAAAGCTAAAACGCTTAGTGATGGTGCGAATCAACGAGTTTGCGCTAACCAATCAGCCATTCTTTCTGCTCGCAAGATTCTTCCTGAGTGCATCAAGTATTGATTGTGGATTGATGTCATTTCAATCCAAACAGTGAATGCGTTACAATCGTATTCACTCGAGTCGTGTTGCTGGAATTGCATTGAACACATTCATGCTCCGATATCATGCTATCTGCTGTCATTGCAATAGACAATCAGATTTCTAAACTAATAAAACACGATTGATGAGTTGGAGTGTTTCATTTGTACATCAAATTATTGAATTGGTAAATATCTGAATCTGTTCATGTAGAATGTCGGATGAATGAAATGGTTTTGGATTGAAATCCAGATAATTGCTGATTTGAATGCTTCAGTTCTTGACTTGGAATCTTCTAGTTTGACATTCATGACTTTGCCAGACACTCTCACTACTGGTCGTAGACTTGGTGGTATGACTTCACAAGTTGGCAGGACAAAGCCATACGACCGTCCATCCCGTCGAGGCATGGATGGCCGTTTTGGCAATAAAAAGAATGATGCAGATATGGACAGCCAATGGCAGCATGATAGGTTCTCCAAGGATGATGGAGGGAAAGGTACTGGATTAAGGCAGGATGCATCTTACAGTGGCAGTCGTCATTTGGATTCTAGAAAACATACTGTGCTTGTATCCAACCTTCACTGGGGTGTAAGTTGATCAAGTTGTCTTGGCTGATGTTGGGTTTTATGGATAAAACCACTTGTTTGCATCTACAGGCACTATCCTGGCTATGAGCTTACATCCAGTTATACTATTGGCTTGATGTTCAACATGCAATCTATTCTTGATTCTAGGTCTCTGTTCAAGATTTGGAAGAGCTTTTTGGGTATGTCAATAGTATCAGTTCAAGTTTATAATCTCTGATAGAGTAATTCAACCCATTAACACTACTTTAATGGTATAGAATGGATCAAGGTCAATTATTATCTGCTAAAATCAAATATGATACATCTGGCAGATCTGAAGGAATAGCTACGTTGGTGTTTACATCCTCTGAAGCTGCTCAAAGTGCAGTAGATGAATACCACAAGCGAGAGCTTGATGGTCTTCCACTTCAACTTGAATTGACCGACTCGGGTAAATCTTTTTCTGGAAGGCTCGGATCTGGTGAAATGGGTAGAGGCGAGAAAGGCAATACAGATATCATTGATCGGTTGGGTAAACCATCAGTGTTTCAAAGACTTGGAAAGTCTTTGGATGATAGATTGGGCCAAAAGGGATCGAGTACTTTGGCTACCAAGGGACTGAAAAGCAAGCAAGATGCACGATATGATCGCAGACCAAACCGTGCTGAAGGCGATTGGCGTGCTGACAAGATAGATCTGGATACACAAAAGACTGATGGCTACAGACAGTCTGGCCAGAAAAAGCGGCATGGTGCTTTTTATCATGCGGATACGGAGATGAGCATGACAGATGTTGATATGGATACAGACGTGACAGAGGCTGCACTTGGTACTGGAAGTCGCAAAAATCGTCATGGACATGCCAATCGTAATCGTGGCGCTATCACTCCTCCTACAAGACGTCCAATTGTATCGTATGTAGATGCGGACCACCCTGCAGCTGATGGAAATATGCTTTCTAATATGTGATATTCACATTTGATTCAAACTGATTGACTACATTTATGCTCAAGTTTTGCAGTAATTGAATAGCCTTTTGATTACCATTGAAACGTACTGGTTTAAACTTTTGGAGCCAGTTTATTATCTATTGGTAGATTCATCAATCTGTGCTTTGATTCCAAGCTTGATATTTTCATGTACATGCTTATTATGCCATTCAGGGTCTTGTAGTCTCAACGCATGACCACCTCCAAAATAGATCTTCATACGCGCATTGAGTCGTTCAGCAAGGTATTCAGAGCTGGTAGGCTGTCGTACAATCTACAAAGAGTACCACGTCATTTTCTCTCTTCACAGCATCACTATATATACATTTAAACCGACTTCAAATGTCCAAAGCAGCACATCAAAAAAGTGATAACTGACCTGATCTTGGTCGCCTGCCATGACCAAGATTGGATAGGTGTGTTTACTGAGTTGTGACAATCTCTCGTCAAAGAAATGTGAAAGAACGGCTGCATGTTGAGCAGTGCGACCTACTGCTGTCTGAAATCCAGTAACTGCCAATCGGTCCAAAAAATACTAGAGTAGTTGAAATACATGATAAGCTGAGCCATCATTGAATTTCGAGACAGCGACAGTTTTTTGGAATTACCTTGACAGCATAGGATCGATTGGTTACATGCGAGATATCTCTGATACACGGAGAGTTTAGCCATGTCTAGAGATAAAATATACAATACAGGTTAATAACTATTCCCAAAATGAAGACACGTTTTGGTAATCAAGAGTACTTTACCTCTGGAAAGAGCATGCAGACAGTCATCTCGGCGTAGGATTCCAAGGTTGGATATTTAGGAGTTATAAATTGCAGCATTTCTTTAAATGATGGTGGTTGAATCTATTGTTCCAATAAAGATATTTCAAACATGTTTACAATTAAGCAGCAGATTGAAGTTTGATCATCATGCAGACCATTAAAAAACAGACCAATATTCCTGTAGGTTTGCAATACGTGCTAACCAAACATAGACTTTTGACAGCATCCCCGAGCATTAGCGCCAGCTCTTGTGCAATCATACCACCCATTGATAGCGCAACAATATGAACACTATCCAGCCATCCTAAATGTCTTATCAGCTCAAACGTGTCCTTGGCCATCATGCTTGTACTAACCAGATTAAACAAAAGATGGTTCAAATTTGACAAGACATGCAGTCCAAGACTCGGCAAATGACTAAACAAAAGGTTGAAATGCTTACGTATATCTACCAATTGGTGATGATGAAAATCCAGATCCTCTGTTATCAAATATACACAAAGAATACTCTGGAAACTGTAAAAAGTATTCAATCTAATTGAAAAAGGTATGAGACTACTGACATGAATGGACATGAATGGACATGAATGGATATGGTTAAACAACAAATGGCTACCTGCAAATCCCACAAATGTGCGATACTACTCATTCCTGTTGTATATAAATGACTATTAGAACCAGTATAATATTGAATGCATAAACAGCTTTATCCGATGCTCAAGTGCTATTCCAAGCACAACAGCCCAATACGATGATCATTCAGAATGTCATTTATTAAAGCTGGCTGACCATTGACAAATAAAACATGATGTAGTCCGCTGCCATATGTTTCATAATAAATATCTACAGGAGCTGTGCCAAAAGTATGAACAGTGAGTTTAGGCATGCGAGTTGAGCAAGACTTGACAAGAAGCAATAATTGAATGTCAACGTGGTCAGTCTTGAGGTTTACCAGCTATTTATAAAATGATAATCAAACATGATTGTCAAGTTCAGTTAGAACCATCGTAGTTGTCAGTATTTTCAATCCAAATCAGTTATTATCAATCACCTTGAATAACAAGCGTGGAGTGGTTGGCATTCATAATCCAGCTTGGCATGGATACGCAGTTGCTGCTTGACCAACACGTGGAGTACTTATTTAACTGTTGATTGCAATTATTCTTTCCATCATATATCAATTGTTATGCATTCAATGAAGGCTGCTCTATGTTTAGCTATTATGGCGCCTATGGCATATGCTGCCAATCTTGCTGATGTGATCAAGAGCAATCCACAATTACAAAAAGTGGCTGCTCTGATTTCTAGCAATCCTACCTGGGCTACTGTTTCTAATGGTGTTTCAACTCTTGAATTGGTGTCCATATGTGACTCATTGTATACGGAACAGGACTGACAAGTGTGTCTGAATTGATGACAGATGATACAGCCTATCCAACAGAAAGTAATACATTGATCGTGTCTGCATGGAAATAAGCTTCATAACTCCCACTTCTGAATGCATGCGAACCAACTTTCAAACAACAGATACGTCCAATGACTCTTGCAAATGCATTGATAGAGTGTTGTTGAATAGTTCGAGTGTTTACAAATCAGCATCACTGGAAATAGTTACTGTTATTCAGACAGTCACTTGTCCAGACATTACAGTTGTAAACAATCAAACTCACACTTGCTTGTTTTTTGGAAACTTGATCATTCATTCGTCCAAATGTCTGAAACCAACAAAAAATACAACATCATTTGATATACAATGCTTTATCGGTGAATACAATAAGGTATATGTTTTTATTTGAAAATTGAAATGGCAATATCATGACGTGAAATTGATTAGGATTACATACTAGGATAAGGAATTTTTACAGCGTATTGGTCGATACTCTTTGGTGTTTTCTTGGTGAAAGAATGGTAATGCAGTGGAGGAAGTAGCCAGTACAACTTTTCGGCACCATCTCCAAGCATCTTTAAATCTTCTTCGGTACTTTTTTTGATATCATGTTTGTTTTTAACAGTCGCTTGAAATGCACCGATTCCAGGAATCCAGGCATCAATTGCTGCATAGTTTTTAGTTTTTGGCACATATAGCTGATTTGGAACCTGATTCGGTAAAACCTTGCCAGCAACTTGTTTTTTCGACAAAGGAATAAAAAGAAGCGTTTCTTCGGGCTTGGATGTATCGTTTTCGTGCACCAACTGATGACTGTCAAAAACACCTCCTTTCTCCAGCATTTCAACAGCATACGGTTCAAAAATATGCCCACACAATGCAGCAGCAAGAGGGTTTTCTTCGCACAAAGCTAGGAGACTCGTCATTTTTCGCATGACGTCCATTCCTTTGATTTCGATAATGATATCCAAGGCTGTTCGAGACGCAAAGGCAACAGATGATTCTGTAAATGGGTCAACAGATGTCATGTGAATCAAAGAATGGGAAGCTTTGGAGTTTTCTGTAATGTTCAAATCCAAGCTAATCTCTTTGATACAGCCATCAAGCTCGCATTGCCTACATACATTTTGAAGTAATTCTACTGGATCACCACTTGTATCTTCCAAGACACGTCGAGGGATTCCACCAAGGACTTTGAAACGATGGCGCCAGTTAATATCAATGGCAAAATCGGGTGCAATGGCTTCCAATTCTGGTTTAGTCCATAATGGCATGTAAAAGATCTGAAGGGGAAGGGATTTTTTAAAGTCGTTGGTTAGTTCTCGTTTTGGTGAGGTTGACACCACAAATGAACACCTTTCATAGGGAAGTGCATTTAGATTCGCCGAGTTCTTGCCTTTGGCGTCAAACAAACACCACAAGTCAGATGCCCAAAATGTGTGGTCAACAACTGATGGTAGACTAGTTAACTCAAACACACCGCCTTGACCATCGTAATAGATTTTGTCTGGATGATAAATAAACAACACTCGTTTTCCTTGCTTGATCAACTTCCACAATAAGTAGATGAGAAATAAAGACTTGCCAATGCCAGGAGTTCCTGTGATGATTGTTTTGTTGATGCCGGGCTTGATGTTTGATGCAATGGATTTATAACTGTCCCGAATAAAGAGTCGTTTCAACGTAGATGAGGGAATCTCTTGTTCAAACAAAAGCCATGTATCCTGTTCAACAGCGTTGCATATGTTGTTGTAAAATGGGATCTGACAGGGCAAGAACAAATCAAGTTGCATTGGATCTAAAGCAATAGCGGTAGCGTTGATGAGTGAAGTGGTTCTTGCATCAATACCACTCTTGGATTTAATGATGAATGGATGTTCGTAAGAACCAAGATGATTTTGAATGGAGGTTAATAGAGTATTCCTGGGAATGGCTGGACCATTCACCATATAATGGAGAGTGAGCTCGTCAACAGGGATATTGTCAAGGAGGGGAGTGGTGGCAGTCTTGTAAGCAGCAATTAGTTTCGAAACACTATCAATTAGGGTTCTTCTCTCTAGTTCTCCATCAAAGTGAGTTTCAATTTCCACTGACTGATTGTCAAGATATTTGATATAGAATACTTTGTTTTCCATTGCAATTTGAAAGAAAAGATACAAAAAAAGTGACTTGAATTCAAAATTTAATATTGTGAAGAATGAAACAAATTCACACTTTGAATATTTAAACAATTTTGTGTTCATTTGTATTGTTCAATCGAGTGTCAATTCAACTCAATTGATTACACTATAATAGTATATCAATCAACGAGACCAATTTTGTTGGTTGATACTCGTTGATACTCACTGGTAACTTGATGAAAATGTGTCAAACTATGACTTTTATGACAACACTGTACAAACTGTACGAGTTTAAAAGATTATTGGTGAATATTGTCCAATTTGATTGTTGACTGCAATTATTTTGTTGGTTCGAGTTTCATTCTTTTGTCAAAAAACATCAAATGAATATTGAAACAACAAAGACAGCAACAACACAACTGTTGAATGAATACTACCAAATCAGCACTCAAACCATACCAACACAGAGAGTCAAGTCTGAATGGCAGGATGACAACAAACGAGGTTTGTTTTTGGGAATCATCCAAGAGGGAGAAACCTCACACGTCACTCGACTGCACAACCTGCTGACTGCCAACCAATTTGCAGAGCAGCAGGAATTCTCAACCAAGATCCAGTTGGCAGACTCAGAACATCATTGTACATTCATTGATGACATGTTTGAGTACTACATACTGCCATTCCACAAAGACTACAACGATTCATCCAGCTGTCACACTCCAGTTTCATCAAATCCAACATCAAGAACCAACTCTGCTGATGATCTGGACTATGTTGCAAAAGTGAGTGAGCTACAGCACAAGGACTTGAACAAGGCGGTTGAGAAGAGATACAGTCTGCTTGTTTTGCTGGGATGAGCTGTCCTTGCAAGGAGCACACATTATATCCCAAAAGAACATTGGAATGGCATACAACGAACCATCCATCCTGCTACGATCTGGTTTGACGCAGAAACATCAAATACAGAACGGACTGTTGTTGTGTATCAAGTGCCATGACCAATTCGGTAAACTAAGGCAATATGTGGATGTAGTGGATGACAAACTGGTGATCAAAGTGATCAATGAGACGAATGATCTGACAAGTGACAAGCACAAGAAGTGGATTGAGACAATTGAAGATTTGAAAGTTATCCGCAGAACAAGGCAAAAGAGATGGACTGACAATCGACAAACAGTCGAATCCAACAGTGAAATGACATTGTATTTCATTCACAACAATCTCACTCGACTACCAAACAGGAACGCACTAGAGTTCCACAAGACAACATGTCTCATTTGGTGTATGGCTGATGGTGTAGAATCTGATGATGAGTATTGTTCATATGATGACGATGGCTGTACTCCTGTCGATTACCAGAGTAAGAGCATCGAGAAATGGATGGACTCGAGTGCTACTTTGATCATTGAAATACTCAATAAAACTGTGTATTCATTACAAGAGACTGGTTTCTGTTACAGTAATAGTTGTGTCGAGTCAATGTCATGGTGTAATGGCTTCAAAAAACACCATTTTAATGATCGATACTGCATCAATATGATCGTTTTACAACCGATATATTGAAACTTGTTGATATCGGAACCAGTATTGATATTGGTAGTGGATGATGTATAATCAAAAAGAAATCCACATCGGAACGTTCCTTGCTCTCGTTTGTGATTGTTTTTCGTGGATTGTTCTGGTATTTTATGTAGCTCACTTTTTGCCTTGCACGCATGTAAGCAGCAACCACGAATCGTTGAAACACAGATTGCACAAGTCAATACATTCTGATGACATTTGGAATATAACAAGACACAAGTGGTGACCAAAGTTTAATTCACAATCCATGAATGAACACGATCGCGTTGCCGACTGGATCAAATAACAACGCAGGTGTTTGGAACATGTCTTGAATACATGAATCGACCAGATTGACAACATACTTGTGTAGTCGATAATCAATGGAATTGACCAAACGGAATGCCTGCAACTGCCAAAAAACCAAACAAAATGCCAAAGCATTTATATTAAAATGTTACACTACG